AAGAGCTTCTTATTTAGTTTATATTTAATATCTTAAAGACTAATATTGCTTTTTATAAATAGTTATAAAAAAAAATATAAAACTTCTAAAATATTTAATTAGAATATATCTAAAGCTTACTAAAATCGCAGTAAGTATTTTATATTTTATTTAGGTTAGAATATAGCTTCTTTAGGTAAAAGTAAAGCTTTAAGAATTAATAATACTAATTCGGACTATTTTTATCTATATAAGAGTTAGTTAGGATAAGAGTATTACTAGTAAATCTACTAGAAATATAGATAATTTTGAGATTCTCGGAAAGATACGAATTAGTATTTCCTTATAGCTTATTCTTAATCTGGACTAGCTAGTTATTAAAAATAGTATAATCTCTAATAAAGAAAATTAGATCTAGAAGCTTAGTAATTCTAGTATTTCTAAAGAAAATATAAGATATAGGGAATCTTAGACAGAAATAGGTAAAAGATAATTCGGAATTCTTTAAAAAGAGGTTTAGAGTAAATAAAATAGAAGTAGCTAGAACTATTATAAACCAATTTACTATAGCTATATAATATTTAATATTATTCTCGAGTTTAGTATTATAAAGCTTAGTATTCTCGAAAATAGCTTTATTATAACTATAGGTATTCTTATATAAAAGGGCTTTCTAGATATTCTTCTAGTAACTCTTTATAATAATATTAATATCTAAGAGTAAGAGATTAGGCTTCTTAGCCTATTTATATAACTCTCCGGTAGTAATATAATTATTAGTATCTAGAAGCTTTATAATAAAAATAAAGGGTTCTATTTCTATAAACTTATTTATAAATTTTCCAGAAATACTAATAGGATATTTAGTTTGGAAAGGGCTACTAATAGGATAATCTAAACTAGTAGAAGCTTTACTAGAAGCCTTAGCAGAAGTTAATATAGTTTCTAGTTATATAGTATCCTGGGAAATTAATCTATTATACTTTTCCTCTATTATATTCTCCCTAATAGTCTTATTACTAGTATATATATAGGGCCTATAAGATTATAGGATAGAACTTAAGGGTAATAGTTAGGTTACTAGCCTATATATATCTATTACTCTAGAACTTAGTTAAAGAGTAGCCTTTATTCGAGATTCTTTAATTTTCGGGTTTTTGAGAGGATTTCTAATATACTACTAGTATATATTTATAAAAGTATAAATACCTAATTTTTCTAAGAGTTCTAAAGCTTTTTGCTTTTATTATTCTAAAGTTTATTACTTATATTTCTGAGGTTCCGTTATCTTAATAGTACCTATATTTCTAATAGTTCTAAATTAGTTTATTTAAAATCCTTTATAAAATTAAAGGAAGTAAGCTTTAAATACTATTATAGATATAGTATTCAGGGCTTAGAAAGCAAGGTAAAAAGTCTCTTATAAAGACGATTTAAAGCTAAAAAAGAGAAAACTAGAATATAGGAGGCTATAAAAGAGTATATATACCCTATAGTATACTAGTTTATAAGAGGCTTAGTTTTCTAAATATCTCTAATATATTCCAAATATACTTTTTTAGTAAAATAGCTATATTATATATATCTAGAAAGTAATAGGATATAAGTAACGAGATATAAGCAACTATATTAGCTAATTATATTAGCTAATAAGGTCAAAAGCTGAATTATAATACCTATTCTCGAACCTAATAATAAGACTAAAAGTAATATAGATATAATTTCTCTTATTATTCCTACTATTTTACTAAAATATAATAGAGAATACTTTTATAAAATTCCGGATATTATAGTATTTCTATAAAATAACGAATTATATAAGGATTTCTATTAAATTAAAGTTATTAGCTTCCTGAAAAAGAATATATTTAAGGTTATTTCCAGATCTCAGGTATTAAAGAAAGTATATATCTTTAATTCCCGGTTTATTAATAAGATGAAAAATAAGGATATAAAGAAAAAACTTAAGAAATTAAGACTAGTTATCTAAGCCTATAATAATAGTAAGAAATATATAATATTAATATAATTATTTATTATTTAATATATTAGCTAGAGAATTATCCTTAGTATTATTATTATAATAATAGATATTATAGAATTATATTTATATAATATCTTATAAGCTTATATCTAATTAATAACTTTACTTAATTATAATTTCTATATTAATTTATTCTATAAGCTTACTAGAGAACTAAATCTAAATAATAATTTAGTTCTAAAAATTATAAAACTATTATATAATATATTAGAAACTAAAAACTATTAGTTTAAGATTTACAATTTCTATTATATTAATAAGTTCTCTATAAAATAATTAACTTATAACTTTTACTTTTTCTATAATAAATAACTATTTAGAATTATTAGTCTTTAAACTAATAATATCTTATTTATTAGAAATAATAATTTCATAAAAGCAAAGTAACTAAAGCTCTATAAAGCTAAGCTTTTAGCTAAAGAATATAAATACTTTATTTTTAATTATAATCTCAAGTTTAATAAAGGTATTATTTATATAAAAACTACTAAAATTACTCTTATATAGAAATACTAGTATAAAAACCTTTAAATTATATTAATTAAGAATACTATTATTATAAGTAATAAAGATATTATATATTAATATCTCTTTATTAAAGATTAATATATTATCTAATATACTAAAGAAATATATATAATATTAGTCTATTAACTAGAAGCTTTATATAATCTATTAATTATTATTTAAGCTATTAAATTTTCGGAAACTAATATTAAAATACTTAATAAATATATTTAATAATAAATTAAAAATATTACTAGAGAACTAAAATTTATAAATCTAGTAAAGAAGTTCTTATATTTAATTATTTTTATAAATATTTTATTTATAAATAATTAAGATCTTTTTTCTTAAATTAAATATATTCTAGTTCTAGTAAATAGAACTAGATATATTAATATTATTTACTAGTTCTTTACTAAATATAAGAGAGTTATTAGAAGTATTCTAGCTTTAGAACTTTATAGTATAGCTTATAGTTTTTATATAGGTACTTTTATTAAATTAATAATTAATAAAATACTAGAAATAGAACTTTTACTAGTTATTTATATAAATTCGAAGTTATTATATAAATGCTTTATTAAATTAGATATTACTTAAAAGAAATATCTAATAATTAATATAATATATTTTTACTAAATATATAAATAATAAAAGATTACAGAAATTAAATAAATTAAAAAAGAATTATATTCTACTAATTCTATAATAAAATTAAAATTATTAAATACTTTCAAATACTTAATTAATATAAATATAATATAATTAGATATAGAGAAATAAATTAAATATAAATAAAATAGGAAATAAATATATAAAATAGAAAAATATTATAGAAAAAAAAGTTATATATAAAAGGCTATATCCTTTAGTATATATTTAAAACCTTAAAAAGTAATATAGATATATAGAGTATTTAGGAAATCTAATATTAGGCCAGATTAGGGAATTTATATATAATTAGAAAAAAGTACTATTTTTTGTATTTTTAGAGAGGTTCTAGTATTAGTATGGCTATTTCTTTAAGAGTTATATATATAATTATAGAATTCGGGATATAAATAATAGAATATAAATAGTAAGATATAGAATATAAGATATAATTATATAATCTTATTCTTTATAAATAACTTAACTAGTAGCTAGTTTCTATTAGGCTTAGTAGATTTAGGAATTATATATTAATATTATAATACTATAATTCTTATTTCTAAATAATAACTTTACTAATCTTATATAAATAGTATTCTATAACTATATAATAATATTATATATTACTAGTAAACTAATAATAAAGCTTATAAGATTATAAAATAAAGCTTAAAATTATTAATTATAAATACTTATTACTTTAGAATTTAATTAAAAAATAGTTTTTATATAAGATTTTTTAATTTTTAGGCTTTTTAAAAAAGTTTTTAATATATTACTAATATATATTTATAAAAATATAAAAATCTGATTTCTTTAAAGGTTTTAAAGCTTTTTACTTTTATTATTCTAAAGCCTATTACTTGTATTTTTAAGGTTTTATTATTTTAGTAATATTATTATAAAACCGGGTTTCTAAACTTAGAAAATAAGATAAAATAGCTTTTAATTCGAGAATTCTAAACTAAAAAAGAAAGCTTATAAGTATAGAAGCTTTAGTATTCTAAATACTAGCTAGTTATATGCGTTATTATAGTTATATAATACTAAATTTACCTATAAAGTAATAAAGTATAATAAATATTTATATTTCTAATAATTCTAAATTAATTTATTTAAAATTCTTTATAAAATTAAAAGAAATAAGCTTTAAATATTATTATAAATATAGTATTTAGGGCTTAAAAAACAAGATAAAAGATTTCTTATAAAAATAATTTAAAGCTAAAAAAGGGAAAACTAGAATATAAAAGGCTATAAAGAAATATATATATCTTATAATATACTAGTTTATAAAAGGCTTAGTTTTTTTAAATATTTCTAATATATTTTAAGTATATTTTTCTAGTAAAGTAGCTATATTATATATATCTAGAAAGTAATAGAATATAAGTAATAGAATATAAATAATAAAATATAAGTAATTATATTAGCTAGTAAGATTAAAAGCTAAATTATAATAATTAAACTAATTTAGTTAGAAATTAACTCTATTTTATATAAGTAATATTAAGGTTTTATAAGCCTATCTATAGAAAAAAGTAAGTCTTTTATTTTATAAACTTTAAAATTATATAGTTTTAAAGTTGGGAGGAGTTGAAGTCACGTGACGAACATTCCTTAGAGTCGATTGTAGCTTGCTAAGCGAGTCGGCTCTAGGTTGTGTCACCTTTTAAAAAGTTGCGGACGTTTGTACTAGACTTATAAAGTCGATCAGCTGCTCTTTCTTCCACCCTGCCCACCCCTACCTCTACCCTTGGTGAGTCTACGGTACCTCCCCAAGATTCTTTGCTGCGCTCGTGTTTTCAAAGCTGTGAGGATGTTTTCAACTCTCGTTGGTCACTCCGGTCGCGAGTATGTGCGCCAAAAGTTACTCCAGCGTCATCCTACGAAACTGGCGCCTGATATGCAACTTACACTATAAGTTCAAGAATCATTTTCGATCTTGGTATTCTCGTCAATATTATAACTGACTAAATGAAAATAATTCTAGCTGCAATGGCAAACTCTTCATTCTAAAGCCTGTTTCCCTGTCAATCTTTGATCTCTTGCAGGAGTTCAAAGACGAGTTTGGTAATAATCTTCGCCTCCGAATCCACACAGACGGCAATGAAAATAAAAATGTACTTGTTTACGAGTACTTCAAAAGCGATTTGCTTTCGTTGGTAGAGAATTATCCAGCCCTTCAGATAGAGGCAAGAAAGACAATTCTGAAAGAGGTTGGCTGGGGCTAAACGATATTCATACAAAGCATTGGATACACTTAGGCATAATACCGTCAAGATTCGGTTGCCCTTGCCCATAATTGTCCGCTGACCTATCCTTCTCTAGACGTCAAGCCTAATAATGTTTTTCTCAATTGGTATGTGGACAGTGTGGGAAATGAGTAGAGTAGAGTAGAGTAGTGGGCCCTACTCATATTCTACTCAAATAAATTTCTCACTACTCATACTCTACTCAATACTCTACTCAACTACTCTAGAATATTTTAGAGTAGTTGAGTAGTACGCACGTGACGTTACACGTGGTGTTGCACGTGACATGCTGGTCTAATTGGGTAAGGCTCTGGGGTGGCCCGAGTCTAGCGCCACTACACTGCCCAATCAAGTAGTGGCAAGGCTTGGTAAGCAAGGTAGAACCATAATATATTCTTAGGCTTCCTCGGCTATTAAGGGCAAACTCTTCTCTCAAGGTGCTCTTATTATATCTAAATTATATAATAGACTTAATAAGAGTACTATTAAGATAATATCTTGCTTAAAAAGCTGGGGGTTATTTAAAGACGAATTAGAAGAAGGAAAAAGAGAAGGAAAAAAGAAGGAAAAGAAAGATTCCGAGGAGGGAAATCTGTTTTTTATAGAAAAAAAGTAGTATTTAAATAGCCTTATATAAGCTCTAGTTTAAATTATATACTGCTACTTAATGGGTATCTTATTTATTTATTAATAATTAAATAAATACCGATTTACTACATTCACGTGACTACTCTTAAGTTACTCTAGAGCAGTACTCTACTCTACTCTACTCTACTCAAGTACTATATTACGCTACTCAAACTCTACTCTACTCTACTCAAGACTACTCTAGAGTAGCTTGAGTAGCTTGAGTAGTTTTTGCCCACCCTGTATGTGGACGAAAAGGGTCAATTCCAGCTGGAAAAGGTGGCATTGGGTGATATGGACTGTGCTTTGAAACTGGAAGGCCAAAAACTCCTAAACCAAAGGATGGGGAACGTCATGTGGCGCAGCACGGAAGGGGAATTAGGGAAGGGTGTTGGGAAACCTTCGGAGGTATTCTCTTTTTGCACTTCTAGTGAGTCAACCTTTGGTTTGGCCAGACCAATCTTGCTAATCATGCATCTTAGTGTCTCTACGTAATCACCGGCGCCCAACGTTTTCACCCGGACTTTGAGAAACTTGATATTGAACCCGAGCCAATAATTTTGTTCAAGTTGCTTTCGGCCTTCGGCCGCTCCCGGATGCGCTCGTGAAGCATACCAACGACGAGGAAGCGGGAGCGCTCTTAAAGGGCCTGTGGCAGAAGACGAATCAAACGAAGCTTTTGAACAATGGTCTGAGGAAATGTTTCCCAACCTTGACAACGAGGCAAAAAGGTTGATATTGAGGATGGGAATCTCGATCCAGCGAAAAGAGCATTAATGTCAGATATTATAATGGATCTTTATTGGAACTGAGTTGGGGAGTTCCCATGGTATTGATAGGATTGCAAACCAGCAAGGTAATGACCCAGATTGGTTGACAGATGCACTTGTAGCGCCGCTTTTATACCTTTATCATTAACTATGTAAAATCATTTTGTCGCGCGCGAATTCCTGTAGTATCTCAGTTAAATAAGCTCTTAGAAAATTGAAGTCGTATACTTATATACAGGTTGGGTTATTTGAGGGGAGTTGAAGAGAGGTTGAGAAGGGCATTAAGCGAGGCATCTTCGGCTATGAAAGGGGCCCAAATCGGCTCCGATAAGGACCATTAATAAATATAACAAGGGACGGAGGATGGCTACCGTTATGGTATCTTAATAGGCTTAGAGAGGTAGCCATGCTGTAGCTAGTAGAATCTGCAAAATTCTATATATAGATAATATAAAAACTGTAATCGATTCTTAAGGGAGCTATAAGGGATCCCCTGAGCGTAATTCATCTACTTACCTTCGACTTACCCTTACTCGCTATAACTCACTAAATATTGCCGGCAAAGCAGCTCTGCTCGCCTTTCCAAATAGAAACGCATTTCTTCATGCTAGGATTGGCGTGTAATAATGACCTATTATAGTTACACTTGTCTCACTTTTCTCACTTCACGAAACTTTTAAAACTTTGTTATTTCTACTTTCAGCACAAGAAAACTTGTTTGCAAAACAAATTGCTTTTTTGGTGTTCTAGTCTAAACTAGAGTGGTACATCAGCGCAGCGCTTGATATCGTTATCGGAAGCCTGGTATCACGTTTCTTCGGTATGCATCCTCTCGTCTCTCGCCAAAGCACAAATGATCTCAACCTGCCCGTCCAGTATCGATCAGAAGCACCAATTAGGTCCAGATTGCAATCACATCAACCAAGACCAAACAGCTTGCTAGTCGAAAGCCTAACAAGCAAACATTCGCCACTCCGAAAAGAAAATCATCGACCAAACTCATGCTTGACGGTTTGGAGATCTGCCTGCCAAACTGCTGTTAAGACGGGATTGCAGCTTGGTTTGAACATTCTCACCCTGGCGAACAGGTGACAATGCGGTTCTCTGTTGCGGGGAGATAGCACTGGCACCATGGCCTCTGGAAGGAGAGAATGGTGTACTGCTAGAATTGAAATTCAAATCAGAGCCTGAAGACCCAGTTGACTTGTGGCCACGGTACATGTCTGGTCGAGGCGCAAAGTTGGCTGGCGGTGTTTGTTGGAAATGTTGAACATTTCCCTGCCTCGCAGGAGGACTCATCATTGGTGGAATTGTCATTAGTGGAAGTACCGGTTGAGCTACTTGGTCCTTGGGGAGACCAGTAACTTCCATGAAGTGGCCAGGATGCATAGGGTCCACAACAAGAACGGTCTGTAAAGCCGGGGGCACGATCGGGGCATGAATCGATGGTGGCGATGCAAAAGCATTACCAAAAACCTGCGGAGGAGCATTTGCATAAAAGGGATAAACTGGATGCGGAATCGTGGGGATAAACGTGGTCATTGGTGCTGGTCGTGCTCCAGGGACCGGAGCGTGAGCAACAGGCTCATTCGCCCACCTGGAAGCCTTCAGACCGGGGGCACCCTTCAGGTCCTTGTTGGTGATATTCTGCAAGAATGGCAATGCCCTTTCAGAGATTTGTGGCGCTGGTAAAACCGTTTCGGGAGTGTTCGCATTGTCGCTCATCGGTGTCGCTGCTCTTACTTGGTTCAAGTTGGCCAACTCATCGATCACCGTGAGGTCGATTTTGGACTCATCCTCCGGTTGAACCTCAAATTTTAAAGGTGTTGGTTCTCTCTTTTTAGCAACTGGTGGGTTGACAGATGAGAGATTGACGTTTGGACTCTCTGTCTTTACTGAATGCTCTAGAGGGAAGGAGGGAGTAGAACTCGGGATCGCAGGTGCCTGAGCAATTGGTGATACTAGGAAAGCCGCTGAATTCTCAGTCTTTACCTCCGCGGTATTGGTCGCAGCCAAAGTTGGAGTAGGCGGGACCGAGTCAGTATCAGAATTGACTGTGTTGGCGACACAGTTTGACAGTGCGGTCGATGCCCTTGGCATAGGACGAGAAAACAAAGTTAGGGGCGACTCTAATGCTTCCTTAATCTCCTCATACAATGTGAGAGGCGATGCAGGTGGAGGCGGATCCTTAGAAGGAGATTGAATAGTACCGATGGACATATCAGTGGCCGCAATAGGTTGAGAATTTGGGGTTGATGTTGCTTCCTTCAGCTCCTTGCTCAAATTCAGCCCTTCAAATGTTTCAGCAAGCCTATCACACTCGGAATTTGTTGGGACATGTCCACTACCCCGTGGAGAAACCAGAGGTGTCTGTGGCTTCGTGTTCGACAGTCCTTGAATCCGTCTGTCTCGGACGGTTGTAATCAATGCACCCCAGAGGGCCGTATCAGTCTCCTGTGTTTGAGAGGGATAAGCCGGCTCCGCTGGAGACGCCACTGGCTTAGTCTTGACAGGCGTAGATACTCCGAAAGTATTGGCTGAAGGAGTACTTTGGACCATTGGCTTCTGAGTAGATACTGCCACGGGTTGACTACTGGGACGTCCATTCACTGGTCGTGTATTGGGTGAAGGCTCCGCTGGGTCTCCAGACTCTGCGACAGAGTATGCTTGCCAACCTCTAACAGTTGTGGTCGGCTTGAAAGATGGTCCGCCAACATTGTTACGGTCTGATTGTCTTGCCAATTGATCTCGGCAGGCTACAATTGGAAGACCATTCTTAGTTGGTCCAATGATGTTTGCTGGGTTGATAGACTTGGCTCCACCTGGCAGTTGAACAACGTGGCCGACTACCTCTCTCTCAACGTTCTCATGTCTGAAACTGGAAACATTCTGTCGAAGGCTGAGAAGCTTTTCAGCGGAATAAGTGACTCGAGGGCCATCTGCCTTCAGCTTGCCGGCCGTGTTGGTAGTATTTGGCTGCTCCAGAGCCTGGACCGTGACCGGATCAGCGCGATACTGCGAGAGACTCAGTCCATTCTCAGGTTTCTCGAAATCTGGAAGAATTTGGGAGGCTACACCATGTTCAGTCATATTCCGACTCTCACGATGAGCAACAGCCTTCTTGAGAACCTTTCTGGCCTTCTCAGAAGTGTAATGGATAGTAACAATATCAGGCATCATTGAGAATGTCTCCGAGAGACAAAGGCGACTTCCAACAAGGCTCTCTGAAGCTTCTTGGTATTTTGGTGACGACAGTATCTCCCCTCCGGTCAAGCGGAACGCTGGTGAAATATTATCCATGGCAACCATGTTTGAGAGTTGGTGTAAAAATGGTCCCTCTAGACTCTCCTCGAAGTGATCGAATGTGGTCTGAATAAGATGAGTATCATCCATATTCAGGAGAGCTTGAATCCACGGAAGAATAGGTTCGGGTTCAGGTTCAGGTTCAGGTTCATGCAGTGAAACAAGTGGCCGGAAACCTGCAATCTCATTCATTTCACTCAAGGCTTGACTGCTAATCCTATAGCTGCCTCCGGGCTGATACCTATCAAGAAGACCCGCCGATGAGGAGTCTGCCATTGGCTGGATCAAGGGCCACTCCGATGAAGGAATTCGCTGAGGCGAGTAAGATGGTTCTAGAACTTCTTGTCGAAGGTCCAGAGAGCTATCTGAAATGCTCATTGGACCACTGCCAGCAGAAGCCGCAGTGCTCCGGGTATCAGCATCCACGGCTGACTTAGGAAGCCGGTTTGCATGCCCAGGCTGCAAGACCGCGTTGATGGCTCGAATATTCTCCGGAGCATTTAGAGAGACGGATTCCCGAGCCTTAGGTGCAGCATCTGATTCCTCGACAGGCATGGGTTGTTCGTTATGAGTGTCAGCGGCAGAACTTGTACCAGACTGGAAGGCCGTGTTATCATCGGGCTGCTTATGCCTATTGCGGGCATTAGGATTGGAGGCAACTGCGTTGTAGAAGGTCCAGGCTTGATACGGCATTTGGAATTTGATACCCCAAGTAACAAGAGGAGTTGGCGCAGATCCATCTTCAACTCTCTCTGATTTGTATGTGAGGACCGTACTCTCACAGCTGAAGGAGTCATCGTCAAGAATTTCCTGCTTCAGGACACTCTTGCCCTCAACATCAAGTTCAATTGTGAAGTATCTGTCCTTCTGAGGATTGTTCTTTACGAGCCGAACCGTACCACGAGTGAATTTACTGCGGCCCTGGGTGACTTTAACTTGGTTCTCTCTCAAAACAGTACGACCATATGTTGCGAGAGTATTGGCTTGCAGAACCGGGGATGGGGGTGCCGCTGTCGTCGATGGTGTTCTCTCAGCCACAGGGCCTGTACTGGCCCAACGTGAGCCTGCGAGGCCAACATCTCCATTTTGGATGGTGTGGGGCTGGTTCTCCTCGGCCAAAATATCATGAAAGGCAGTGCTCTTTGCCTCCGCAGCATTACGCTGAACATTTTGCTGAGCTGGAAGCTTTGTAGGTAATGCAATCTGAAATGCTAGCGGAGGACGAGCCTTTGTTGGGCCGACCGGTGCTTCGTGAATTTCCTTGCTGGTTACACTTGGAGAAGATAGACGAGGTTGTAATTGCGGAGTGCTTGGTGGGGCTGGCTTTGCTGGTGGGGGCCTATTGAACCCAGCATATGCCAGAAAAGCATCTGAGCTGGCGAGGGAATGTTTAGGCATAGTAGTAGGCGCTTGAGGTCTCTTTGAGGCGCAAGCACTGGCTGCTGATTGTTGGCGTTGCTCAGTGATCAGCGCGTCTGCTCCCTTCTTCTGCGAGCCTTGGTATTCGGCGTCAGCTTTGGTAGCTTCTGCACGAAGTTTAGCAAGCAAGTTGTCGATGCGCGCGTGATTATTCATGCCGCGTCTGGCATCATTGAAGTAAGTCTTCGGCGTTCGACCAGAACGGTGTGAGGCAACACTAGAGGTGAACATATTAGTCGTGACTTCGTGCACCTTCTGAGCTTGAACACACTTTGGTATCTCAGATCGTCCTGTCTGTCCAGGATTATGTCCACCTCTGCTAGAGCCGCCACGGCCACTGCCACCTCCTCTATTTGCTCCACCACCACGGCCACGACTAGGGATTCGACCACCTCGGTCGGAGAATCCTTGTTGGTGCGAGTTACTCATTGCCTCCTTCCTCAAGCGATACAGCTGTCCGTCGTACATGCTATCAAGCTCGGCTTCGGCCGGATCGACATCATCAAATTGGATATCTATAAAATGTTAGAAGGCGGTCCAGGAGAGTTGGCTAGGCAGGCTTACTTCTCCATCGGGCTGCCGGATCATTTGGATCATCTGCAATTTGCTTCTTGACCGGCTTGCTGACCTGTATTTGTACACCTTTATCATCGAGAGGCAGAGTGTCCTTGCGGCCAACTCCAAGCTCCTCCTGTTGCTTCAGTTAGCAGACGCGACCTTCGGACGTGTTTGAGGCTGGTTTCTACCATCATAGCAGCATGGATTAACGCCAACTCCGCATCCGACCACTTCTTCTCCTTGGGTGCCTGGCCCGGGGGACGATCTCCACCAATTGAATTGGCCTCCATGTTGACTTTGGGCACCAGAGCGCGATTGACCGAGAGCTCCTGGCAATGGCGGTTGTAGGGATTCTCTGCTTCCCCTGCAAGGTGGAGAGTTAGTGATCGAATAGAGGAAGGGCGCTTTGTGTGAAGGTAAGACAACAGGTGAAATGCCAGTGGTGACCGAAGTGCAAGGCGAGGTTGGAACAATGAGGCAGGATAGGGAAACGTGGGATACGAACAGAACCAAGCGTGATGAGCTTTGATATCTCGAATATGTGGAGATGGTGTTTTTGAAGCGCAGTTCAGGAGTGCGTATCAAGGTGATGGAATTAGGTTGCAGTGGAAGAAGAGGTGGGACGAGTCAAGTCGCTTTGTTTTGTTTGGGAGCTGGAGGTGGAAAGCCCAGAGGCTAGGCGAAAAGAGCTTCCAAAAGCGGCCACTCGGAAATCGGCTCCTTCAGCCTTGTGTACTCTATTAATCGGCTTCTGAGACAAGTACGTTAAGATGTCCATGCCGTAATAATAGCAGTGATCCCAGCGCTCTTGGAAATGCTATGGTACCATGCTCTCTCCGTCTCCTTGCAACTTCCTTGAAAGGCCTAACTTGGTATGAAAAGTGCTTGAAACAACAGAGAGAAAGAAGGCAGCTTTGCGAGATTTCTCGAGGAAGTGCATCGCGGATCAATGGTCCTCTTCCACGCTCGTTCATTTGCAGCAAGCAACTCCCCTTCATCAGCTAAAAGCTAAGGCTAGACTGACGGTATACTATAGGTCTACCATGAAATAGGTTGCAACATCGCTCGGCCGTTCTTCCTTGGAATTGATTTGTTCGAAACAAATACCAAAGTAAACCCTGGTTGGATGCCATATACATGGAATAATCACCAATCTTCCATTGGAGGAGCAATGGAAACTGCAAGGAAATCCGATCTTCAAGCCCAGCCACAACCGTGAGACTTCATTGCCTCGGCACTGTCCTGCATCGGCTAGCGCGAAGCAGCAACCCTAAGTAGAATCGAGTACAATCAGTTGGGCTAGAAGCCTTCCTAGCTATCTCTTCCGGGCCCTCAACGGAACATATCGAAAATTCAAAATCAAGCTTTGAAGCCTGTCATTAGACGCGGAATAGGAGCCCTAGCTCTCAACGAAAAACTCGAAATATTGCAAACAATCCAAGAGCCTCGAACGAAGTGCAACAAAGGCAATTGAGGCCATGATGGGATAGCCTCTATCAACTAGGCTTTGGAGTGGGATCGTCAAACTTTACGTCCCAGGGATGCGTGGGACCACTGAGCCCTGGACGGCTCAATACTCTTTGTTCTCTTCACCACTGATACTTGAGCTATGGCGAAAGTCTCCCTACTTCTAAATAGAGACAAATTGTGTGCTGCGGAGAATCCAAAGCTCGTTGAAACTGAGGGGGCTGGCTCCCGGGCACAGGCAAACTTCCTCTGCCTTCGGCCCTTCAGCTAGTCGAACGCCATTTTACGGCTCTTTGTACTTAGTAACAAGTGTTATGGATTACTACAGTGGTAGCATGGCACGGCAGTGATTACAGGAAGGGGTAGAGGTTCACAGAATTGATTGGAGTTCTTCTTAGTGTCATCTCCGCCTGCCGGATTTTCGTTTCTCCAGCCAATCGGCGTTGTTCCATTTCAGATGCCAAAAGTTTTCCCGATATCGCTGTTTTTGTGTTGATCTTGTGCAGAATTTCTCTCGCTGACACTCTCCACTCCACATTTCAACACTCAGCAATCATGAGGGGCGGACTTCTGAGTAGTAGCAGGTCTGCTATTAGGGTATATGCCTCTCCCCTTCGGCCAGATTCTAGCTAACTGACCTGCAAACAGAGTTCGACTCCAGTGACCCGCCCCAGGGCTCCATGTACACGAAACCTTGCGACTGTCATTACTAAACCTGCAGCCTCATACAAACCTGACATCGAATCAAGAACTCCTCCATATCCCAAGCTTCTCAAACGATTGCACGAAGTACGACGGGTGCTAGGGTCTTCGAGGCAGCTCACTTTGGCTGAGAAGATCTTATACTCGCATTTGGACAACCCCGAAGAAGCACTCCTTTCGAATACGGACAATGGGCTCAATATCAGAGGCAATGCAAATCTCAAACTCAAGCCGGATCGGGTGGCTATGCAGGATGCATCGGCGCAAATGGCACTGCTACAATTCATGACTTGCAATCTACCTTCCACAGCTGTTCCAGCTAGCATCCATTGCGATCATATGATTGTTGGAGAGAGGGGTGCAGATGTTGATCTTCCGGAGTCAATTAAGGGCAACAAGGAGGTCTTCGATTTCTTGGAGTCCGCCGCGAAGAAATATGGTATTGAATTCTGGCCACCTGGAGCTGGAATTATCCACCAAACGGTGCTAGAAAACTATGCTGCACCTGGCTTGATGATGCTGGGAACCGACAGTCATACCCCAAATGCGGGTGGATTGGGAGCTATTGCAATTGGTGTTGGTGGTGCAGACGCTGTGGATGCTCTCGTGGACGCACCATGGGAATTGAAAGCCCCAAAGATTCTGGGAGTCAGATTGGAGGGTCAATTGAGCGGCTGGGCTTCACCGAAGGATGTTATTCTGGCTCTGGCAGGGAAGTTGACAGTCCGTGGTGGAACTGGCTACATCATCGAGTATCACGGACCAGGAGTGGACTCGTTGAGTTGTACAGGCATGGCCACCATGTGCAATATGGGAGCTGAAGTCGGTGCCACAACTTCTCTCTTCCCATTCTCAACACGCCATATCTCATACCTCGAATCGACCCACCGACGGTACATTGCACTCCAAGCACAGACTATCGCTTCGTCTTCCTCAATACACAACCTACTCAGAGCAGATGAAGGCGCTCATTATGACGAAGAGATCACTATCGACCTGTCCACGCTCGAACCTCACATCAACGGGCCATTCACCCCTGATCTATCGACCCCATTATCAGTATTTTCAAAGGCAGTCAAGTCAAATAATTGGCCAGAAACTGTATCCGCAGGACTTATTGGTAGCTGCACAAATAGCTCCTACCAAGACATGAGGCGTGCTGAAGATCTTGTCAAGCAAGCGTCAGCAGCAGGCCTGAAGCCAGCAACTGACTTCTTCATCACACCGGGAAGTGAACAAATACGAGCTACGCTCGATCGAGATTCCACCTTGTCAACTTTCGAAGATGCTGGAGGTATTGTACTTGCAAATGCTTGCGGACCTTGCATTGGACAATGGAAACGTACAGATAACATCTCGAAGGGAGATAGCAACGCCATCTTCACCTCGTATAACCGCAACTTCCGAGGCCGCAACGACGGCAACCCAGAAACCATGAACTTCCTCGCCTCCCCCGAAATCGTAACCGCAATGTCTTATGCGGGCACCACATCTTTCAACCCCTTAACCGACACCATAACCACACCCTCAGGAGACCTCTTCCGCTTCTCACCCCCAGGCGGCGCCGAACTCCCAGAATTTGGTTTCGAAACCGGAAATCCAGACTTCCTCCCAACGTCTGGAGCTCCCTCGCCGTCAACCCAGGTCGTCGTCTCCCCCACTTCTGACCGTCTTGCCCTCCTTGAGCCCTTCGCACCCTTCCCAGATCACGACCTGCACGGCCTCAAAGTCCTATACAAAGTGACTGGAAAGTGCACAACAGACACCATCTCCGCTGCCGGCCCCTGGCTGAAATACAAAGGCCATCTCCCTAACATTTCAGCCAACACTCTTATCGGCGCCGCCAATGCCGCCACTGGAGAAGTAAACGTCGCCTACGACGTCGATGGTTCTACATCCGGAATCCCTGAGCTTGCACAAAAGTGGAAGGATCAAGGTATCGAGTGGCTTGTTGTAGCGGAAGATAACTATGGTGAAGGATCAGCGAGAGAGCATGCTGCGTTACAACCTCGATTTCTTGGCGGAAGGGTGATTCTCGCGAAGTCTTTTGCTCGTATTCATGAAACGAACTTAAAGAAACAAGGTGTCGTCCCGCTGACGTTTGCGAATGGGGAGGATTACGAGAAGATCAATGCGTGTGATGAGGTTAGTACGGAGGGATTGTACGATGTGTTGAAGAGTGGAGGGAAGGGAGAGGTGAAGGTGGTGGTTAAGAAAAAGGATGGGAGCGAGGTGGTTATCAAGACTAAGCATACGCTCAGCGAGGATCAGTGTGGTTTCATACTGGCAGGCAGCGCACTGAATTTACTGGCGAAGATGAAGCGGACTTGATCAGCAATGATTAGATGTAGAGATACAAAGGTCGGAAATGATACCGAGTTTACTAAAGGGCCCATTGTCCAAGCATTGCGTGAGACGATGGTGCCGCCGGGGGAGGAAGGAGCACACGTCCAAGTCAACAATAACCTTACTTAAGGCCGCCGTTCCCCAGCCGTCATTCTTCTTCTTTCTCCATCATCAATGTTCCCAACCGCTGCGAACAACCATCAAGATCAAGATCAACACCGATTCAATCACCAACCATATCCGCCCCTACAAACTCCTCAATAGTGCGTAATTGTTCCACTCACAAACCTAAACTTTCGCCGATATGTCTTCCACCCTGCCCCTCCAGATCTCTTGGCTGATTGCAACGACGCATCTTCCCGCATCGCAAACTTTGGGCCCCAGGCCCCTATGGATGTAACAGTGAGCACCACAGGAATAACACCCTGTGCAATACCAACAAATGACAGTGAATGAAGCATATTGAAAGGAAACAACGGCTGGCTTCGTGAGTCGCTTTGGTAACTGGTACGCTGGACAGAGGGGCCTTTGAACCTTTGCTTCGGGATTGGAACCGGTGAAGTTGGGAGAGGAGATAGATGAAGTGGTTCATTGATGTGAAAAAGAATTCCTGGGTATTTAAATGATAGGGGTTGCTGCTTAATCGCATGTAGGATAAGCCGGAATTGAAAGGGGGATCTGTGTGTAAATAGACTAGTTCGGGATGCAAACTAGAATTGGTCACCAACTTTGATCTTTGGGCCTGCTTACCAGCCATTTCACCGTACCATGTCCAAATCTCTTTGGTGTTCGGCTGGAAGTCCAGACGTCCCTTTTTGATGAGGAACACTGGGGCCAATTGGCCTGCAGCGCTTCCATGGGACGGGGAAGAGGTTCAGGGGTGAAAGTAAACAATACTTGAGCCGACCTTTCCATTTATCCAGATGCGAAATGGGCTTCGGGGATGAAAAAACTTCTCATTCCAGACACTCATCACATAGGGAACCACAACAGTCATTCATTCAAGGGCTGTCTTGTCAGGCTCCGATAATGGTCAGTGGAATTGAACATTGGGGGACGATGCCACTGCACAGAGCTTCAAGAGACGGCAACCTCGCTGAGATCTCGCAACTCTTCCGCCTATCGCTTGAGGATCTCAACACCCATGATGAGAACTTGATCCCACTTCACATTTGCACTCAAAATAATGATATCCCTGCTGTGGAATTATTACTCAGCTACGGCACAGACCCAAATCTCCAAGTCACAGATGACCACAGCGAATTCGTGTCGGACTCCAACTTGGTATCTTTGGCAACGTGTCAATGATACATTGATATTATGAAGCGCCTGATCCAACACGGCGGTTCCGTGAAATCAAGAGCATTGAGAACCGCTGCTGAATGTGGAAGGTTGGATTGTGTCAAATTTCCCCTTTCTTGGGCGCACGAACACGATGTGGGGAAGTTCGCCGATGGGGTTGTGGATGAAGGAAGGGTTGGGAGGAGCTTTGTGTGCGGCATCTTTGGTCTGGAGAGATGAGATCGCGGAATCTCTACCGAATCAGGACAAATTAATCAAGTAGCAATGAACAGACCATTGCACACGGCTGTTCTCGACGAAGAGGATTTCGATGATCTTGATTCTGTCAACGCCGTTTTCAAGAGTTCCGATGAAGGGATGGAAAAGCGGTTCGAGTTAGTAAGATATGCTGACACGGATATCAACTCGAGGGATGAACATGACGGATCATTTCCTCACTAAAAGCTGTCATGCTTGGAAGTCGAGCAAGGGATGTTGTCGAGTTGTTATTACAAAAAGGAGTAGATGTCAACAGGTATGATGAGGATGGGAAGACGCCACTTTTTATGCAGTGCAAAGAGATGATTTGAGCATAGTGAAGGGACTCATTGAAAGGGGATCTTCTGTGGACGCCATAGACCACCACAATGGATACACACCACTTCACGTTTCAATTCGCAACACAACCTCGGCATGCCAATGCATCATGTCCTTCTTGCTCGCAAAAGGCACAAGTCCAACAGCACAGGCAGCAGAAAAAAACGATGCTCCACTTCACGACGCATGCCGGAATGGAAATCTGGTAGTTGTGAAACTGCTATTAGATTTCGAACCTGAGCTGATAGAAGCGAAATCCTCTAGAGATTGGATGGCACTTCATTCCGCTGCTTGTGGTCCGACAGCCGAGCGATGTATCGAAGTCTCCAAGCCACTGCTTGCTCGAGGGGCCGATATTGAAGTACTGGATGTGACAGGTTGGACAGCCCTCCACCATGCAATAGCTGGTGGCCTCTCGGATTTCATCGATTTCATCTGGTTCTTGGTGGTAGACAAGAATGCTGCTGTAAATGTATCGCAGAATATTGCCGGTTCTGGATGCGACACGCCGCTGCATCTTGCCGTTGTCCGCGGAGACGTAGATATTGTCAGGCTCTTACTGGATCATGGTGCCAAAATGGAAGCAAAAGACAGCTTAGGCAGAACGCCGTTACTGAGAGTTAGTCCAGCAGATGAAGGAGGTGAAATCAAATCAGACATTGTAAGAGAGTTGTTGGAGAGAGGTGCCGTTGTTGGGGCTAAAGACAAGAATGGGCAGGGACTTGACTGGGATGAGAGTTTCGTAGCGGATTTGATGGAAAGGAAATGGTGTTGAGTTTCTTAAGGAGATTGAAAGTGTTGGAAAGTTGAGATGGCAGTATTGGCTTCCTTTCTCAGCTCTTCAAATCGACCACATGGAGTTTCGGAGTTTCCCCTCTTTGTTTGTGACATACTTTTACACGCACCCAGTTTCATGACAGTTTCATCACTTTAAGGCAAGATGCTCGGTATTCTAGATGAAGCTACAGAGCCCAACTCACTCCTGTGCACACAGAATATCCAAGCCAGAGAGAAGGACAGGAGCTCCCAACTCCAGGACTCCACTTGTAAAAATCAGTCGATGTAATTCCAGTCCCAGTAACAATCTCTCCACATTTGTCCCCTGACATGACCTGCTTAACTTCTTTCAATTCCTCACCATTCCAGGTTGAACCGGAGTCGGTATCGAAATCCCGTTCCAGCTGTTATGGTAGGCTTCTGAGCGGTTGTGTTGGTACCTGCTTTGCTTCCGGTGGTTTTATACAGACGTAGGTAACAGCTCATATTGTGGAGTAGGATGCTCCGACAGCTGGATTCAATGCATAAAAAACCGAGGGGGAGATGCCGCTTCCGGAAGCAATAGTGGCACATCCATTACCAGCTTGGACATTATAAAAGCCAGTGCAGTTTGTTGCCATCCCGGCCTGGGTTGGTAACGGAGCCACAATTCCATCCCCACTAGTAGATGTTGTTTTTGGAGGATCTCCCGAATTTTCAGTAGTAATACCAACACAGACATATATTGATAGACAAAGAGATGTGCAAGAACTTCCCACGGCCGAATTCCAGTGTAGAATTGACTTGATGTAATGCCGTAGGTTGCCAGTATCCCGCTACAGGAATCTCCCGATTGAACAAGATAAAAAGTTTTGCAGTTATTGGCCATTCCGGCTTGAATTAGCGAAGGAGTTGCAATTCCATTGCCAGGAGCACGGTCGTCATAGGCTTTATGGTGGCCGATGTTGCTGGCCCAAAAACGTAGTTCTCCTCCAGGCAGTATGAATTCCCTGTGACTAGCTTACACGATATCCCTACAGAACAATTCTATTATAAGTGAGTATATTGCTCTTCGAATAATCGAGTTGAATGCTGACATATGTCTGGAAATTAGCAGAACTGATACTCCAGGTACTCGCAAATCTTGTACAGGTGCTTCCTGAAACTGCAACATCCCAACATGAACAATCTTGAACAGCAACAGGAGCGGCTGTCGTTAGAGAATCCACCAAATAGCCACTTGTTAGGGGGATTATAAGTGCCACAATAGCTACCACAAGTGTGTTTGTTTTCACAAGAGGCAGAAGTAAAAAAGTCATTATAAGAAAACTTTTCTCGTAGAAACCTTGATTTTTGGACAGCGAATTTCAAGAAATATAAAATCCGATGTGAATCCTAACAATCGGCTACGGTCCGTAACTAAGCAGTTTTCATGGGGATAAAATTGACATTTGCTGCGGCACCCAGGAGTGGTTTATCCTAATTATTGGGGGAGAATCCTATGAGACACAGCACCTAGTTGCATACAAGTGGGGCAAGATTCGCCTCAGAAGAGGTAGGAACTAAAAACCTCCTAGTTCTCATGCGGCTTGCACCAAATACTATAGATGATTGTACATTTAATTACCTTCCTTGGCCTCGCCGGGTTTGCGAATTAGGGATCTCTCTAAATAACTCGCCTTTATTCAGCTGTTATTGGTATGAATGGAAGTGATGTTGAGCCTAACATAATTTCACCTGATTCCGTATCGCCGTATCCTCTCTCCTCTCATATTTAGGTCTCAGGGGCTTCTCGCTTACTTCATTCAGAACACTTTCCAAATAATAACCTTTCCGGAATTGCTGCGAGTTTGGTTTAAAGTAATGTTAGTGTCTAATTGGTTCTATATATGGTTGATTAGGATTTTTTTTATTTTTACATGTAAGCAGTTGTTTTGCAAATTTGAAGTGATGCTTTTGGAATAAGCGAAGCGACGTTGGGGAGCTCGAACGGATATAATTTCATTAACTCTGTACCAATTCGAGAATAAACCATTTGAATATTGAAGAAAGACTCATGTTCTAAAGGTTGACCGAAATTGTTTCTGCTGGCTTGCTTGCAGTATTTCTTCCTGCAAATGTTGTATGTTCTTCTGTGCCGATATTGTTCCAATTCCCCTGAGCCGGAAGCAGAGCCCTACTATCGCTTAAGCTGTCTAATACTATTAATTAGCGCAGATGCCCTTGAATTTTCCATAGTAGTGACTAACTTCTTGCATATGCTGGACCTTAAGATTAACTCTCGATCGGGTCTGGCTGACTGTGCCGAAGATCGTCCTTGATATATCGGTCTGCCCATGGTTGTTCCAGCGAGACCAGGTACTGAACAGCAGTTTCACATCGAACTTCAGAGCTGGGGAGACAGTTTGTAGGAAACCCGCTATGTTGCTTCCACGTCTCTAGCCTATATTTTTGATGTCCGCCATTGAGGCGATACAATGAGATTGACCTCAACTATGGCCAGCCAACACTAACACTAACAAATCAATATGCTGCTATTAGGCGGGACAACTGGAGGCGGAATCCACGGACTGGCATGTATGATAGGAATCCCAATGTTCCCAACTAGAAAGAATTATACAGAACTTCAATTAGGGCATATTAATATTTTCCGAGGGTTGCACTTGTACGAAGTTCTGCTTTCGGTGATGGTGAGAACTAGTGCGTTGGGGTGGGGTGATGGAGGTATTGGAGTTTCGACAGTGTGAACAAAGTTAGCTGGAATAAACGTAGAGTAAATTATTCCGCTTTATTAATGTAGCTAAACAAATGAATTGTTCGTGGGCTGAGGCACAAGCTCTATCTCGTCGTAATTACAAACTCCTCGGAACAAAACCTCCCAGAGTCCTAGCCCCCCTGCCCCCTCCACGATTTAGTGATGCGGTGGCAGCATATTTTGGTTCTGACCATTTGAACTTGAAATTGCCCTAAGCTCACAAGCCCTAGTATCGAATCAAGAAATGCCATGTTCTCACAACAAAGCCGCCGTCTCCTTCTCGTCCAGTTCCAAATCTCCCATTTGCAGTCTCCCAGATTGCCCTCTCTCCATCCTCTCACTGTCGCTAGTGAACGCCTTCCACAACAAAAGATAAGGCACAATAACCATGCCAGCTATTCCAAGTACAATAAGTCGAAGCCATCGTGGAAACCAAGGCAGCTTGGAAAGGATGTTTTCGACAAGCAACTTGTCTGCAAGACGCTCGGAAAAGACTGTTGCAAAACCTAGGATGATCGAGAGAACGAAAATGGCCCCGAGGGTAATAACGGGGTTAGAAGGAGCCAGAAGAGTAATGGCGTCATTGTCCTTTCTTTCCCCAAAGCGTTGATGAGAGATAAGAGTGTCTAAATTTGTGCTGAGCTGGCGGTTTCGATTGCGTACAGAGAGTTGGCTTCAGCAGAAGAAGTAAATATGATTGAGAAAGGAATTATGAGGAACGGTGAGTTTTGGAAGACAGAAACTTCATTTCATCATTATTGTAATATATTCGTAAATGGAATGGTTGGTGGAGTTGGAACCATAGATGGCTCCAATGCTATGTCTCTTCCGGCTAGGCTCTGCCTCAACCTCCGTCACCACACACCAATCGATCCAGAGATGGCCTTTTTTCAAGAATCCCTTGCACCATGACTTCGGGCTCCACATCACCACCAGCATAACCTCACTCCCTTCCCGAACTCAGCCTCGTAAACCATCTTGAACTATTTCAATCGTGCCTGTCGGTGATAAGCCCGAAGCGAGCCACCCCCTTTCCAAAGCCCTGCAAAAGGCACATCAATACGCCAGCAAACATAAGTATTTCGTGTCTCTCACGAGTTGCCGCCACCTTTGGAGCGGCCAAGTGCAATGCACCAACACAAGATCAAGAGTGGAAGCACAAGGCAGAGACCGATGACAATGAGAGCAATAACGATGTTTGGCGCGAGTCCCATTTTCTGATGACCTCTCGTTTCGTTTCGCCGTCTTGACTTTTGATAGGGTTGTTCGCTTGAAGAAGGAGTCTGTGGGAGGTGTCTATTGATAGTGGGAGGTTTAGAGAGATGTGGAAGAATTTAGAGGAGACTGGGGACCTTTTATAGGGCATTGCAAGGTAGAGGGGTTTTGAATGACTGTTCCTGTGGAAACATCGGGGAGTTTTCTGACTTCTGTGATTCTGACCAAGTAACCGGGAAGATAGATGCGCTGAATGGGGAGTCTTACAAAACAGGAAGTAGATTTTATGCCTGAATAACAATCATTGAGCAACTTCGTGGTTTAAATTCTTGATCTGCAAGCCTTCCTTTTGTGGGGGGTGGGCGCGGATATTTCTGGTAAGGAGAACACCATTTGAACACCAGAGCCCTACTATACTCATAATCCTTACTTGTTGTATTGGTTTGGCATTCGTCCTGCTGCATATGTGAAGTGTAGTCGATCCTGCTGCGTAGGGTTAGTCCCACCATCTGAATCAAAATTCCACGACGTCCCTAGATAAATTTTTTGAAACCCTCTCATATTCTTTCCCCAAAACCTTCATCCCCTCCAAAAGTTCTTCGCTCTCTCGATTTTTCATCAGGTCACGCAGATCAACAACAGAGGTCCACACGCGTTCCACACCTTTATTTCCCCTCGCACAATTTGTCACGACTCCCTCACCCAGGTTTAACCAACATACCCACCACCATCATGCCGGAAACTGCCCCATCTACCTCGTCGACTTCGTCTGCCTCCTCACAGTCTCTACCGCTGTCTCTGCGTCGCAAATGCCATCTGCAAAGAGCCGCAAGTCTTGAAATGGGAGGCTGGGAAGATGGATTAGTTTGTCTGATTTTGGGTGAAAGGAACAAAGAAGGGGGTTGAGGGGTAGAAAGGGACATTTGTCTTGCAGTGGAGGAGCAGATGTGTATATTTTTCACATTCGAGAGTACATGGGGTTTCAAAAGTCCGGAAAATCTAGAATTGGGTATCGACAACAATAGGGACACTACAAACTCGGATCTTCTTCCTCAGTTCCTTTGCTATTGCGCATGGGCTTCTGAGGTCCGCAGGTGTTGTCTTCAAGAACGAAGCCTACTGGCCACCCATAACAGGGTAAATCCTTGGCTCCCGTCTCCTCTTCCTCCTGCCCGGTCCAGTCTGCGGTTCTTCGGGCTCAAGCTGCTCAATCATCACCAGTCTCCCATTTTGAATTCCCGGAACACAGTTGCCCAATCCTTCCTTCCCGAAAAGCTCTTCCAGTCGACGGTCCATCTCCTTGCACTCCTCTTCGGATCGCCACTCACTTGTCTGATGGATATTCCAGCCCTTATCCGCTCTCTCCTTCCGCACTTGTGCCGTGAGAATCTTGCCGAAGTTAGCTTTCCTTCCACCACGAGCTTCAATTTCTTTGATCTTCTCTTGTCTCTCTTCTTCTGTCATCTTCCTTGGCCAAGCAACACGAGGATCAATGTGGCCCCAGATCTGAGTACTGAGTAGCTCTTTACTCGTGGGTTGCTCGTCAGATTGAGGTTGAGCTTGCTTGAAGAGGAACGAGTCGAGCTCTGTGGTGTTAAAGTTAGCCGCTCGTTGGGCACGTATCGCTTCTATTGATATGGGTGGCGGTGTTTCATCGTGTGTGCCTATGAGCCGCTCACGACAACTCTCGGATTCCGGATGAGGTGGATCAGATTTCTCCGGCTCTTCTGCGTCAGAGGAGACGTTGGCAGAATATGTCGAAGAACTTGGGCGGCGAGCTGGAGGAGATGCGCTCTTGTAAGGCGAGGAGGGGTGTTCTGAGGCGAGTCGGTCAATCAAAGCGAGAGAATCGGGGTCTAACATCTCTTCATCATCGTCCGATGGGTCCCGAACTCGAGGAGGTTGATATGGATGTGCATGGCTGGCCGCTATCTCTTCCTCGATTGACGGAAGCCCGGCCATTCCAAATTCCAGTGAGTTGGACTCTGATGCGTCTTGCTGACTTGCTGTCGCTGCCAACTCCTGTGCAATCTGAGAACCTGGACTGTCGTCTCGATGATCAATACCGGTCCAAGGATTGGTGTCATCGGCCACTTCCGGGGGAGGCGGCGAATAATCAGGCGAGTCTTGGGCCACAATTTGGAGAGTTTCACGAGCTGAATTTAATCTGTATTACCGTTAGGTCCTAGCTAACACACCAAAGTTTAAAGGCCTTACCCTGAAAACAAACTTCGTTGCCAGCCTGTTGTCGGTTCAATCGGAGACTCTGCCATACTTGCAGAGCTCAAAGATCGATTTAGATCATCAACGGCTGTCTCAACTTCCCTCGGGCTTTTCAGTTTATTCGTTTGCCTTCCATTCTGTTCTGGAGTCCGTTTGAAGGCTGATCTGGGGGACGGTCTAGTGGGAGTCGGTGGACTTCGAACGGGTTCTGGAGCCTTGAATGTAAACTCCGAGCGTACTGGGGGCTGGAAAGCGAACATGCTCTGTTCCTGGCCCATGTCTTGATGACTCCCGCTGCTGGAACGCTTTGCGACCGGACGCTTCCTCTTTAAAAATGGTTTATCATCCGGTTTGACAGGATATAACTTGTCTTTATTGAAGGAGCGAGGCGCCGGTGCCGGTTTCGGCGGCGCTGCCTTTGCTGACGCATGTCGCTCTTCAATTCTGTGCTTCGGGCATAGAGGGCGGGATCCGGACTGGTGTATGAAAAGGAAAGTAGTGCAGCTATCAACCTCACACTGTATTTTAGGATTCATTCCTAGTGTCTTCGGGGACTCTTTCGCAGGTTCTAAACCGACACTCTTGGAAGCGGGATGGGAGCTAGCATAGGGAGAGGTGTACGGCTGGGTTGAAAATTTTGTTGATGACTGCGATGTAGAGAAAGCGGCCGCGATCTTCTTCTTGTTTTCTTGCTTGTCCTTGCAATGTTTACAAGTCCACGGCGCGCTGAAGTAAGTCAGTGACTGGAGGATTAGCAAGGGATATGCTGAATAGGCTACGCTGGTGCTCTCCGACTGTCCAGTGGGACAGAGCAACAAGCAGGAGCGTGTTTCGCAGTCCCAAAAAGTAGGCAGAAGAAATGTAAACGTACTCGCAGTCTTCTATGTATGGGCTAGCACAGCCTTGATGGATCTTCCATTTACATCGGGTACATTGAACCAAGCGTTTGACGACCGACCCCTCCCCTTTGCATACCATGCAAAGGGTTGCTTTGCTCGCTGACGACATCGAGGTAACGGAGCTGGAATCATCAAACCCTTCAAATTTCTGCAAATGCTGGTCAGTATCGGGATACTTGACTTGATATAAGTAACATCGGAGAGATAGGATATGTCTCAGGTCTTTTCAGTTTTTGATAGTCGTCAACCTGCAGGCTCGAGCGGCTTCGAATCTCGACTCGGACCTTGAAGAAGATGCCTCCACTAAGACCAAACAATTCCAAGTAGTCGCTTTTGGCTTTGCTGTGATAATCGGATAGGGAACCTTTCCACCGCAGCCTTTGGTTGTGTGTCCGGGAGAAAGACGAGACACAACTCCTGATAGCGGTAGTGCCAATGGCAATAATTTGTCCCACATATACACCACTCTCACTTTGCTCGCATGAGAGCAGTCTTGCTGCTGGATAGCCAAGTGAAAACAAAGGAATTATTGAGTAAAGTATCCTCAGCTGTCACCTCTCGAACTGAGTCTCGATCCAGAACCAGAACAAGCTTTGAAGCAGTCGGACCTTTTACCAGAATGCTCATCATAGACATGATATTAGAAGCTGTAATGAAATGCCACATACCTTCCCTATAAACAAACTCTCAGTGCCGCCATGGGATTTGTTTGTCGGAAGGCTGCCCGCAGGGGGGTGAAGTGGTGACCCTTGATCCATTGCTTTCTCGGAAAGAGTGACAGGTCATTTATGCTAGCATCAGTTCGAAGGAAGGGTCGGATATGGGTTCTTGGGTTCAGCCTTGTAAAGAGGATAGACAGCTGGATTGATATGGTGAAGGTGAGGGACGTGAAAGCGAGATCGTTGTCGGATATTGTGTTGAATTGAAATATTGTTCCATCGGTGACATGGATGAAGTCAACATAAGATAGTAGTGAACTCTCCTGTCTCAGGGATGCCGAAGGATTTTGAATCTTTTGTGAAGTCGTGATATGAAAATGTTTGAAGCAATCCACGCTCACGAATTCATGGGACGTGCTCCTGAAGATGCCCCACTGAAACTCCTGACCTGTCGGCACTAGCGGCCGCTGAGAGAAGGCTACCAAGATCGAAATGCCAGATGTTCTCGCATGACAACTGCAAATAACACAATCATTTGGCATCCTTGTGCTTTCTTCGTTCTTCACTCTCTTGATGGATTTTCTCAAATCTGCTGTAGCCTCAGCAATATCAAAAGGGCCTCCATTTCCCTACACCTTCGGCGATCGAGTCGATGTTGACACGAGCATCTGGAATCTCTTCAATGGAACTAAACGCGTAGGACAAGGACCCCGCCAATGTTGAGGACTGTACTGATAAGGTGATACAGGAAGATGGGTCGAATTGCAGTATTTTCTCCTTCGATGTCACAGCCAACAAATCCCGTCTGCCAATGGCAAGGAATGCCGTGAAGAAACTCCGAACATTACGACATCCGGGAGTTATCAAAGTGCTTGATACGGTCGAGGTATGGAACAGGAAGGCCATACGAGGAGGACAAGTTATTGATCGCTGGATAGACCGAAACCTACATTTATATTGCGACAGAGAGGCTGGTACCACTGAGATGGCATATCACGCGGAAGAGCATGAGTGCAGAGACACTGAAATGGGGACTATGCGGTGTAGCTGTAAGTATGCTCTTTACGTATGGGATACAGGCCTCTGACTCTAACCTCCAGCAAACAATCAAATTTATCAATGACGATGCCTCCTCAGTCCACGGCGCTCTGCGAGTTGGGTCAATATATACCAGTGAAAGTGGAGAATGGCGAATTGGAGGCTTCGAAGTCTTGAGCAGCATGAAGGATGACGAGGCAATCATATACGTATGCTACCAATTGCAAACTGGACCTACACATAACTGATGATCCCTAGAATTATGGCAGCCTCGTCCCTGACTCTGGTCGATACACACCACCTGAGCTGGCAAAATCTGGCTGGGATGCAATCAAGAAGAATCCCCTGGCAGCAGTCGACGCATACAATTTTGGCACATTAATACTCGAAGTGTTTAATGGCGATTTCATGGGACCAGATCAGGCTGGGCAGACGAAGAACATTCCTCCTTCAATGCACTCGAGTTATAGGCGGTTGGTCAACAGTAATCCCAAGGCCAGAGTCAGTGTTGGAAACTTTTTGGAACAAGGACGGCGGAGTGGTGGCTTCTTCAACACACCGTTGATTAAGCTTACAGATGGGGTAGACAATCTTGGGATGAAGAGTGAGGAGGAGCGAGAGGAGTTCTTAAAGTAAGTCCTCAATGTATGTGGGTTCAGGAGCGCTCATCTAACCAGAACAGTGACTTGGATCAATTATCGGATGACTTCCCGGAGGACTATTTCAAGATGAAGATTCTTCCTGAGCTTCTTAAGTCCGTCGAATTTGGAGGCGGCGGACCGAAAGTCTTTGGAGTGGTCATGAAAATCAGCAAGAAGTTGACAGACGAAGAGTTTGAGGCTAAAGTTACTCCTGCTGTTGTTCGGCTTTTCAGCAGCCCGGATCGAGCAATTCGAGTTTGTCTGCTAGACAATCTACCACTAATGATTGACCGATTGCCACAAAAAGTTGTCAATGATAAGATATTTCCTCAGATGGTATTTCACTTGTCCAGAAAGGCGTTTACTTAGCTGACGAAGATAACAGGTTACTGGATTTACGGATGTTGCGCCAGTGGTACGGGAACAGACTGTCAAGGCTGTTCTAACCATTATTGGTAAACTATCTGACCGGACAGTTAATGGTGAGCTCTTGAAATACCTTGCCAAGACTTCAAACGATGAACAACCTGGAATCCGTACAAATACCACGATATGTTTAGGGAAGATCTCCAAAAACCTCAGTACCAGCACGAGATCCAAAGTCTTAATTGCAGCATTCACACGTTCTCTCCGTGACCCCTTCATCCACGCCAGAAATGCAGCCCTCATGGCATTAGCAGTCACATCGGACGCGTTCAGCGAAGACGATATTGCCAACCGAATACTGCCATCTTTGTGCCCCTCCCTAATTGACAAGGAGAAGCTCATTCGAGATCAAACCAACAAAACAATGGACGTATATCTCCAAAGAATACGCAAATTCGCCTCCACAATGGCAGATACCGTCTTGCCACCTCTAAACGCCGTAGAATCCTCAACAGCGACACCCCGGATGGGTACCCCACAACCCAGCGAAGCCGCCTCCTGGACCGGCTGGGCCATCTCCTCCTTTACCAACAAAGTCTCCACCGCGGTCGGTGAAATAACCGCCGAACGGAACGCCGCGTCCAACCTAGCTCGTCCCTCCTCCGCACCCCTCACCACAGAATCCCGCAAGCCTCCAGGAACAGCCTCAGCCTCTGCCCTACATCGCCAAGCCGTCATCTCCCCTCCTGCAACATCAGCGCGAACATCAACATCCTCAAACGCAAACGACTATTTTCACGACGCCGACACTGGACCCGTCGAGATCGACATAGATGACGGGTGGGGTAATATGGAAGAAGATTCTTTCTTTGATGCTCCTGCTGATGCTTCGAAAGCCAAGGCTATGGGGGGAGCGAATCCATTTGAAGATAATGGGGAGCCGGACTTTGCGGGATGGCTAGCGGCGCAGGCGGGGAAGAAGGCGGGTGGGAAGCCACTTCCTAAGGGGTTGGCGAAGGCGGCAAATGGGAGTGGAAGTATACGGCCTGTTTCTGCAAGGTCGGCGAGCACGGGTGATGGTGTGGCAGCAGCAGGAGTGAAGAAAGCTGCTGCTACTACGGCGCCTAAATCCAAGCCGGCGGCGGCGAAGAAAATTGATACGGCACCTAAGGAGACGGGTGAGGATGATGGGTGGGGTGATGGGTGGTGATGACTATATGGGGAATGTCAAGAGTGGCCTTGGAGTCTGGAAGAATAGGACAGGCATTGCGAGGTGTTATTGGGTGGGATACCAGGCTATGTGTGATGTGTGTACGTACGCAAATGTATATTTCTGGTTTGAATCATGATTCACTACGTGTCCAAGTCGACGGGCTGAATATAAATAAGCACCAGTATATTGATTCCTGATCTTCAGCCATCTGCTTCACCCTGAACTTGGAACGGTGATAGAGATCGATGATAAGCTCCGAGTCTCCAGTTTAAACACTTGGGAACTGCTAGGTGCTGGCACTTTTCATAACAGGAGGCACCTCCTGCGTAGGTTATCAGTGTGCTCTCGCCATTGCACGGAAGCACCCCTCCTACCAAATCACTATCGCCTCCCGCACCGACAACGGTTCCGCAACCACCATCAACAACTTCCTCGACCAAAAAAAGACACCACCTTCCACCCTCTCGACCTCGGCTCCATCTTCAACATCCGCGCCTTCGCCACGCACTTCTCCTCTTCAGACCGCCCGCCCATCTCACTTGGTCTTAAACGCAGTCCTGCAGTCCACATAGTGAGATCCATAAAACAGTTGATGGATTTGAGACCACGTTCGGCATCTCGCACATTGGGCATTCCTTGTTGTTCCATTTACTATTCCCGTACTTCGCGAAAGAGGCGAGATCTCGTATTGATAACCACGAGCGGGACACACGGCCCAGATCAGAAAACAGAGATGTTGGATGCGAATTTCACGAACGCGGAAGAGATTGCAAGGCCAAATGCAAAAGAAGCGGGTATTGTGAAGGGGAGAGGAAGCTACACCACGACGAAGCTATGTCATGTCCTCTGGACTTATGCTCTTGCGAAACGCTACTCCACCCTTTCCCAGCAGGGCGGGGGCCGGAGTTAACAGCAATAACCTTCAATCCTGGCCTCATGCCAGGCACGGGACTTACGCGAGCATCTTCTGCGATTGGGAATTTCCTGTGGCATAAGGCGATGCCGCATATTCTGCCGTTGCTGCGCTTGCTACTCGGAAACAAGAATATCCATACGCAGGCTGAGAGCGGGAAGAATATGGCGTTTCTTGTTCTTGGCGAGGGAGACATGAAAGGCACTAATGGCGTGTATTTTGAGAATCACGGGGAGAAGAGGAAGATATCGCAGAGTGTAAGGAACAGTGATTGCACAAATGGTTGTCTGATTAAAAGAAGCTCTGAGGGAGCCTCTGATCTTGCTAAATAAAGGGGAGCTGCTGAGTAAGCTGAGCTAAGCTCCCTAGTACCCGTATCCATACGACAGAAGAGTAGTCAGGTTAGTTATGAGGAGGGGGAAAGGGAAGAGCTTTGGGAGTGGACGATTAAGACGGTGGCGAGGGATGGAGAGGAGAGGAAGGCCTTTCATATTGGGAAGTGAGGCTGTCAAAGTGAAGTGAAGTTTGTGCTTTGTGAGGTTTGGAAGGTGGTGTTCGCGTCTTCATGCTTGATCGCATATTTCATCGAGCAGTGGAGGAATTTTGGAAAGTACTTGTAGGATAGGAGTTATCAGCCACCTTCGGACCTTGACCACAGGTCGTCATCCGACTTTGGATTCTGCCACCGCTTCCTTTTTCATAAATGAGGAGGTTGGTCATTTTCAACGAATCAAAATTGTCTTTGCTCAAATTAGCCTTCCCCCTTTTGAAAATGAGGAGGTTGGACTTTTTCAACGAATCAAAATTGTCTTTACTCAAATTAGCCTTTCCCCTTTTGGGAATGAGGAGGTTGGTCATTTTCCAGCCAATCACACCGCTCAATCTCGCAATGAAAGATTTGGGGGAAATGGGCCAGGTACGGTATGCTCATGCTCGTGGTGTGCGAAATAATGAAATCAAAGAGATGTAATTAAAATGCACCGTGATATTCTTCATTCATGAAGCCGGGAATGAATCATCCGGTCGTCTCGCTATGCTATCAGTATCCTTAAGAAATTCATCGCAAAGAAACGCCATCCTCCCGCCATGCCATTGCCAGAACACCATGCCTGAACGCCAAGCTAAAGCAGTTCAGCGAGCCTCAGAATAATCATTGAGCGCAACGCAGACTAGTCCCCGATGATGCCCGTTGTATTGCCGAATAATCGACTCACTGTGCAGCTCCCACAATCTCGCATAGTGGTCCGAGCAAGCCGTTACTAGGTACGCGGAATCTGCGCTAAACGCACAGTCCCAGACCCATCGTTGATGGCTTGCGAGCGTGCTTTCCAGCTTGAACGGCTTTGGTGTCTTGTTGTCTGGTTGAACTTGGCCGGGACCGGGGATCATGGATTCGAGGTCCTTGACTTCCCAGATCTTGGCCGTGTGGTCGGCGGAACAGGTTGCTAGGTGCTTGACGTCGGGGGAGAGGAGGACGCGGGTTATGTAGTTTTTGTGGGCGGAGAAGTGGGTTATTGGGATTAGGGTTGTCTTTTCGCGGTATTGGAGGAGGTGCCAGACGTAGACATTTCCCTAAGATCACGTTAGATGCTGCAAAGAGAAGTGTGAGGGATGCTTACTGAGTTTGTGCCAGCGCAGAGAGTCGAGCCATCACTTGCCACCGTAACGCTTGCAACAGGAACATCTTCCTCAGGGATTAGCTGATGAGAGCAGTTGTTCTCTGCAAGATCCCATATGCGCACGCTGCCTCCACGGTCACAGGCAATGATCTCGCCTTGGTTTGGGTGGATGACTACGTCGTTGACAGGGGAGCCATGGGAATAGCTCCGTTGGACAGAACCGCTCCTAGTCTCCCAGATTTTGACTGTGCCATCTTCAGAGCTTGTGACCATCCATTTTCCTTCGCAGTGAAATGCGACACCTGTGACATTGCCTGTATGGCCTTCGAATGCGAGGAGGGGGTTTGGGTTTGTGGATTTGATGTCGTAGAGTTTGACAGTGTGATGACCAGCAGCGGCAAGGAAGCGTTTGTCAGGGGAGATACAGAGACGGTTAACTTGGGAGTCAGAATGTTGGATCGTTCGAGAGCAGATGCCAGAGAGGGCTTCCCAGAAGCTGGATGGAGAAGAGTTAGCAAGGCTTCTACAGCTGGTGGGAAGAAAGCATACCGTATTGTGTGGTCGTAACCAGCTGTTGCCAGGATACAAAGGCCTTCGTCAGCTTCTCTCATTCGGTACGCCATGGTGGGGGAGCGGGTTGATAGGAACTTGAGGCGCAGAGGGGTTCATGGTGGGGTTGAAGGGATGAGGAGGGGAGGATAGCGATGCAGGAAGGAGCGGCGGTGAGCACTTACCTGTGCAAAGAATTACACTCATATCTTTCAGATGGGCAGATTCTCTTTATCATATAGATTCCAACATTTGCAAAGACAAATATCGACTCCAAAAGCTCTGTCGTCGATATTCTGGTTGCGCCTAAATATTTCTGACGTTGCAGCAGCCACTGAGCTCTGCGCTTCTCCAGCAGTTTGCAGGGGTGGCCCTTCAGGCCATTGGAGACTTGGCCAATTGGAGCTTGGTGGCCGCTCGCTTCAACTTCCTCTTCGGAGCTAGCGAATTTCATTCCGACTCGCGGCCGATATTTGATGCTCCTCGCCTGAATTCGATTTCAACCTCTTCATACCTCCACCAAGAGACAAGTCACACTGCCTCTGCTTCCCAATTGCACTCTTCGCTGCGAATGGGACTACGCATCTGCTTCTCGCACATCTCATTTCGTGCCGAGCGCAAGCAAGCCTTTCGCTCACCTTCATCTGAGCTGCCGCCTGATCAGCTACGTCAAACCTCTTGCCTTTTATCAGAGGATATTCGTCCAGGTCACAGCTGCAACAACTTCTACCGAGCTCGCCAGCGGCCTATATAGGTCGGGAGGTATATCAAGATGGGTCATGATCAAGAAGATGACCCTGGCAGCTCATGCTACATCAAGCGAGAGCCGGCCGATGAAGGTATTTATGCTTCTACACGGCGCGAGCGCACTTTCGCAGAGATCTTCGGTCCTTTTGAGACAGAATCTGGGCTTACACTGCAACCCATGATACAGTCTTCTGATCCGAAGCCTACCCATGCTCCGAGGTCACTCACCGCTGCTGAACAGAAAGAACTTGATGAGCTTCTCGGCTGGGGTTCTGAGCCAGAACTGCCTCCTCAGGAAGACCATTCATTTTCTCAATTTCTGTACGACGACGCCGATACGCACCCATCTATTTCCGGTCAGCAACCGCCGTCATTTGCGGAGTACTGTCGAGTTTCTCAACCAGAGAAATCTGGACCACCAACATCATCGGTAAGTGCTTTACCCTCTGGCACGACCACGGCTAAACCACGACAGCAACCATCACAATCTGATTGCTCTGCATTGGCTTCCTCACTCGGAAAGAGACAGCGACCTTCGGATCCAAGTGCGCCTCCCCCAGATCAAGGAGAACAATATGCAGCGCTCACATCACTTGTAAGTACTTCACCCTCCCGTACGAACAGAGCTAAAACGTCACAGCAGCTGGCGCAATCTAATAGCTCTGCATCGTCACCAGGCAAGCGACAGCAACTTTCAGAGTCGTTGGCACCACCAGATCTCCGAGAGCAATGTATATCTAGAACAACGTCGGTAGGTCATCCGCCTTTCTCTGACACGAATAGAACTAAAACATCACAACAGCCATCGCAATCTGATTGCTCTGCATTGACTCCGCCACCAAGCAAGAGACAACGACTTTCGTATCCATCTGCGCCTCGTCCAGATCAAGCAGAGCAACGACGTGAATCGCGAACACCATCGGTAAGTCCTCCACCTTCCGCCAACAAGAACAGAATTAAAGGTTCAAAACAGCCAGCCCAATCTAATGGCTTTGTATCTGCGTCGCAATCACCAGCAAGATCAGAGACACCACCAACCCCAATTGACGACGATTTCGTTCTTTCGGAACTTTTCGGCGATTTTGGACAAGAGGAAGTCTCAGCAGGGGTAGAGCACCGACAACGCCCTCTAGCTACCGACGTGATATCCCCTCAAAGTCAAACCCTCGTCGGCTCTCTTCAAGCTACGGAGAGAAATCTCGCAAAACCCATCCCAGTTGTAGATCTCACCGACGAGCACGTGACAACTACCCGCTCTTTACTTAGCAACGACCGAAACAACCACGCATTAAGAGCTTCATTCCATACACCAATACCATCGATTGAATGCAATACCCGCGCCGATTCGACACAGCCAACGACATCAAGCAATCCACGTGGCAGCCAGCCCTCATCACAACCAAATGCAAATTCTGAAGCGTTCACTTACCGAGCAAAGCTTAACGACTATCTCGCTCACAAGCAAGAGCACAAGGGTAATCGTAGCAGCCACACAAGCAAAAACCCTTCACCAACCAGATTCGATCCTTCCATGTTACACAAGTTCTCAACTTTCATGAAACTTCGCAATTCGCTGCCAATCTCAGCAATTATGGCGATGATGGCACCCCCGAACCAAACCCAAGTCCTTGCAGCCCTTACAGAACTATCCAGCTTAGAAAAATCGCCTGGCGTCACTCAACCCGCGACCCATGAGATACCAGCTGAGATGCGAGCAATGCTCGATAACCTCAAGCGGAAGTTCAACTCAGATAAGTCGTTCTTGAAGTCGGTCATTATCTACGCAACTGAGCAGTTGATCGGCAATGGTAGGTTTTTCTCCCCGAAGAATATTCATCTACTTACATCGCTTCCAGATCAAGGCGAAGGCAAATCTGTCGACCGCGACAGCGTTCTCAGGATCGGTCTCAATGGACTGACTACCGTTGAAGAAACACGGGAGCAGCTTTTCAAAGAGCGGTCTCACTACCACGAAATCTTATCGAACCAGGAGTACGTGATCAACCGCCTCAAAAAAGAAATCGGTAAATCAACGGCATCCCTCACTCGCAACACTCCCGGCTACAATCCCGGCACGTCTTCAACTACCCACCTTGCACCAACTTCCTCGCCACAAACCACCGCCACTGAGCCGCAGCTAGAGCTCAACGGCGATGGGCCAATCAAGAACAATCCGTACTGGGTCTGTAGTCATGTGATGTTTGATGGATCTGGCTTGCCGTGTAATGGTATCAATCAAGAATGGTACCGTCCTCATTCCCAGCGACAAGGTATTGCGCCCAAATGGACCCAGAGACAAATCTGCGCCAAGTGCAGTCGGCCAAACAAAACCAATCGCAGATATCTCACAGATACCGAGGCCAGGATGTTCAGCACACTTTTTGCAACTGGCCAGCAAAAGCAGGTACCCGCCGCCACGGTCCACCAAACTATGCTCCAGCCGGCAATGACGCCTCCTATGGCCCAGTATCCCATGGTACAATGGATGCCTGCGATGATATCTCCATTCGTTCAGCACCCCATGATGCAACCAATGCCTCCACTTGCCCAGAACCCATTGAGACAATCGACGCCAGCCTATACGTCGCCGTATGTTGCTCAAGCTGCGCCTGCTCCTCGAAAGCGAAATGAAACCGCACCAGCCCCGCCTTCAAAGCCTCACCCCGGATTCGCCATAACACCTGCGGTACAACAAGCGATCCGCCGTGAGTTGCCAATGAAAGAATGGATGAAAGAAAAGGGGACTATTCAGGTACAATCTGATGAATCCGGTGCAGCGGACGACGACATGGCATCACTGTTTGGAGAAGATGAAGAAGTCAGTAATGCAGACTTGGAGGCGGAACTTATTGCAGCACTTGACGAAGCTCTTGCTTCTTAAATGTAATTAGATTCTCTCGAACAATGAAAATTGCACTTGCACAATTTCAAATTTGGAATCCACGTTGTGTAAGTGAAAACTTGTGCTGAGCCTCTTAGTTCAATGTACCAACCAAGCAGGAGACAACGTTATAATTGATCAAAAATGATCTTATACCCTTTCCCTTATTGGCATTGTACGAATTCACGTTGGGACCGTGTTCTGATTAGCCTGGAATTGACCAAATTTCTTAGTGTATTTAATTTCAAGCGCATTGTACTACCAGTTCATCACGGACTAATCGCATTATCTCCTTTATGAAATATACGGATTGATCGTAGAACATTGAATCCGGATGTACGAAATTAGCATGGAACAACTACGTTAGTCTTATTCATAGATTGTACGGATTCAATATTGGACCTTGTAATCTGTTGTACATGATTATCACTGTACAATAATTACCTTTTCTTATAAATCTATTGTACATATTCGGCATGGAACATTTGCCTTGTCTCGCGAATTATTCGGGTTCGGTACTGGACAAAATTGCCCGTTCTCATGATTTCGTTGCATAGATTCAACCGGGACAATCTTGGGCTTATTACCCAAGGTCCAAAGTCTTCCCTTGTTCAATTCTCGAAAAATGAGCTGCCTTCTCAATTTCCCAAATCCAAAATTCCTATTTGAAATGGAACAATTGCCATTTCTTACTAATATGCTGTACACATTCATCTCGGACAATCAACTTCTCTCATGGATCTATTGTATGGATTTATGACTGAATAATTATGTTTTGACATATGTATATATATATATATCTTGTAGTGGTTATCACAGAACAATCGCTCCTTGCTCAAATCTGGGGGATGATCCGAACGATGGTTATTTTGGAATCAGAGAAATATACGCTACTCTAGATTCCTTCAAGTTGACAACTCGAGGGTTATTTCAGCATAGATGCGTGGAGAGCACGCAATGCGCTTCCTGATTGAGGGACTGGAGACCACCTGGGCAGGTCTGAAAGGATGAAAGTTATGCGGTTATGTGACGAGCGGACACCCAACGCGACGTCCAAGCCTCACTTGCAGAAGACATGCTGGCGGAGAAAGAGTTCAAACTCGGGAAACAAAGATAACAGGATGCCTGGCTCAGATGCCCGGGATGCGGTGAAAGGCAGACAGGGAGAGGAGGTTGAGGCAAAAGCATTGGCAATGGCACTGATGCGGCATCAAATGCCTTGCGTTTGCAGATCTGAGTGAGGATACCGTGTGTATCGTCAAATCTCACTGCCATCCTCATGGTCACGAGGATAGATTGATTTCCAGTGTTCTGGATCGCTCTTAATCGCGTTTCTTCCGTCGTGTCCGGAACGCTGAAAGGAGGGGTTGATGATGGAAGACATGAACTTGGAAATTGTGGTTAGCGGGGTCACTAGAAGTGAGCGCGAATTGATGCAGGTCATTGGACTAAGCGTAAATCGTGGAAGTTATTCTCAATGAAGTCAGCGGTCCGTACCTTAGGAATGAGTGGTTTGTCGCTGGCGTGGGCTGAGGTGAAATGGACTTTTCTGATTGGTCAAAAAATTCCAACCTCTCCCTTTTTCTCATTGGCCAGAAAAGGTCCAACCTTTTCATTTTCCAAGGAAGCACTTTTCCCATGCCACTTACATGCTGCCTGAGTGAATGAGTGAGTGATGAATTGGGCCTCTCTTTTCCACCTCAGCCTTACGACAGCAGCCAGGAGGCAGGATGACGTCAGCCGTCACAAGCCATGTGAACCGATCCGGATCAACAGTTTCGCCGCAGCCGAAACACTTGGCGAATGCATAAAAATAAATCTCCAACATCTCTCAGCCGCCTAGATCCACTCCACAGAAAACATCTCCACCTCCCTACGTCCCCGTCCTCTCCCCGCAAAGACCCCGCCATGGCAGTCACACTGCGGCGGCGACACCTGCTCGACCTCCCCGACGAGCTCCTCATCCAGATCCTGTCAGTGCTGCCTAGCCAACACGACCTCTTCTCCGTCTGCCTTGTCTCGCGGCGGATGAACTCGCTCACCGACCCAGTGCTGCACAAATCCATCCTCTTCGACCAGCCTAAGCACCACCTCACCTTCTCTGAATCGCTACTCACGCGCCCGAGACGTGGATCCCTCATCCAAAATGTCCGGATTGAGTACCCGAGCTCCGAGCTCAGTGAGTTTATGTTCTTGACAGAGGAACGGGGGCCGGGACAGGTGGATCGCTTTTCGCACACGCTGTCTACGATGAGCAATCTTGAGGATTTGGTCATTTCGGTCCCAGACACTTTGTGTAGGGCGATTGGGAACCTTTTTAATCATCCTTTTGATCTGGCTTGCTTGAAGTCATGTGAGACCCCTGTTCAGCCCTGCAAACACTGTACTGACATTCTTGGGAAGGCGAGTTGTATTATCACTGCGAGGGAGGTGCATACTGGGACCTCCAGGAAAACATCCACATCTTCTCGCACCCAACTCTCGAGACTCTAACCATCAGGCATGCACGGCTGGATGAGCGAGGTTTCGATTCCCTGGAAAAGCCCGAGGAAACCGCCCTCCAATATCTCCACCTTCTAGATTGCGACATCAATGACGAGGCCCTTACCGATATTTTACTCCACCCTGAAACGCTGAAGGAAATCACCATCACCCAGAAACCGCATCCAAGCCCCGAACTCGAGGAATCTCCAGAGGATGTTGGCGAATTCATCTTCGCCCTTGGCTCAGCCCACCACTCCCTCGAGAAAATAACCGTCGATTTCCCAACCTTGGGTTCCAAGTCCGCACTCCGTCTCCGCGATTTCGACGCAGTAACCGAACTCCAGCTCATGGATTATCAACTCCTCGGCATTAGCAATGGCAAACCAAGATTACATTCCGTTGGTTTGCCACCTAATTTGGAGATCTTGACGTTTCCTGGCAGGGTGAGTGACGATGAGGAGATTCTGGATCTGCTGGAGTATATGATTGAGAATAAGGAGGTTTTGGCGCGGAAGTGGCGGATTTTGGAGGTGGAAGGGGATGAGGAAGGACTTCCGGGGAGGATTAGAGAGGCGTGTACGAGGGCGGGGTTGCAGGTTATGGGGTTTGAGAGGTAGTAGAGAAGGAGGTACTGATGCGATAGATGCGATATGAATATCCTGGATCAGGACTTGGGTTTCTCGTTGCGAGCGAGGGGTTTTTGACGCCAAAATGTACAACACGGGACCTTACGAGTTGGGGGAGGATGCTGGACACATCACCGGTGTTCCGCACATTGCGGTGGCTAGATTTGGTTGACGAATACCCTAGATGCGTTGATCGCGGACAGATCACAAAACTGGACACATGACAGACAGAGCGCGAGATTGCATAGACAAAACCTGGACACACCGGCACTGGGTATGCTAAATACACCGAGCGAGACTTTTCATAGACTCGGAGCTAGACTGGATAGACTGCGAGACCTTCGATAGATAGACGCACGATACACAGAACTGGATAGAGCGGAATAGAATGTGACTTTGTAGCATTATCGAGATCTATTCTCATCGTCCAATAATGAATGGCTGTGCAATTACTTCAGGTGAGAGTTGTGCAGGATTTGTTGCAAAGAGTCGACGACATGGAGCAGCGCCCCGAAAGTATCTTCACAACCCCAACATCAAAGCTCTCAAGCAATTATAAGCCTAAGCGTGCAATTTAGATATTCGGAGCAGGTCAATTCCGAATGATGGATGGTATATCCTTTAGTATCTTGAGGGAGGAAGGCTTGGATTCGCGGAACTCATCCACCCCTGCCTTGCCTGGGGCTTTAGCGTCAGACCCTGCCTGTATTTCAATTTCAAATTCTCAGCGACTCCCTTCCTTCCTTCCTTCCTTCCTTCCACAGCACACTCACAAACACGACAGGAAACAGAATCCAGTCAAGCTACGAAAGATAGCAATACGAATCAATGATGATCGAGATACTTAGAATGCGTCATCCATCCTTCATTTCTTGGCATGGGAACGTGGCTGACCTCACACCTCACCATGGAGCTGGCCCGTCCACTGCTGCAACCTTGCTTACATGGGGTGATAGATATCCAGGGGAAACATTCGAAGGCTTGTTCTGGATTGTGGCCAATTATTCGGAAAATCCGAGCATGCATCGAAAGCCTCATGAGACCGGAGGGCGAACCCAGGTGTGTCCATGAGCAGCCAAACTTGATGATGTAACACCTCACTCCAGTGGACCGGTTATCGCTCCTTCGGCCAGATGATCACGGTAACAAAAACTGCCAGGATGAGATCTTGGCTGTGCTCCCAGCATCTCCGGAATTCGAGGTCGCCTCGTCTCTCGCCGAAGGATCTTTCTTGATGCAGATGAGGGTTGATCACCTGCTTGCTCCTTCTTCGACTCTCACGGTCAGATGCCCAGCTGACTTTCTATGCGAATAGTCGACTTCAGCAGATCTCACTCTTCTGATCAGAGTATTGCTTATTGATGACAGGGCATTACCCCATCACGGTACACTTTTTCTCTCAGGATGGAGCCTTCGGAACCGTTCATCGGGACTTCAAGCCTCGCCTTAGAAGACTTCTACTTTGAGATGGAACGGAGCCTGCAATTTCTTACAAAACAGATCAACCAGCACGCGTCTGTCCGGTACTTTGCACGGGATGTTGCCACTGCTGATACCCGACCCAAGCCTGATACCCACCCAACGCCAAACTTGCCATGCTGAAGAAAATGGCAAGGAAAACCCCAGTGATCGTGGCCATCATAACATATCTCGGCGCACTCCTTCGCTCAAACCATTTCTCCATTCCTCTCGGAGTGGGATTGGTCTGTTCTTCGTATAAGTCTGCGAGATGAGAAGCGAAGTAGTGATAAAGAATTGGTTCCGGGTGGAGTGGATCGCGAATTGTGGATGAGTCGTACCGCAAGACGTCCGTGTCGAAGTTTTGGGTCGTTGTTGAAGTCAACGAGAGGAGCAAAGCCTTAGATTTGGCATCTGTGAGGGGAAAGAGAATCGTTTGGAGGGTGGCTAGAGTCTCGAGGGCCAGGGGGCGGGGCAACGCGCCTCTATGTGAAATGTCAAGGTACGTTCACGATATATGAGTCATTTCGCTTACAGTTTGATAGAGTCTGCGATGGACATACTCCGGGGCTGGTCTCTTGTGAGCCTCAGCTGCTCCTTTAGAAACGCTGTGTGATGGAAAATTTCAACCACAGCTCTTTTCCGATCTAGCCTTAAATGGTTTCTCAAGTCATTTGTTGGCTCAAAACTTAGTCGCGCTCGTTTCTTCAACTTCGTTGCCTTCAGATTCGCTTTGATGTGATCGATACTGGGATGGTCTGTCTTCGGGAAGATGCTGGTAATGAATTCCGAGAATGGAACATCATTTCTCCAAGGGACATCCTGATTTCCATACTCTAGAAGTATAGATGATTGTCGCGACATGGAACAATTGACCATCATCATCACGCGAACTGCTATGTTGATCGCTCTCTCCTGATCGTTTCGAGCAGGTCGACTCGTGAACAGTTTCTCGAGGAGTGCCTCCCTCGTCGTTTCCGGATTCGACTTCAACTCCTCAATTATCATTATCAAATCCTCGTGGGTTCTCAGTCCCGGTTGCTGGCCAGGTTTCACATCAGCTTCATATGTTGCAGTTACTTCTTTGTAGAACTGGAAGAATTGGTTGAGTATCGTTGATCTCTGCCAGGGACATTCTTCTGTATGGCAAGGCTTGCCAGAAGAACATTCAGTGCATATAGACCAAGACCATAAGGCTCGAGTGAGTCGCTGAAGTTCAGCTGTAGTAGCTTTGCTCAAGGGGAAATGCGAAGCCATTTTCGATTGTACAGTGCGACCTGGGACAATCGTCTTCCAGTATCCTATTTGTTTGTCCACGAAAAGCTCTTCTTCAACGAACAGCATGTAAGGTTGTTCATTGTCCTTAGGCTTGTGATCGAATGCAACAGCTCGGCTGGGGCTGTGCATCTGAAATGCAGAGTTGCTCGCGCAGTGGCTTAAATAGCCCAATCATCAATGTGCGGAAAAGCTCAGCCCCTTCATCTGCACCACACCTCATTGTTTGACCATTGCCTCGAACATTTTGTGAATTGAACAGACTCCGATAAGGTTCAGATCCAATATCGCTTCATTTCATCGGCCTCATACCAGGGAACAAAATGAGCATGACTTCCATTCTTCCCCTCAGTACCGCGGATAGTGCTGCCTCGTCTTCGACAGCAAAATTTGATGCCGAATCCTCTGAGCTCGCCGAGGCTGTGGCAGCTTTGAAGGTAGGCCGAGCAACACCGCCACCTAAACGGCCTTTGATAGATGCCATAAAAGTTGGGAACAATGGCCAGGTTGACTCAGGATATGCGTCGCACAGCGGATCAAAGACTTCTACCCCTGGTGATTCCACGTTCGTCGATGGTGGAGTGGTTGTGGTCAAGGCTCCCCGATGGTCCATTGCTGGGCGGAAGAAGACGAAGCTCCTACACTTCGAAAAAGACATACCTAGGTTGACTCAAAATCGGTTTGAAGATCTGCGAGAGTTGCATGCCGACAATCTCATCAAGTTGACGCGAGGGCTGTCTAGGTGCAGAGGCATTTTGATGAGCTTGAAGGTCTTGGGCGAGAATGAGTCAACGGCAGCACCTTGGGTCTTTATTCAATGCGACAAGGCAATCGCGGGCAAAGTTCGACGTTTCTTCAAGCAGCCTTTTGTTGAGTCAGACTTCAAACCTGCACATCCAAATGCGCACACACCTAACTTCGAGGTATACGTTTACGAGATGCCTCCTCTCGCGCTGGGTTCTAATTCGCAATGCCCTCCCATTGCTCGACCCGACCCCTATGATACCCGCGAAACGCCAGAATTATACTTCAAGGAGAAGATACCCGGGTCCTTATGTGGGTCCAAAATCATCGTTTCAAGTAGTGGACAACGACGATCGGCCACAATTGGTGGCCTAGTCTCAATTCAATGGAAAAGTGGCGACTGCCAGCTACTAGGATTAACCGCTTGCCACTTCCTTGCCCAGGAACAACATTTGGAAGACTTGGAGGAGGAGGAACATACAGACGATGATCCGGACGAAGGGCCTTTTGAAGATGGCCAGGAGTTTGAACTTGATCTGGGCTCATTAAAGTATGGGGCTCCAGCACTTCCAGCAGAAAATGCTGCTCAGCATGAGATGTCAGAAAACCTTGGGGCTGTTTTTGGCCATATCTTTAAGACTTCACTGGATAGTCTTCAGGATGGACCGAATCTCGATTGGGCCTTATTTACAGTCGAAAATAAGTCGCTGCTTGCGCCAAATTTTGTTGGACAAGAAATCACTCGAGTCGCCCATCCAGACCAAAATGAAACCCAGCAAGCAGTGCTTCTATCAACTGCCACGAGCGGACTGGTACTTGGAACGTTGTCAAGTTCATGGTCATACCTTATGCTTGCACCTGGAAAGAGTTTGGTAAGAACCAACGCTCTCAAAATTCGGGATCATCCAGGTTGGTTCCTTTTCCCCATATACCAAGATAACTGCTAACCAGATCGAAGCACTGATGTCAGGCGACAGCGGTGCCTGGGTCGTCGACTACCTTACTGGCGAACTGTATGGCCACTTGATTGCTTCCGATGTGTTTGGTGTAGCGTACGTTATCCCAATCAACGATATATTCCAGGACATCCAGCTTCGACTATCGCTAGAGGGGGTCAAACTTCCTGCTAGCCACCAAAGCTTAGCAGGTAAAGCTGAAGACGTGATCAAAGTTCCTGTTCGTAAAAAAATCTTAGGGTATGAATATGAACTGGGGGATAGGATGTTGGGCTCCAAGGTATCATCATGGATACGCCGCCTCTGGCGTCGCCATCCCTCGCCGGACGCTTCACGGTCTGATTCCGGATATTCCTCAATGAATAGTACCCCCCAACGCAGTCCACCTGAATCTCCCTTATATCCAGGGAGTAAGATTCAAGGACGGGAGGGATAAGTAAAGATTACTTATTCGAGTAAACTACGTCCGGATACAACTCCGAGGCGAACCGAGTAATCTTTCTTCGACCGCATACTGATAAAATTAGTGAGAGAGTGGGACGGGATCTTATATAAGGGTAGGAAAGAGAGCCCGCGGCCGCGGTGGTGCTGGGGGGACTGGGGAGGGGGGAAAGGTTCAATACAGGCGTTGGGGGTGACTTGATATCGGCTTTCGAGAGGACGTAATACGTGAAAGATCTGTAACACTCGCTACATGATCCTACATCCACACAATGAGTTTAATGACTTGGGAAAACGTCAAGTCAAGTGGTCTACAATGGAAACGAACGTTGGAAATCAGCAACAGGAAAGAGGTACAATCTACAAATATGCTGAAAAGAACTCTGCTCAACTCTAATCTAAAGCCAGAACAGCTACTACCTCTCCTCCCACCTTCCGCATCAACACTGAACCTGCTCTCGACGACCCGCTCGTCATTCGCACTAGCACGATCAGTACCCCACCTACGGATACGTACTAGGCAGCAACTCCTTCTCAAGATGCCACAGCGTCCCCGTAACACCCTTCCCCAACGATTCAGTCGCTAGGCAACACAAGAAACAGCGCCCCGCAACAAGCCGTCGCATTTACCATCATAGCAGCCCAACACGGCACCCCCGCTGCACTCAACTGCACCACGATCAAGCTGCCGAGCGTTCAGAAGATCAAGCCGTGGAGCAAGTAGATGGTGAAGGTGTGTGGGAAGATCCACATCAGGATTTTTGAGGAGAGTAGTTTTTGCTTAGTGGGTGAGATCTCGGTGCCGAGCTGAACGACTGAGGCGAAGACTAGGTCATTGAGATGGGACTCGAAGTATGCTGGGTAGCCTCTATTCTCCGTTTGTGCTATTGGGCGGCCGGTTTTGAGGTCGGGGTGGATCCCACGCTCGAGGGCGAGAGGGATCCCGGCGTCGATGAGCAGGGCGTCCCAGGTTAGCATTGTGAATGCAGTGAGAAGACATGTGATGAGCAGAAATCGCACGTAAATGTATTTTCTGTATCTGTAGATTACGTCGAGGTCGAGGCCCGCCCAGAATTACGATCCCCATTCCCGGACGTGCCAGTTCATCAGTATGTAAACTGTGTAGTAGCCGAAGCGCTTCCATGGGGTTTTGAGCTCGCAGATTATCATCACTCCGAGGATGGATATCCTCGAACCTTGAAGAGTCACGGGAATTGCCCAGAGACCCCGGTGCAGTAGTTGATTGTTATTTGGGGTGCGGCGTTGGAGTAGTTCCAGCAGCTCGTTAAAAAAATTCTCCGAGAGTTTTTGTAGCGGTCTGAATATGGCCAAGTGGACCAGGCTACGGAAAGGAGGTATTCGAGCTATTGCGCTGCACCGCAGTCGATGAAGAAGTACTCGAGAATGGCGATGCCGGCGACCGCGATGATGAGACGGAATGGTCGAATTACGGTCCTCTCGGCGACGATTCAGAGATTTCCGGAGCGCAGGTAGCCGACTGTGAGAAAGCGGGTTGAGATTGTGAAGAAGAGGCTGAGCCACGCTGTGTTCGGGAAGTATGTGCAAGTGCCTTCTCGCCTCAGACTTCACACTTGTAGTGTGCGTTCTATCCGGAGTCCAATGCTGGAAGGAAGGTGAGAGCATAGCGGATGAGGGTGACTATCAGAGCACAAACAACCACAATTCCTGCCATGTAACCGGTACGTGGCTTCCCACCGTGAAAAAGCACGGCTGGTGGGGCTCTTGATTCAACTTCGGTTGTTGTCACCATGACCATCTTCCCATCCTTTGATTGTACTGCCTCTGCCTTGATGACGGCAGCTTTTCAAATCTCACTTTATTTCGCAGGATCGACTTCAAAGGAAGCGAATTTAAGTTCTTGATGCTCATTTCGCTCAACCGGTGAGATCGTGAAGTCTTCGTAGGGGAAGATCGTGGTCTCGTTAAATTGTACGATTAGAGCATCGGTGAGCAAATGCAGGGTTGCGCTGTCATAGAATCCGCATGGACAGTCCCTGTTCAGTGTAGATGGAGCTCTAGGACTCTCTGTCATGAGACTGACATCTCCCAAGAACCAACAAAAAGAAAAGTAAAACAAGAGATTTGCAACATTCCAAAACGGCCATGTTGTGCATAGAATGATCTCTGCATGCATTGATTCCAACTTCAACAGCACTTAAAGGGACCGATCAAGTTGCTCCAGAGGGGAGGTGGGTTAGGCCGTGAGACTGAGATACGTTGACTGACCGTGAGCATGATTTGATATTTTACTTATCAGCACCAGCTGAAGAGCTATCGGGATCCTCCCATGGTATGCAGACCCCACAAGGATCCTCCCCGACAGCTGAGCACTGGAGCAGAGCCTCGATCGAGCCACTTGGCTTCGGCAATTGCCTTTGGAGGCGGCTTCGGAGAGACGCCGATCCGAAAGATGTAGCTCCCATCCTAGACTCCATACACATGGGAGGCATTTTCGTCTGGGCATGGAGTATTGAACAGGCAGCTCTACCTAGATTCGAGTGCCGACAGAGGAGATGGAAGGTTGAGAAAGAGCGATGTTCGGCTGGTACTGGGATAGGCGTTAAATTAGAGTTGTTCTAGCGCCTTCAGGGGTGCCGAGCTCGCTAATTTAGCCTGGCTTACAACGTCTCTAGGGAAATTAATGTAGCGAGAGAGCCAAGACAAGGGGTAAAAGCCAATTAAAAGTTCGTATTGTTTGCTTTCTGGTCCGTGCCAGCGCGGAACACCCCTGTCTCGCTACATTATTTTCCCTAGAGACGTTGTAGCTTGCTGGTTCTCCAAAGCCACACGCAATTTGAGAATTTGTTGCCGCTATTCCACTCCAGGCCGGATCTGCAGCCGGATCTACACGCAAGATTTCAACATGTGAAAGCAGGCATCGATGATGTGTCGACTTCTGCGACAGGGCCTACAGCGACGCGGGATGGTCTGGATGGACCCTGTCCAGACTTCGGTTTCGATAACGACAGAGCTATTTGGCCTTACGATACCCAACCCCATGGGTCTGTGCGTACAGGGCATTTTCCGCACAATTTCAGGCTATGCGAAGACTATTTCAGGGTCTCGAACAGCAAAAGTCTTCACAATCACTTAACTGTTACAAGACAGCAACAAATAATTACGGCCCACGATCCGGGCTTTGAGAATTAAAATAGGTAAAGTATAGTTCTATTAATTAATTCTCAAAATTTAAAAGTTCTAAAATACTCGTTATCACTAAAATGCCCTGTACGCACAGACCTATGAGGTTGGGCTCGTTAGGTACCTTGGTAAGAGTGAGTGTGCTGTGTAATGCAAGATACATGCGTTTAATCTTTTGTCTACTTTGTTTTGCTTCTGGTTGTGCTTATCCTTGAGTTCTGTGCTGGTAGCAATCTGTCCATTCTTTTTGTATTTTGGTTTTCAATCTTTTTTCCTACACTCACTCATTCGCTATGTCGTCCGGACTACGTAGGAAGTCGGCGCTCACCATCACTGCTATCGTATTCTGATATTGGACCAACACCGCTGTCATCATCCCCTCCCTCACTCTTCGGGAAATTCGAAACCAAAACTGAAACGAAGACCTTCACCGTTGACATCGAAGCACCGTCTGAATCTGAACATGGAGGAGAGAAACGAGAAGATGCAACCCGAAAGCCCTCCCTGTCGTTCCGAATACCTGAACGTATCTCTCTCTCTCTGGGGATTACAGTGAGTCGATTTATTCTTCCGGTCGCATATTTCGTTTCTGTATTTCTGTACATTGTCCTCCCAAAATCGGCCATTCAAGTCTTCTGGTTCTTCTATATTGTTGGGAACACTGTCATCGAGGCCTGCCTAAGTCTCACACCTATCGAACAGGCACAAAAAGTTGTCAAGAAAATCGAACAAAACAACTGGCGTTTCCTAACAAACGACAAAAATCTGCCGATGATCGATATCATGATTGTAGCCTATCTGCCGAACGAGAAAGATATTATCATAGATCGCATCGCATCCTACACGCAGTTCAACGAATTATCATAATTGCCATCTTTGATTGCGGCCACTACCCTCACCCGTATGGACCTCGCTGGTCTGCTGAGCGTTTCTGCCAGAACAAGAATGTGGAGATTGTTCAAGGGCGATGTGTAGTTTTCAACGCTGCGGTCTCATTTCCGACTAGCATGATCGCGGTCGAATTCGACAATATTTATGACGTTTCACATCCTGGCCGTGCAGAGATGTGGTAATTCGGTTTGTTCTGTGGTTCTAATGGATATTGTAAGGCAACCAGCTTGGTTGATATGAGGCATTGCTAATTTCTTTAGGCAAAGCAAATATCCCTCGCGAGATTGGCATGGATGATAGCATATTAACAGAAGACGTTGACTCGGTTCCGTTGACACAACCTTACTTTTTTTTTCCATCCAAATTCGAGTGATTACTTTCTAGGCCATGATTCGGTGATAGACCTATCGATCTCCTTCTGGTGCTTGGTAAGCTTTTAGTCGGTCTTGATAGTCTCTCCACTCTCCGCCTTGTTTGTTTCTTTCCTCCCCTCTCCGTCCGTCTTGGCAACTTCCTCATTGCATGTCTTGTCGTTCTTCTTGTCGTCCGGAGGCAGAGGCGGCGGTCCACGATTCGAGCTATTTTCAGGCACCCTCGCCTTCCGCTCCTTATATCCGACCATAAATTCGTCCAACTTGGAAGTATTCGCCGTCTTGACCGGAATTTCCTCATCTAGACCTTCCACTCCTTCCTCCTTAAACTTCCTCAGAACCCAAAGAACAGCTTCATGCTGCTGCCCAGCTGCCTCCGCCATGATCGTCGTCCCATCAAATTTCGTGCACTGAAGCTCTGCCCCCTTCCTAAGGAGCCATGCAACCGCTTCAGCATATCCCATCGTACAAGCACCCATCAAGGGACTACCACAAGGTCCTCCAACCAGGTTAATCTTTGCCCCTTTCTCAACCAATTTCTCCATAATTGGGATATGACCAATGGAGGCTGCGCGATAGAGCGGTGTCCCCCGATCGCAATACAGATTGACGTATTCATGGACGCCAGCTTCAGGCACCTTCTTCAAGAGCTCGTCAACGACGTCCTTGTTGCCCGCAAATGACGCCGTGTTGAGGATACTCCCATGTTCTTTAGAACGAACGTTATCGACTTCCGGGAGATGCTCGAGGGCAAATTGTTCGCGGTAAAAAAGTGTGATCTGGATAGGAGTGGTTCCCCAATTGTCCACATGAGTTATATCTAATCCGGCTTCTAACAGTAATTCGGCGGCTTCGAAATGATCCGTCTCGGCAGCATGATGGAGTGCTGTTCTGCCTTGGGTGTCCGTGGCATGCAAGTCCAAACCGTGCTGTGCCATGCCAATCAGATGTTCTACAACTTCCAGGTCGTCTCTGTCCGTGGCCATCATCAAAGGTGTGTATAGCTCACTATTCCGAGCATTGAGATTGGCACCGGCCGAAATCAACAAGCCGAGTATATCTTTATACCCATCGACCACAGCGAAGCTCAGCGGTGTCCACCCATATTCCGATCGAGCCTCAAGATCAGATCCAGCCCGAAGCAAAAAATCGACGGCCTCGATCTTTCCATAAGAGACAGCAAAATGAAGTGGACTCCCCTTCCCAAAAGACTGACTGAACGGTATATGTCGCGGTCCAACATCGAGTTCATCCAAGCCTAGGTTCCTTGCTTCAAGGAAGAACGTTTTATCCTTGGCGCGGTCGAATAGAAGTTGGATGACTGGCATATGCCCATTGCGGGCGGCAAGATGAATGGGTTGTACGCCTTTCTCTGATACAATGGGATTCCTGTTGAGGATACTCTTGCATAATTCAGCGTCTCCAAATGCTGCTGCAAGGTGAAGCGCAGTAAGTCCTCCGCCATGCTCCTGTTTCGAACAAGTCACCCAATCGACGGAAGCCCCAAGCTGCAATAAATATCCAGCAATATTCAACCGGCCCTGCGCACAAGCTTGGAGAAGGAGAGTACACCCACACCCATAGGTTCCGTCGATGCTGAATCCTCTTCCAATCAGCTCTCGACAAAGTTTCAAATCGCCTTTACTTATGGCATTAGACAGTGCTGGAGATATCTTTTCATTCTGAGGGTTGGCAGACTGGTTTTCTGGCTTGTTTGCTAATCGTGAGTCAGCATATATATCCGCATTAAATGAGGCGTTTAGGTAACTATACTCACGCTGTAACTCTTCGGCCTTTTGTATTTGACTCGAAATGTCGAGGTGGCCCCGCTGCAAAGCAATGATACTGGGTGTAAGCCCAGAAGCATCCTTAGCCCAAGGGTCTGGGAACGTAGAAGTCAGCATTTGCTAGGACAGAAGTCCGGGCACAATCGGGTCGCCTCCTCGAAATAGAACAGTCTATTTTGGAAATGAGAAAGGGATGTCTCCCTCTACGTACCGGCCCCATGTTCAAGGAGACTTCCAACAATTTGTGGATCCCCTAGCTGAGCTGCAAGATGAAGCGTGGTCCACCGGGTTGGCTTGTAGATACTATCCGGTTTTGCACCCTTTTCAAGGAGGTACCTGACAACATCATTTTTGAAGGCGAATATTGCCAGGAACAGTGGTCGAATCCCATAGTCAGCCTCAGTATCAATATCGACATCTTTACAATGTTCAACGACATATTGGAGCACTTCAAGATATCCTTCCACAGCGAAATGATGAAGCGGTGTAACTTTGCGCACATCGCGAGAAAACCAGACACCCGCGCCTTGATTGGTTGTAAACCCCGGCACGAATTGACCGAGGAAAGTGCAGTCTGTTCTCTCATTCCAGTTGCTGATGCCTCGTTCAATCAGCAATCTGCAGATGGCCACATTTGGGGCTCGCGAGATCAGAGCAGCCATCAAATGGTCCCTGGGAGAGCAGCAGCTGTCCATCTTCGCACCACTGTCGAGAAGTAATTCGACGGTTGAGGTGTGTCCTTTAGATACTGCCAAGCAAAGTGGAACCAGCCGCTCTTTGGATAGTATGTTGACATCGATTCCTCCATCAAGCAGCTCTTTGACTACCTTTGTGTGGCCGAATCCGGAGGCAAAGTGAAGCAGACTCATCTCAAGGCAAATCAGAGTTAGCGTACTTCTTTGAGATATTTTCAGGAGTAGAATATCCCAAGGGCCGTTGGACAATGCTACAAAATGAATCAGTACTCTAAGAAGCTGGGACTTACCCCCTCGAAGTCAAGCTCGGAAATATTCTTGCAAGCTTTGATAAGCTTTCTCAGAACCCCGAGATCCCTCGCCCCCAGAATACAAAACACTTCCAACGGAGACCGGCTAGCTGGGGTGCTGTCGCGTTCTTCCGTGTTGACACCCAGGTTGTACAGCTCTTGGATTAGCTCATCATCTTGAAATATAATAGCCAGGTTGAACATTCGGCTGCCATCAGGTAAAGGTCGGTCTAAGTCTTCCTTTCCACTCAAGCTTAGCATCTTAATAGCTATCTTCCTGGTTTGGACGGAACTGTCTGCTTTAGTCAAGTTTCTAAAGAATGCCTGAAGTGCAGTTTCTTTGAGTTTATCAGAAATATCCACTCGGGCAATGTTCGACTTGTTTGAAGAACATTTGGGTTCTTCGATCTCGATCTTTGGAGAGGTGAGAGGAGGTAGCGGGGCAAGTGACCGACGAGGAAGAGGGGACCGACTTCGTGCGACACGCACACCGGATCCCGCATGGACAATGGGTGGACGACTGGGTGGTGGGGGAGGAGCCGACAAAGGGGTCCCGGAGAAGGTAGCTGCTAGCTCTTCTGCTCCAATAAGATATGCAATGGCTTGGGATGTGTACTTCGAAATTGATACGGGATCGCATAAATAATGAAGTGCGGTGCGCCCAAAGACGTCTTGCGCGTTTGTGTCAACGCCTCGATGAAGCAAGTGCTTTATTGCGAGACGAAGGTCCCCGTTTCGGGGTTCATTCGAAAGTCGGCTTGCTAGAGCAATTAAAGGTGTTTTCTTCTCCCTATCGCGTCGCTCAAGATCGATACCAACACGTGATACTAGAGCTTGAATCATTTTCCGATGACCGCGATTGAATGGGTCAGCGGACAGCAGCAACTGGAGGGGCGTCTTTCCACCAGAACTTGTAGGTAGATCAAGACGACGGCCACTGACAAAATCGTCAATGGACCAAGTTCCGTCGGAACCTTGCAAACCTGGACGGGGTTCGATAAGCGTGGGATAAGCAAAGATGGTTTGAGTGAGCGAGACTCGGTCAATATAGTCCAACGTGACGCGAAATAATTCAGCGTTGGAGGCTTTAGCAGCGCAATGAAGGGCGGTAAAGCCTTCGCTGGTCTGGTCGTGGTGACAAATTCCAGCGTCCTGGATCAAGGAAAACATCTTCGGGTTCCCCGACATTACGGCGTAATGAAGACAAGTGTGACCGTCGTCAGTTTTGCTCAGGATCTCTGACTGAGTTGACTTCTGGAGTATGAACCGCGCTGTCTCAAGAGAGCCACCTTCTACAGCACACAATAGGGCCGTCCGGCCATTTTTGCTCCTCGTTGAAAGTGTCCGCGTAAGCCTGGTACATTGAAGGAAATATTGCAAAACAGTGAGAGAGTTGCTAGCTGCAGAAACGTGAAGAATCGTTCGGCCATCCTCAGTAACCGCGTCGATATTGCTGCCTCTTGCTTCCAGATATTGAACGACATCTAGGAACTCTGAACTGGCGGCATCAAGAAGAGGGGTCATTCCCTCGTTATCAGCAATCTCGATTACTGCTCCATGTTCAACTAGCAGTTTCACGACCTGGAGGTGCCCGTTTTTGCAAGCCCAGTGAAGTGCTGTTCGACCTTCCAATTTAGGGTCGGGGAAATCTATGTTTATCCCGTGCTGATCAAGAAGCTCTTCCACGACTTGTGTCTGACCAATCGCCGCAGCTTTCAACAGTGCGGATGGATCTTTGATAGAGACGCTGTTGGATGCACCGTTTGCCCTCGACATTATTGCCACCGCTTGGTGACGAGTCTTTTCCATCTGGAGTGCCACATTAACGTATCTAGATTTATTAAACACTGCCGTCAGCGTATTCTGATAAGGGTGAAAATCCAGAAAGGACAAGAACGCTCTAGTACGTTAATAATTGAAATGAATAGCAATATCCACTACGAGGTGATAATCGCTCAGAAGGTAGATGAGATGCCCGATTGGCAAGTCTCTAAATGGGCCTCCAAACTAGACTTATACAAGAGGTTGGAGTAACTCACTTTGACCTTATCTGCTCATCAATGTTCTTGTCGGATACTTCCAATACGAAGCTTAGAGCCGCTTCATCACCTCTCTCGATCATATTTTCAACCTCCTCTAAGCATACTTCATCCAATATAGCACCTCTATCGAGAAGATAATCCCAGCCAAATTCGATATTCAAGGCTAGGGCCAAAGGCGTCATAACTAAGTTAGGATGGACCCTGATGTTGTCAATTCTTGCCCCTGCGTTCAACAAGCACTCGACTGTTCGCTGTCTGTTTTGGTCGTAAATTACCTTCTCGTCTCCTATTCTCAAGAACTCGGGGTCAGCATATATCTTCAGGCATTTCATAGTAGATTGTTCCAGGAGCTGTTGGACATTGCTAGTAAAATGTTCCGGCAGCTGCTGAGCATTGCCACAAATGAGATTGTCCTCCGAGAAGTTGGGACATACCACTGTAATTCCTTTCGACATCGGGAGGAAGCACGAATAAATCCTCAGCTGTAAGCGCACAGTAGAGTGGAGTTCCAATGCTACTGAGTTTGTCCAGATCAGCGATGGGGCAATTTTCCTTGATAAGCCACTCGCAAATATCATAGAATGATAAAGCCGCTGCGAAATGGAGAGTTTCGGTGTTAGAAATCAGCTCCAGATCGACATCATGGGCTTTGTTCCAACTCCAGACGTTACTCCAAGAGAGAAAGTTGCCGGTCTTAGAAGGATCAAAAAGAACTTTGACTAGATCTAACAAGCCTTCGTCATGTCGATAGGCAAGCGCATGTTCTGCCCAGTACTTCGCACAATAACGGTAGAACTTATAATTGACTCCGTTCCAGATGACTTCCAGCGCCTCCTCTGTCCCAGTACACTCAAGATCCTGAAAGTCGTTGAACAATAAATAGGTCACGCAAAGCTTTGCCAAAGCAAGATCCTGATCTTCAGGAGATATTTTATATCTTGCATAAGGGCTATTTAGCTCGTTGGCGTCAATTTCTAGGAGGAATTCCTCGACTGTGAAATGAGCTAACTCGAGCCTGTCACCGTTAGGTGTTCTTCTAACGAGACTGCTACACCACCTGAGAATGCCTTCCTCATCTGGCATCGCGTCAGAATCCAGCTCGGTATCGCCCTCACTGATCGAGACAGCCTCCAAAAGCTCCTCTGTTGACAGTGGGTCTTTCGAACAGATGATCCATGTAAGCACATTCTGAACGAGCCGTTGAGTGTCGGCATTGCTGGCATTGACTCTGTCCAAGATTCTTTCGTAGGTTGCGGAGAGTGTAGGTGGAAGCGAGTTCAAGGCTTTCCGTATTGCCTTGTCCGTATTCAATTCACAAAGATAATCCATTTGGCAAGCTACCCATCGGAACATGCCTTCAGCGCCCTCCACCAGTCGGTCCATAATTTCCTTTTTGAGATCCTGATCCCTTGTTCGAAGCAGCTTTTTCCTAGACCGACTCTCGATCTCTGACGCAACATATAATCTCAAATCACTGCTTGTGGCTGCAATGCTGATCTTTTCGTACGAGTCGAGGTGAAATTCGATATCTGTCTCCAATCTTGAAGTGAAGAGTGTCTTGATGTTGAACCCGTCAGCGTTAAGGCTCGCGAGGAGTTCCATAACTTTGGATCTATCGGTTCCGCACTCATCGAGGGCATCAATGATAACTATTACCTCATCAAAGAAGGTGCTCAAGGACTGTATGAGTATACACAAATCCTCTGGAGTAACTGAGGGTCCTGTTGTCGACCTAGACTCTCGATAATGAAGAACATAGAATTTATCCAATGTACCAAAACAGCGTGGATTTTGAATCGCAAGCTGTCTGACAAGGGCACCTAGGATGATGAAGGGGTCATGCGTCTTCGAATCCTTGTAATCACAATAGAAGTATGCTATTCCTAGTGAAGCATTAGCTTGCTGTTGCATATTCAATGTCAAAAGTTAAATTGACTTACCGACTGCTGGTTCTGCCTGATTTCTCGCGGCCTGGACAATCGAACTCCTGCGTCCTGTTAACTCTTGTCGCCACGAATGAAGATGTACTCACGTTAAGACGGTCTTTCCGGCTCCGGGAATACCATAGAGCCACAACTTGGCATTCGGGGTTTCAAGCCAATGTTTGAACTGAGGCCCTTCAGTGAAGAAAACACCGGTACCTGGCTGGCGAAGTTTGATTGCAGTATTTTGGTGGCCGCTGGGGTCAAAAGAGCCAATCGTGTCGAGGATTTTTTTTCTCTCATTGCCTATGAAGCCAGACACTTAGTTTGGACCCAATACTCAAGGTTAGAAGTGCTGTAGACTTACTGAGTAATGAGAGAGCCTGCTCGGCTCTTTGAGCACGAAGATTCTCCCGGATTTCAGCAATATCCTCACCTTGCGCTTTTTGCAGACTCAAAGACTCAACCAAGGTGTTCATGCCGTCAGCGGCTAATGCAAGACTAAGTGTCGCCTTTTGGTTCGCAACCTCCGCGATCAATTCCTTGGTCTCCGTTGATGAGAATGGCCAAATCAGAGTTCTGCCTACCGTTGAAGCCTTCTGTCGAAAGGGAGATTTAGTCTCATCTACCTGACTGGGATCTGCTTTGTCTAGCCTGTCTTTGATCTTCTCGAGAAGTGTGTGACAGGTATGAATGTGTTGCGACTGCATGGTGGAATCGAAATCCTCATCTTGGTACCGAGAGGCAACGAGTCGTAGACTATTCAGTATCCCAAAGAGATCGGTAATCTCTTCCAAGAGCTTCTTGACCTCTTTTGAAGCACCACGGGCATCTTTGATGTATTTGTAACTTCTGCCCGCAATCATGTCCGTGATTGAAATCAATCCAGCAATGCTGGCGGAAATGGAGAGAGGATCCATCGTGGAGAAACGGAGAACGGACGATCGGGACTCGTTGGCAGCGTCGACCTGGCCAAAAATCGACGGGGACGTGGATCTCCCTGAAGCTGAGGATGAGGGTGTTACCTGTGAAGCATGAAGACTACCTGAAAAATGGAGGTAAGATAGTTAGTGTCCATAGTTTTCTCTGCTCCCAAAATACGCAGTGCAAGCAGTCGTGTCAGGAACCCGAAGTCGTGATGAACAAACGAAAAGATGTAGGAAAGACGGAGGAAGGCTGGCGGCGCAGAAATGGTTTTTGGAGGTAGCCGCTGCAGGAAGGCGGTCGCCATTTCTGAGGGGGTAAGAATGCCCTGTCAACTGCCGGAGCACTGAAACCAGTCTCTTGGCCAAAACAACAGCGCCGATTGGTGGTTATCTTTGTAGTGGTTTGCAGCAACGTTGGGCTGTGGGGCGCAGTCAAGCCGAAGGATGCATGCGGGACGATTCTCCAGGATTGAAGATCGGCTTCACGGGGTTTGAGAAGGACGTTGCACATTGGTCGCAAAAAGAGAAGACTCTGTACACATAATGTCGAAAGTAGCACTGCTGGCAGACGCTTAGACACCCGTTTCAATAAAACAGCAGCAATGAATGGATGGAGGATTTTGATTTGTAGCGCTTGCTATGATTCGATCTTCCGCAACACGCATTGAGCCACGTATCAAATAAATTCGTTGTAAAAGAGTCCTCAGGCCCAAGAGTGTTCTCTCGGGAATTCCGCACAGTAGCACTGGACGTTGATACTCGTTATCGAAGCAATATTGTCTCCGGGGCAGCCTGTGGGCCTTCACTGACCAGCTGCAATAGGTGATCAATTCCAGCTCACATTCATCATACAACAGCAATCCAGTTTTCAAGGACCGTGGCATCAGGAAGCTCTCCATCTTTCCTTGATTGTCAGACCCGATCCATTCTGCTTCCAGATCAGCGGAGTTGCCGAAGGCGATGGTGGTCAGGATCGTCGTAGACTCGGACAATAAGGGAAACATTCTGGACCTGTCCAAGTAAGATTTAGAACAGACGTCAAAAGCCTGCTCACGGGTCCCTGGCCAGATCTTTAGCTGCTCCATAAAATGACTTTCCGAAGGACTCAGAGTAGTAGGACTGGGATACACAGAAGTTCAAGAATCTTGTTCTTCCAGAACCAGTCCAGAATATCATCTAAGGTGTAACTTTACTCTACCTCAAAGACCATTGTCTCGGTAGTTTCTCATGCCCAACAGGCCCCATCTTCTTCAACACAAATGGTCTTAAGTAAGCTTCAGAAGAGCTGTGATGGACATTGCTACGGCCATTGGCTACTCGAGGTAAGGTGTAATATCATATGCAATGATCAACACACACGGTCATTAGAATTGGCTCATCGTAATCTTACAATGTTCAGCACAGTTTTGGAATATTCAGATGAGTGTACAGGAGGAAGAAAACCTCTTTGTACTTTTGGGGTGCTAGGATAGTAACTCAAACTTCAATTGCCTTGAAGAACGCCGGACTCTCATTGCCTTCCACTACAGATGCCAGTGGCATGAGGTGCGCATTACTGTCTGCTCCACCTTGAAGCTGACGGACGTACGACTGAGCAACATTCAGCCACATAGCCTTCTCCGCTTTGCTGGCCTTAAGTCCACGCCAGACCCATATGGCACTGCCAATATCAACGAGAAAGACATCATTGCCATCAAGGTCTCTTCTCTGGATCGGTGTTCCATCCTTGATAAGATCAAAGGACAACGCTCCCGACGCATCACTGAGGCGAAACAGTCTATGAGGGCGACCGCTACTGGCTACATTTGAAGACGACACGGGCCTGGGAGCGTGGAACTCTGTCCGGCCGGCATCTTTACCTCCCAGTAGATCGACCACCAGCCTCGACCTCGAATCCGTCTGTGCTAGAACCTCGACATCAATGTGTTTGGCGATGGTCAAGTCATTCACAACCTGCGCAGCTTTGGCCTTCTCCATTGGCGAACATTTCTTCCCTTGCCAGACCCAGATCTTATCTCCCTTGTCCAGAACGAATACGTCTTCCTCATTGAGACTCTGCCATGTCGGTTCCACCTCGATGACAACCATAGAATCGGCTCGTCCTGTGCCAAGATGCTTGAAGATTCGCAGGAGGGTGGACATCTCTTTCGACTCAGCATCTTCTTCGACATGGCGGAATCCAGATTGTACGCCTCCAGAGAGGATCTTGAGGCGAGGAAACAAACCCATGAATTCGCCTGAGGGAGACTGCTGGATCTCTCGATGCTGCGTCGCTACCCCCTTCAAGAACTCGTCCAGCTCGACCGTCTTGTATGCCGCCGTGCCTGCCTCGTCCTGCGACGTCTTGCTCCCGAGCCAAAAGAATATGTCATGAATCAGCTTCTCCTTCCCCTCTTTCTCCCCGACCTTAAAAGAATGCAGCACAATGTAGCTATCTCCATCATAGAACTGGCCCGCCTTCTCCTTCGGCCAAACCACGACCTCGAAATCCTCAATGCGCCAAATGTACAGCCCAGCTACCTGTCCCACGGTTCCATTATTCCAGGCCGGCTCAGTTGCTGCCGAATTGTACTTGACTCTGTGGTCAATCTCGGTTCCGATCAGCTCAATGTTGCTGTCCTTGATGTCATATTCCTTTAGATGCGTCAGTCCTTCGTGCGGCGGCATTTTTTCTCGTTATGATTTCCTAGTTCGATCTGCGGAGTGTGAGGGATAGATGAAGCTGTCATGTGTGAGGGATCTGCCAAGCTGCATCGTTGCAAGCTCCTGCTGCACCGAGGCACAAGGTGAGGGCTGAAACACACTTCGTTTGGTGGTTGCGGTCGAGATCTGAAGTTTCAGGTACCATGCGTACATTTGAGCACAATGCGAGAAGTATTCAGACCATAGAAACCATCCAGCCGTGGCGGGCGTCAAAATGTTCTGGTAGAAGTTAGAGGGCGGCCGAACTGCAATTTATTATGCATCATCATCGTCCGTGTTCTGTTCTGTCCATGTTCTCGCAAGCCTGCATTCATCCTTATGCGTTTATGCAAACCATCTGGAGTTTTCCCATGGATGAAAGTGCTCGTCCATCAAAAGCAGTTGCTCCGCCACAGCCCCTCACTTCATGACCGTTCCGGGGCCCTCGTACTCTCTTCCGGCGGACAGAGCGTTTGACACCGGGGCAGACGACGGCGGGTCGTTCGTCATTTCGCAATCGTTTGATAAGATCTGATTCCTGAATCAAATCCATCTGATGTTCTGATTAAGGGAGACGTTCGAAAGCAGCACCCTTTGTTTTGGAGTGCGCCGCACGTGCGTGGTGATCATGCATTGTTGAGCGTGTTCATAATTCCATCAATCAGATCCTGGGCCTGGTCGGAGCAAGCGAGGACACAGCTGTTTTCATCGCTTCGCTTCAGATCAAAAACATCTCGGGTTTCCAGTCGGACACCGCAAAACCCGTCATTTGGGAATCAGGCAGCTCGTCGCGGACCATAAAACAAGATCTCCACTGGTATGAATCGACAAGCGCCGTAGTGCCATCTGGTAACCTGGCCTTGTCGGATGTTTTCGTCCAATCCGGGTTAAGTCTGGATGGCCTCAAACCAAATGTTAGGGGCGAGATTGGCCCATATGCGTTCTAACTCTATTCAGACGATCCGGAGTTGGCGAGGAGAGGCTGAGTGAGGGGTTTCATGGCCGCAGACATGAGATGGGATCTTGGGATGGCCGACCGGTGGTGAGCATATATAGCTTCAGGACCTCCCTCGAGGCACAGATTTCTTTCTTCATCCCATCTTCGTTCTTTTGAGCTCGCTCACACATTCTTTAATGTTCTGAGAACTTCGCATTCTTTCCACACTCATTATCAACGTTATTGCATCGGCCGGTCCCCATTTTATACCCTTCACTTCACTGTCCGCCCTTTTTCAAGACTGAGCCAATCAACCAAAATCATCAAGATGTATACACAAACCGTTCTCATCGCCCTTCTCGCGGCTGTTGCTGAGGCTCGGTAAGCACCATTCCAATAATCTCAATAACACAAAACATCAGCTTACCCCATTTACAGTTTCGGCCAAGAACAAGGAAACGGAGCTATCGCTGCCATCTCAGCGCTGTCCGACCTCGGACAATCCGGCCAAGCAGCCACCCTTGCCGGAGGCTCCATCCAGTTCCTCCTCGCTGCTGCCAACCCATGCGGCAAGCTCACCCAAGCCGATCAGATCGTCGCTGAGCTCGGAACCAGCGATAGAGCTATCGCTGCTGCTCGCGGTCTCGTTGCCGCCGAGCAGAACTTCAACCCCTTCGTCGTCAGCATCCCATCCATCTGCTCCGACCCTACTCTCCCCGCCACCGCTGCTCTCCGCGGTGTTGTCCCTCTCATAGATCCTGCTGTTGGTGGCCAAGACATTGAAAACGCCAACTCGAAGACCTCAGTCACGACTCCTTTCTCCGCCGATGGCTTGAGCGTCGCCCAAGTCATGGTTGCCCAAGGTTTCTCTAACTTCACTGCCGTCGATCTCGCTGGAAACAAGGTTGCTGCTTCAACTCTTGGCTCCTCTGCCAGCTCTGGTACCACGTCAAATAACACAGCTGCCGTTGCTGTCAGCTCTTCCCCTGCGGCAGTTGCCACGCCCCCTGCTATCGCCTGCGGTGGTACCACTCTCACAACTGTCACCCGTGCTGTAAGTCTACTCTTCTCCCTACACCAAACTTCACTAACACAACCCAGGCCACCTCTGCCGCACCAGCCGCCACAACCCCAGCAGCCGCCGCGACTGCATCAACCTCTACCGCCTCATCTGGGACCGGCGCCGCAGGCACTTGCACCGGCTCAGGCAGCACCCTCCTCTGCACAGCACCCAGCGTCGGTTCTGGCGCCGTCACTAACGCCGTCACTGGCAACTTCGGCGGCTTCGTAGCCTCTACCATCGCCGGCCTGGACTTCGGACTCTGCGTCCCCACCATGAAATTCGAACCCGGGCTCGACAACCGCGCCACCACCGAATTCACCTTCCAAGCCCAAGACCCTCTCTGCAACAAGGGCCAAGAGGAGGCTCTCAACCCAGCCATCATTGCCAACCGCATCCACGACCAGCTCACCAATGTCTGTGGTGCCAACCAGGCCGCCAAGGATGCTGCAGCTGCTGCTCAGACAATGATCACCAACCTGGGTACGCGCGATAGCACCACTGCTGACGCGTGGAATACCGCTCTTGGCTTCGCTGGCACTGACTTGAACCCTGACAAGGCTCCGGTCACTGGCTTGGTTGGCCACGTCTAAATCACCATCATTTATTTGATAGATAGTTGTCTTCACGATTTCATTGTTGCGCTCTTGTTGGGGAAGGGGGATGAAACCCTCGGTGGCATTTGTACGATCAATGTATATACCGTATTATGACTTAACTGAATATATTGCTTGAAGTCTATCAGGTCTTCAGCTATGAACTTTTCCTGCCTTAGCCCTCCTCCATCACGTGCCAAACCCACCTTCCCTTTGTCCTTCCATATCTTCCTTGCGGACGTGACTCAAACCCCATCTGCATCAATTAAAGCTACAACTAGTTTCGCTTCGCTCCGCACTATCAGCCTGACCCTGAAGTCTTCCGACCCGAGCCATGGGAAAGGTTGAAGCCAGGATGGAGCTATTTGCCTTTCGGTGGCGGGCCGCAGATCCGTCCGGAGAAAAGTAGTGGGAGAAAGAGGATGTAGAATTGGTGAGGTGTGCCTCGAGAGGATATGTACAGTTAGTTGCCTCAGGCATCCCCCGTTTACGACTCCCTTTCTGAAATATCGCGCCCATGCAATAAAATACCCTTGTATAATTCAGCTAATTTATAATACCATAATTCCTTGATAATTCTCATAATACTGCCATTTCGAAAACTCTGTTTCCGTCCGTCTAGAAATACTTAGTAATACTTCTAAAACTCTATAACCATGCCTATTTCCTCTCTATTAGCTCCTATTAATATAACTCATGTTCTTTCCCTTCCATACGAAATCCCAAAATAGTCTAGTTAGAAATCCCTATTTATATACCTCGTAATTATACTTTATTATTTTCCTCGGTCCTTATAAAAACTTTACTACTCGAATTTAGAGTAGTCTAGTCATATAAGCCCCAGATACTATATGGAGATCTCGTAGTAATTAATAAGAACCCGTTTTATACCGGATATTTTAATATATAGGTAATTCCTGTTCTTTTTTACTAATAAGGTAATTTTCCCGAAATTAAAATTGCTTTAGGTAATCTTTATAAAATATTCTGGAAATAGGAGTCCTATAAATCTACTATAATATATATGATTTCTTATAATTTTCTCTATAGCTAGTAATAATAAATAGACCTCTTTATATAAGATATAGCTTTTTTCCTATTACCTTGGAATTATATAGTATTACTAATTATCTAGGACTAAATTTCTTTTTATATATTCCCTGATTATATTAATATTTTTCCTAATTCTTCCGGAAATCTAAAGCTTTAAGGATTTTCTTATGAATTCTTATTCTATAAGTAATATAGTAAAGTATTAGGTTTTCCTATTATTCTTTTATTAGAACGCAATCCCATTATACTAAAACTACTAATATAATCTCTAACCTATAATATTTCGGGTAAAACTATTTCAAGAATTCTTTAGATTAATATCCCTAATATATTTCCTAAGGAAAGTATTTTAGGTAAATAATTTCGTAATAATTAAGTTCCTTTACTACCTTTATTACCTATAAATAAAAGAGATATGGCTTGCCTAATTTCTTTAGAACTCACTAAAGCAAGTTATTAATTTTCTTAACTATACTAGTAGTATTCTTAATAGCTATAGGAGAAGTTATCTAGAATATTCCGAGTTATTATATAAAAGATTAGGTTTCCTAATTAAAATAGAGACTAGGATCTATATAGAAACTAATTAGTATTCTAGCCTTATTAAAGAGATTTCTTAGGATATTAATTATTTCCTATTAGTTATTAGAAATATAAAGATATACCTAATAGAATCTCGAAAAGTAATTAATAATTACGAGAATATATCTCTAGAAAATTCTCGGGAATTATAGAAATAATTCTATAAAATCGATTCCCTATATTTATATAAGTATATTTACTTATATAGGATTTAAGGTTTGAGATTAATAAGTAATTATATGTTTTATATAGGGCAAATATCCTAGAATATAATTAGTAATATTAATAGATATTTGAGGCTAGTAATATTCCCGTAATTTCCGAATTATAATAGCTTCTATAAAATAGCCGAATTTATTATAAATATAATATAAAATATCTATAATTTCGTTTTCCGTAATATAAAGCTAAAAAGTACTTTTCTTATTATATTAAAGCTTTTTATTCTTATAATAATAGAGAAAATATTTCCTTAGGAAAGCTTTTCTCTAAATAAAACCCAAATCTTCTAGTATAATTCTTATAAGAAAATATCTTATAATATTTTAATATTATTCGGATTTCTAATACTTTCTTATAAAATTAGATTAAGAAATATATACTATTCTAGCTAGATTTATCTGAAATATTCTGGGAATATAATTGGAATTAAAGTAGAAATATTCCTGAAATTATTTATAATTACTTCCCGTTTTATCCTATATTATTCCGAGGATATATTTGGCTTTTCTTATTTTATAATATAGTAATAAGAGAAATACCTAATTTATATATTTAGTTCTTATAAGAAGTTCTAGTTCGAGACCTATTAGTTAATAGAGTTCTAAATTACTTAAGGATTTCTCCTAATTCTTTAGAAAAGCTTTATAATTATCTTTTTTGTCTTTCTAAACCTATTATAATTCCCTAGAATAATCTGAGATAAGGCTATTATAGGCAAAGAGATTATTATTATAGTTCTTATCTAGGAAAATAGTTTATAATAAGGTATTAGTAGCCTTGTTTTTCTCTTTAGAAATATAAATAATTATAATATTGAGATTTCGAAGCTTATAAGCTTATCTAATACAGATTTCTTCTAAATATAAATATTATAAGAAGAAAATAATTAGCTTATAGTTTATATATACTATACTAGTTTTCGGGCTTTGAAATATATACTTATGCTTCCTAAAGAATTCCATAATAAATAAGAGTTCTCGTTTATAAATCTCGTAATTTTATTAAGGTTTACTAAATATAAATAAATTAAAAAAAATAGAAACCTGAACTTCTTTCTATTATTATATAATTATATATCCGGTAATATAGAGGCTAGTATTAGTATATATTTCTACTAGTAAAAGGAAATCCTACCCGTATATATTAATTACTACTATAGCCTTTTCTCAAATTATTTTAAAAATAATTTATTTTATAGAATTCTATTTCTATTTTATATTATTAGTAAAATAGTAAAGAAAATAATTAAGCTCTAAAAAGTTCTTAATCTAGTACCTCATAATTCCTATAGTACTATTAAATTTATATACCTCGGTTATATTTATTAAAACGAGAAACTTCCGTATTTTTTTTGCTTAATTAGGTTTTACCTAAAGAATTTCTCTAGCTTTATAAATAATTCCTAATACTAGAATCTAATCTATAAAGAGCCTAAGCTTTTTAAAAGAAAGTTTTAAATATAACTAGAGTAATTATAAAAAGAGATAGTTTTCTAAGTAATTATAGCCTTTCTTAAAAGTTTTATATTCTAAAAAGATATTATTTATATAGAATACTAAATTGAGAAGTTCTTCTAAAGAACTTAATACTAGTAAGGAGAATTCCGAATTATTAAATCTCTTTAAAATTACTTTCTTAGATTTCGGAATAACTCTTATTATAATATATATTAATTCTATTATTAAGAAAATAGTTATAATAGAATCTTATAATATTCTTATTAGTTAAAGCTATCTATATTCTAGAATCGAGAATATAAAGTAATATTAGTAAGATAAATAAATACTAATTACCTAATATACGTGTTTTATATTATACTAGAAAAAGTACTAATAAGCAGGATTTAAAAAATAGTTATAAACTTCCGAAAATAAGGCTATATAATATCCTAAATTAATTTCCTTTATATTCTAGTAATTAAAGGCTACCTAGTACTTATTTATAATTCCCGTATTCTCTTTTTTTACTAGAATTACTTAAGTATTCTAGTTAGATAATTCCCCGTTTACTATAATAGTTCTCTTAAAAAACTTATAGGCTATTTCTTTCTAGATAGTTTTATCTAGCTAGTATTTCTAATTAGGAGGCTATTTCTTTTATTATTAAATATTTCAGGGTTTTATTTCTAGTATTAGACAAATCTTATATTTATATAAATTAGTAAGAGGAATCTAACTTAATTTAGTAATATTTAGTTCCTAATATATATATAATAACCTCTTAACCTTATTATATACTTTATTATTCGGAATTATAAGGCCAAAAGTAATCTGAGAGCTTTAAAATTATTTATTAATAACTTTTTCGGGATTAGTAAATAATAAGAGGCAAGTAATTCTTCTTTTAGTAAGAAATCCCTTGGTTTCTAAAGTATTCTAATTCGGGAAAGTTCTTAGACTACTTCTATCCTAAAGAATTCTATCTAATTTATAAGGAAATCCAGTAATATTAGAGAACTTTACCTAAGGACTTTCTTTCTAAAGATCTCTTTCTAGAGCTATTATATAGGTAGTAATTCCCATAGTACTAAGGTAATATTAAATCCCGGAATTATATTTTATAATTCATAAAATACGGGAATATAAGTTAAGAACCGGGGAAATATCTTCCGGATCTAATTTATATTTAGCTAAGTAAATATTTTCTGGATTTTCTTATAAGGCACGTAATAGCAGGGGTAATATATAAGTAGTTAAGGTAAGTAAGCTATAGAGTAATACTTGCAAGTATAACTAATTCCAAGAATTAATTCTAATAAGAGACTAATTAATACCCCTTCCAAAGCTAGAAGCGTCTCTCTATATATTCCCTAGTACTTAGCCAGGCATATAAAGCCCTTTACTTAATTAGGAAATCCTATATAATCCATATGATTCCGATCGCAAACTATACCCAAAATAGGAAACTAGATTCATAATATCTAATACCTATCTATACGCTATTATATATACCTATTATATTAACCCCCCCTCTAGGCCCTTATTTCCAAGAGGCCTGGGAAAACTATAAATAGCTTTACAAATGTTTCCCTAAAACTTTCCTGGCCACTGGCTTTCCCCAAAGACTTCCCATAATTACCCTATTATTATGCCAGGTAATAGAGTTAAGGATATAGTTTACTAACCCTTCCTAGCTAGTTCGCAAATCGCCTCTAGTAATTTCCTCTCGCAAAGGTAGTACAAATATAATATATACTATCGGACATAAAGCTTATCCGATCTCCTAATTAGTTCGTAAATCCTAACTTAGCCTCTATTCGCAAATAAATTATTACTCTATAAGCCCAAGAGCTTGGAAAAGTTAATCCGATCTTCTAGTTTATTCATAAATCCCTTCTTTAAAATTTTCTGGATATTCCTAATATAGAGCCGGTTCCGAATTCGTAATTATTATTTAAAGAGAGGATATTATAAAAAGGCCTTCCTTTTCCTACTAACCAATCTTCCTTTTCCTTAATTATAATACCATATCTAGCTTCTCCTCGTCCCTTGCCTTCCTTCTTCAAGCCTTCTTTAAGCTTCTTTAAGCTTCTTTAAGTCTTATTTAAGCTTTATTTAAGTCCTCTTCTAATTCCCTCTTTTACTTCTTTATCTATTAAGATAAATACTTCTCTTAGTACTCGTTAGCCTATTACTACCCGTTTGGCTAATACTCCCATATCCTTAATTCGCCCTTACTATCTTTAATATTCCAAGAATATTACTAAGTTTCCCGATCTTACTTATATTAAGAGTAATAATTACTCGGTATATAATTACTACTATTCCAAGAATAAGAAATATAATCCTATAAGTTATAAATTCCTTCTTTTATTTCTTATTCTAATACTATCCAAGGTTCCTTAAGTATATATAATATAATTAAACCGCCTTCTTTAAGCCATTAATATATATAAGTATCTTCCTTATCTTTTACCTAAAAGGGAAAAGGCTATTACTACCCTTCTTCTATACTAAACTATATATACTTCTCATATTAAAGCTATTATTTAAAGCTAATAGATTTCCCTAATAATCCAAGAAATAAGTCAAGTAATTCTTACTAGCTTGGTATAAGTATAAAGTACTCTTAATAATATAATTAATATTCTTTAGTATTAAGTAAGCTTACTTCTTCCTTATTTCTTACTAATAGCTAATAGCTTTATAGGCCAATTTGCTATCTATTTCTCGAGAGAATCCTAATAAGGATAATAATAAGAATAGTAGAGAGTAGTTATAAGAATAAGATATTTATAGGGTATAGAAATTAGAGTTTTTAATAATTTTCATATAGTTTTTCTAAGAATAAATATATAGTTTTTTAATAGTTTCCTAATAAAAGCATTTATCTTTTATATCTCCGTTTGGCTAATAGTATTATAATATTACTCTTTTCCAAGTATTCTTATAATTCTTAAGCTATATTCTCCAGATTATTTAGTAATTCCTATATATTATCTACTAGTAAGTAGCCCTTCTAATAAATGAAATACTTCCTTTCTTTTCTGCTTTCTTTATAGGCCATAATGAATTCTATCTCGAATTCTTCTTTACTCTTAATCTCAACCGGCTCTGGTTCTATTATAATACTAGCTTGCGGGTACTATGGTTCTAAGAGGAAAACGTAAAAAATATTATAGATCTAATATAATAGTAGTAATTCCAAGTAGTATATCTATCTATATATTCCTATAACTTCCAGAACTTTAAAGGGGCCGAGATATCTATCTACTAGCTTTATACTAGGTTATAGCTATTAAATATTCTTTATATAAAGTATAACTTTATTATATATCTTAAACTTCTTATTAATATATTTCTTATTATAGTACTTTTTTTATATATCTATTACTTTTTACTATTATTTCTCTAGTACCTCCCATTTTACTTAAATCCTTTATACTCTTTCCTATATTACCGGCGCCCCTCTTTCTGAAATATTGTCCTTAATATATAGTTTAATACTAGGATAGAATCCGTATAAGGTATAAAATAGGGATATTCCTATTATTAAATATATAGAGTTATTATATGTGAATTCTATAAGAGTAAGCTTTACTACCTAGTTATTCTACTAGTAGCTAGTATAGTACCTCAAGTATTATTCTAGAGTTTGGTTTAGATTCTCCGTTTATCTATTAGTTTACGGGTAGAATACTATATTTAGCCATTATTAAACCTTTAAGTAAAAGTACAGACTTGACTAGAACTTGCTTATAAAGACAGATCCTCTATTAGAGGTTATACCCGCAAGTATACCAAAGTCTTTAATAATATGGTATATAAATAGCTTTACTAGCTCAGGAGCCAAGACCTCCTTAGTAGTCGGAATATATTATACCATTTTCGTATACCTATTAATAATAATAAGTATAGAATTATATACTTTACTATAAAACCTAGAAGGGGGCAGTCCCGTAATAAAGTCTATAGTAATTTCTTGCTATGGCTTAGAAAAGAAAGGAAATGAACTAAGTATACTATATGGCAGATATCTCTTTACCTTGGTCCATTAATATATAGAACAAGTTCTAATATAGTCTTTTATGTTCTTTCTTATACTTTACTAGAAGTACTTTCTCTAGAGAATTTCTAGTATCTTACTAGTACCAAAATACCTATCTATAGAATTATTATAATTAGCTTATAGTAATTCTTTTTTAAGAGCCGGCTTATTTAGTATATAGATAGTATCCTAATATCTTAATAACCCAGATATATCAAGTTCCCAAGTCTTAATAGCTCTAGTAAAGGTCTCCTTTAAGAACTATTTATACTACTAGTATTATACTAATGAATCGAGCCTTTAGTACTATAATAGTAGTTCAAGTAATATCTCTCCGCTTTCCTTATATACTATTTCGGACCTAGCTACTTATATAGCTAGAATCCGTAGTATATACTATTTATAACTAGCTATACTAGTAATAGGCTCAAGTAGTAGTATCTCCGGTACTACTTCATTACTAAAATAGACTTCCTTTTCGGAATTCCTTAGTATTTTACTAATCGAGAAGTATTTACCTTTTTTCTCCTGGGCCTTATATTATAGCATTATAGGAATAGTATAGCATTCTATTACTACTATCTATAGGGTTCTCTATTCTGTATTCTATAGCTTATTATAAAGTATAGGTAGTAAAATGTCTTTATCTATATCTGCTATAAAGTCTGGCCTCCTTAATAGCCTATTAGCGGAATTACTATATCCCGGCCAGTACTCTAAGACAAAGTCAAAGGCAGCTAGCTCCTCTACCTATCTTATCTATTAACTATTTAGTTTTCTCTTAGTTATAAAGTATTTTAAGTTATTATAATCTGTCTTAATAATAATAGTATACCGGATATATATTAGGTAATACTACTAAGTACGGAATACCAGAATAATAGCCAAGAGTTTAGAGTTATATATCTTATATCTATTTTTAATTATAGTTATCTTTTTTAAATAAAAAGTAATAGGGTACTACCTGGCTTCTGCTCTCTTACTAAAAAGCTAGGAAATCATACCTATAACTATAAATCCTAAAGCGTCTGTTTCTATATAAATCTTTAAGGCTAGGTCGAAATAATAAAGAATTAGTACTATTATAAATATAATTTATAGCTCCCTAAAAGCCTTATCTGCCTTATCCGTTTAGCTAAACTAATATAGTAGTTTTCCGCTAGTTTTTAGTAAATTAATTAACTTTTTTACTACCCTAAAGTATCTATAAATAAACCTCCGGTAAAAGTTAGTAAAACCCAGAAATACTTGAACTTTTCGGATATTATTCTTTAGGGCCGGCTATTCCCTAATAGCTATAACCCGGCTAGCTTCTATTTCTATACTATCTAAACTAATTACAAATCCTAGAAACTCTATTCTCTCTATATTAAACTCGCATTTTGCCAAGTTTATAAAGAGCTAGTATTACTATAACCGCTCGAATATATATTAGACTACTATTATATATTATTCTGGGTCCTCTAAATAAATTAAAATATTATCCAGATAAACTATATAAATAATATTTATAAGGCCTACTAGTATATAATTAATATATGCCTGGAATATTATCGGAGTATTAAATAGTTCAAAAGATATAATATAGTACTTAAAATATCTATAGTATATTCGGAATACTATCTTCTATTTATTGCCCTTCCGTATTTATAACTAATAGTAAGTATCTTTTAAGTCTAGTTTTATATATACTTTTACTCTATAAAGCCTGTTTATTATCTTACTAATAAGTAGTAATAGTATTTGGTTCTTAATAGTAATTCTATTTAGATCCCGGTAATTAATATATAGATATAGGCCGCCTCCTTTCTTTAGAACAAATATAATTAGGGTACTAGCTAGACTAGTAAAATAACGGATCCATTTCTTCTCTAAGCTAGTATTAAGATATTCCCGAAGAACTTCAAGCTCTCTTTCTAATAAAGTATATATAGGACCATATAGTAATTAGGATCCTGGTTCCAGATCTATATAATACTCTATTATATAATAGTCAGGTAATATACCTATAGCCTCTATAGAGAATACTCGGAGAAAGTCCTAATACTTCCTGGGAAATATAACTATCCCGTTTATAGTAATAGTAGTAATTCTTTGGCTATTTATTATAGGATAGGCAGTTAATAGAAAAACATATACCTTATACTTTACTACTTTGGCAAACTTCCTAGTATTTAGAACTTTAATCTTTTATAATTAAATCTGGTATCTCTATATTACTTCTCTAAAGGAAATCAGGAGATTAACCTAGTAAAGCTATAGGAATCCAAGTATTATATTAATATAATTCAGATCAAAATTATATAATATAAAGTATATATTAGCCTCTCTTTAGTTCCCTAGTATATCCTCGATAGTAACCCCAAGAATATAATCTCTATATAAATAAATCCTCTTTTCCTCTAGTAAGAATAAGAGAGTTACCCTTAATATTAATAAAATACTTATATCTAAGGCTAACCTCCTCTTTATATAATTAGCCTTTATACCCAAGTTAATTAATATTCTAACCCTTTACCTACTTTTCCTTATTTTAATAGTAATCTTAATTACTATTCTCGTTTTAGGGGCCTTGCCCTCTATAATATAAACGAGTATAACTACTACGGGGCATATCCGTTTCCCGGCTTCTTTAGTTCTAGGTACTTATATATCTTATAGCCAGACTTATTATAGTTATAGCAAGTCGGTTTTCCCTAATTTGGGCAGGTAGTAATATAGTAATTCTCCTTCTAGTAAGTAAAGCAAGTTATATCCGGTCTTATAGATCCTAATACAAGTACTATATTAGATCCCGTTACTATACTTTTACTATCCCGGTTATATAAACCTTATAACAGGGATATATTTCTCTTCCGTTTCCTTTTATTATCTCCTCTTTTCTTTTTCTAATTTTCTTTCTTTTATTAACCCGTTAGCTTATTATTATATTCCCGTTAAGTAAACTAGTTTAAGTTATTCTCGACCCTTATAGCCGCAGAAATAAGCTTCTCCCTTTCTTATAAAATATTCCCTTAGTAATTAATCTCGTCCCGAATCTCCTGCCTCAAGCTACTAAATAAGTCATCCCGCTCTTATAGTAAATCCGTATATCCCAAGTTATCTAATAGGCTATCTAAATAGGATATAAAGCTTTAGATACTCTAATCTGGCCACTATTTTATATCCTTAAACTTGGCGAGAGTATTATTACTATAGTTCTCCGGATCCAAGATAGAATCCTTTATAAACTTAATAAAGGTCTCCTAATCCGTAGTATTAATACCCACTAATTACTTCCTATACTTCCAGATATTCCTGGCTATATTCTCAAAGTAGGAAGTATAATATATAACCTTTACTATATCTATAGTCTAGGTAATCCCGCTATCTTTATACTATTTTAGCTCTACCTAGTAAAAGAAGTCCTAGGCTTCCTTAATACTCTTCTTCTTATAAGTTAGTAATTCTCAGGTTTTTAGAGCCCTATAAACTAAATATACTACTAGTAGTATAACAGGTTCTATAATAGGTATCCGAATATCCTTAAGATAATAAATCTGAGCTTCTAAATCCTCTAGATCCTTTCTCTATTATATCTCTGCTTCTAATTTAGTAATATAATAATGAGCCGCTACTAGCTTCTCTATTATTATTATCCTGCTAGCTAGTTCTAGGGATATCTAAGTTCTACTTCCTTCTCCTGATTAGGCGGTAGCTAGAGTAGCTAACTGGGCGCTCCCCTGGATACCTGACTAGGTCGCCCTAGTAATAGCAGAGGCGCTTTTTCTAATTAATACTCTAGCTATTAGTGGTTTTGTCTATTAATGGCTTAATTATCTTATAACGAACTGCTTCCCGAAGATTGGATTAATTAGAATATAAGGCATGTAATAGCAGGGTAATATACAAGTAGTTAAGGTAAGTAAGCTATAGAGTAATACTTGCAAGTATAACTAATTCCAAGAATTAATTCTAATAAGAGACTAATTAATGCCCCTTCTAAAGCTAGGAGTGTCTCCCTATATATTCCCTAGTATTTAGCCAGGTATGCAAAGCCCTTTACTTAATTAGGAAATCCTATACAATCTATATGATTCCGATTATAAGCTATACCCAAAATAGGAAACTAGATCTATAATATCTGATACCTGTCTATATGCTATTACGTGTGCCTATTACATTTCTAAGATAAAGTTCTTTTTATATAAGAATTCCGCAAGTTTTCCTAGATTTTTAATAGTAATTCCCGGTAATTCTTTATTAGAATAACTTAAATAGGAATATAAATATTATATAAGAGCTTAATAGGGCTCTTTATTCGAGAAATTATTCTCGTTTATTATATAAGATTTCTAATACTTGAAATAGTTAGAAGGCCTAACTAGTTTATATAAAGTTAATAATATTTTATAATAATAATTATAAAAGAAATATAAACTAGAAAAGGCATTCTCTAATCCAAATACTATAGACTTGTTTTATAAGTCTAAATAATAAAATTAGTAATATTATATATCTTTTATTTCTTAAGAATTCTATATATATAATTAATATAATTACTTTTAGTAGGATTTCTTAACTACCCAAGCCCTTTTCTAATATATTTAGGTCTAAGCCAAGAGTTTAGTTTTCTAACTTAGAGCTCTTATTATTAGTAGTATATTTCGATTTATTATCTGCCTTAGAGCTATTCGAATTAGTAAATTCTTTCTTAGAAACTTATATATTTAGTAATAGGAAATAAATAGAAATCTTTCTAGGTGCTTTCCGGGTATTCGGGCCCTTAGGATATAGAATTAATTAGTATTTCTTAGAAAGAACGAAAACGGGGCCTTATAAAGTAATAGGTTTCTCGCTAATTAATTAATTACTAATTTTAATAATACTCTAATAGATATAAATCTTTATATTAATATTATTTAACTAGGGAAGTCCGAGAAATAAATAAAGTTCTTTCTTATTTCTCTTTAATATTAGATAAATAAATATAAATACCTAATATTATATTTCGCTTACTTCTATTATAAAAGTAATATAAGCTAAAAGTAATAAGGAATCCCCGTCTATAGTATTTATTATAAGACTATTTTAGCCTTTACTATTTAGTATAATAATTATAAATCCTATTACTTTCCGGAAAGATTCGGAAATTAAATTCATATCTAAACCTTAATTCCTATAAGTTATACTAATAAATATAGAAACTTTCATATATTTTCCCTAGTAATAAACTCGGAAAATAATAGGAATCTTAAATATCTTATTATTAAAATAGATATTAGGGCTAATTAAGACATAAACTTTTAGGGAAAAATAGGAATTCTTAAGAATATTTAGGGAATCTTTCTTCTTCTTTTACTATAGCTTAGTAATTAGTATTCTAATCTTATAAAAACTATATTAAGTATTCGGGGAAAGCTAGAGGATTTTTAAAAGGCTCAAGTTATATTAGAATTAATTTATAAGATCTCAATATTTAATAGGGCTAAGGTTTTCCCGACCTATAATTTCATATAGTTTATAAACTCTATATTTGATTTTTTTAGGAGTAAACTTCGAATTCTTAGGACCTAGATAATTCTTAATTTTCTTATTCTTAGATAAGGTAATTTCTTTTATATAGTAATACTTTCTTTATAAGTTAGTTATAAAAGTATTATAAGAAAGAATCTTTATCTAGCTTTCTAATTTCTCTAATATATATCCGAATCTAAGCGAGATATTATTAGTATTCTAATAGGTTCCATATTTAGATTTAGTTAGTATAAATAATCCGGAATTAGTTTTTATTAAACTCGAAAACTTATTAAAGCTTATAGTATATTTAAACTAATTCTCGAATTTATATAAAGAAATATATAAATTATAGCCATATAACTAGGAAATATATTAAGAATTAAAGAATCCAGATTCCTAGAAAGAGTTATAATATAATATAATATTTCTATTAAATATAATCTATTTTAAATAACTTTATTTCTAGTATATAATAGTAAGATTTCTATAATCCGGCTTAATATAGCTATATTTTCTATATCTAATATATAATTTCTTAAAATAATTAAAGATCTCGAAATTATTAATAATTAAATAGCTAGATTAGGTAGCTAGTAAGAGAGATACTCGATTTTAATTTCCGAAATTATTTAGACGGGCTCTATTCTAGAACTATCTAGATATACTAGTATTTCGGGGTTATAAAGAATTCGGCTTTATAGCTAGAATATTCGGAATAGTTTAGATAGCTAGTTAGAATCCTAAAGCTAGCTAGTTTAGATACTAAAAGAACTTCTTAAAAATATTCGGGTTATATTAAACTTCCGCTAAAACTACTATTATAGAATAGCTAGTGAAATCCTATATTATTTTCTTAAGCTCTATTAATTAGTACTTACTAGCAAGAGCTTTCTTAACTTAATACTTTAAGGAAATCAAATATTAGGAAGCTTAAATTATTTCATAAGATTTCCAAAGTACTTTATAGGTAGCTATATTCTTATAAAAAGCTAAATAATAAAGTTTATTATTATGAATTTCCTTTATAAAAGTATTAATAATATAATTTAATATAGTAGTTTCTAAGCTACTAAAAGCTATTATAAAATTTTCCCGGGGCTTATTATAACTATAGGTTCTTTATAATAGGGAAACCATATACTAGTAATATATAGTAAGAGCTTTATTAGCTCCTTAGGAAAGGTTTTCGATTTCTGTCTAGATATCCGCTTCTATAATATCCTGGATAGATATAGGGAATTCCTTAGTAAGCTATTCCTTAATAATATTAATATTAGCTTGAGTTACTACTAATCTCTTATCTATAATCTTCTGAATTCGTAATATAAAATTGAGTCTATAAGCTAGTTCTCTTTCTAGAAGTATCTCGATTACCTCTAGAAATAGCTTAGGCTTTAGAACTATCTGGGAAGCCTTGCGGAAATTATAGGCCAAATAAGTAAGCTATTAGAAAGCTGGGATATTATTTTTATAGCGGCCCGAATTCTTGAAGTCTAGAAGGAAATCACCTTTCTCTTTATTAGAATCTCTTATTATAATGCGATTTGGTACTTCCAATTAGGTTCTAAGCTTCTCGAGTTCCTGGCAAAGAATAAGGTATTCCGATTCGGACGCAGGTTATTTCTTTATTAGGGAAAGCAAACCCGCGGGAATATTCAGGTTCCTAATTATTTAATTAAATAAGGTATTATATTCCAATTAGAAATCTAATAATAGGGAATTCTATATAGAGCTAGATAAATCTATATAGTTTATTATAGAGTAGGTATTATAAAATTCGGAACTCGGTAAGATAGTCTATATAGAGAAGTATATTTTTAATTAAACCTTCTGATTCTAATTAGATATATTCGGGAAATGCTTGGAATTATAGGGAATCCTACTAGAATAATCTGGGAATCTTTCAGGAAATCTGCAAATAGTTTTTAATAATGCTTTTAATACTTCTCGATAGGTAGGATTCGGGAATAGGGTATTAGACTATTCCATAGTCGAGGAACCGTCAGGGAATGCGTCTGCTTAAGGGGAGGGAATATGGTATTGAAATATGTTCCTGGAGGTATCTAGGATTAGAATCAAAGAGTTTTTGGACAGAATTCAAAGGATTAAAGGTATCTTTGAGGATTTCCGAGGCGGGGGAGGCGGGGTTAAGGTTAAGGGTAATAATGATTTACGATCGCGTTAATCGTAATTAATCGCACTAAGGAATCGACGATTCAGAAAACGGTAAGGTCGAGAAAACGATGGGGAGGGTATTCAGGAAGCGGGAGAGGGTATCGGAGGCGTGTGCAAGGCTTGGAATCAATCCCTGCGTTGCTTACCAGAAAAGTAGTGGGAGAAAGAGGATGTAGAATTGGTGAGGTGTGCCTCGAGAGGATATGTACAGTTGGTTGCCTCAGGCATCCCCCGTTTACGTCCGGTGCAGAATTGGGCATTAACGGAAGTGAGTTATGTTTTAGCGAGGATGGCGCAGGGGTGGAGAAGCTGCAGGTTACGGTGCGTTAGTTCCTGCTTAAGGGATGAGGGTATTTTGGAATTTGAATTTTGACTTGATGGGGATTGTAGATATATTGAAATTGCTTAGCTGAACCCATAACTTTTCGTTTCACGAGTACTAGTGAACGAGCTCCCTGTCTTCAGATATATATCCGGCTCGGTACGCGCTAAGTCACTTGCAGTAGTACTATGTAACTTGTACTACCTAACTTAATTTCACTAAGCGCTAAAAATATAGTAACTTTTAATAGGCGTATTAATAGAAACCCAGTGACCCTCGCTTAAGCAATTTTAAAAAAAGAACCCCTATTGATAGCAAGTACAAATGGCGTGGGCTTACCTAACATTACCACATTCACTGTGTATTTAGCTCCGGCTGTCCTAGCTACACCCCTCTTCTCGCCTAATCTTATATATAACTCTATAACTTAGCCTTTTGTACAATACTTGCAATCGCCTATAACTTTTTAAATTCTTTAATTATATGCTCGTGCTCTTAAGAAGAAGAAAATTAACAAAAGAAGGAGAATTAATTTCAAGCTATAAGAAATACAATAAGTAGAGTGTAATTTTAAGAGCGGGTTAGGAAGATGTTAGTATTCACTGCTTAAAATGGGCCAGTATCGACCCTGTAAATCAACTCGGGGAAGGGGGCTGGGGGTTGCGTCATTTCTCTAACGCCCCAGCCTGAAAAGAAGGAGGGGGTTGCGAAGTAGTAGCCTTTCCCGCCTTTCGGAATTTTCTCTTCCTGCAAGATTTTCACCACAAGTATGGCATAAAGTGCGGCCAAGTCTGATTGATATATGCACGACGGAGAGTGGGTGGGTTGATCAAAGGAGAATGTTTGTAAGCAGAGGGAATCGATCTAATAAATACATGGCAGCTCGTTTTTGAAGTAATTGGCCAGTCAACTATCCGTTCCATGACCTTTGCTCCGAAGCAGAAACAACATTCATGTGCCCTCAAAGTGTTCAAAACCAAACCAGATTAAAGAAACAATTTAGGTAAAGTGGTGGCTTCGCGATCTGCAAGTGCTTTCCATGCCTCGAAGTACTTGCTCTTCCACGTGCACATACATCTACTCGAAAGTCAAGCCAACTGTAATCACCCCCTCAATCCCCGGCTTCGCCCATCACATCAAACCAGCAGGTCGTGTCAGTGTTGGAATTGCGTTTCAAAATACCAATACCTTATTACGAACGATCCGACATGTACCGGGGACGGATGCACGCTAAAAGAAGCCGTGATTACTTGATTGCTTCTCAGATGATAATTGATATTAAGACACCCGAGCGCAGTCATAACTTATGATACGTAAGTCAGATTCGAAAATAGTTTGGAAATGCCTAAAGGGAGAAGAAAAAGAGATCTACATGCGATGATTAATCACTTGATCGGGAGATCAGTTTCGCGCGACCCCGACCTCGACTCGGTGCGAAGACACTTGAGAAGCGGAGAAGGGACTATTGAGAAATATATCGTTGCCTTGCTTATACAATATACCCATTTCTAGGCTATGCAATGCCCTTGAAGCTCATCTGCTCTCCATCTTGCTCTCAAAACCTGAACCAAGATATTTATATACAAGAAGGTTCCATGTCGTTTACATGTCCAAAGAGACAATCCAATGCCATGCGATCCAACGCCCGTCCCTCATGCCAGTATGTATGCACTGCTATTGGTCAGTCCCCAATACCTTTGCCCAAAAAGGATACCCAAACCCATATCCTTGGCCCTTTTCCATCTGAGACCAACAAAAGAGATGCTGCGGTTGACGCAATGCTCACGAAATCCAAATTAACTCCACAACCCCATCCTTATCATACATCCTCCACCCCTTCCCACCCTGCTCAAAGCTCCACCGCCAATCATCGCCCTTCCGAATATAAGTCTGTCTGACGCTCCCATCCTCCTCGACTCTACTCTCCTTTAACTCCCAGCTCGCCTTCCTCCCAGTCTGAATCAAACTCTTCCTTCCCGGCCCTAACATAAAGTCCATATTCCAACCATAATCGTCAGGCGCTGCACCAAATGTCCGCTCCATCTGATGAACACTGAAGTCAATTCCTTTCGGGTAGTGAGCGACAGAGAAACCGTTTGAGATGATGTAATTATCCCTCGTTTGAAATCGCTGCAGGAAACAGTCTTCGCCGCAAGCATGCATGATTTGCGCACCTTCATACGGATGTGCTTCATGCCACATGCCACCTTTGAAGTGATGGAGGGAAAGCGGCGCAATGCCAGATTCGTAGAATCCAGCCGGGTCGCCCACAATGTCGAGTTGGTGGAGATCACGCAGCAGTGTGAGGCGGACCTCGGTGTTTTCGTAGATGCATTTTCGGAGCAGGATGTCGCCTTGGGGTCCCCAGCCTGTGTCTGATTCTTGGATTTTCTGGCGTGTGCTGCACTGCGAGAAGAAGGAGGATATTTTCTTGGCAAGCGGAACGGAGAAGAAGACGCCTGCACCGCCGAAGGCTTGGGACCCGTGGCGTTCGATGTTGTTGATATCCTCGGAGAATGTACCCATGTAGAGATCAGTGGTGTGGTTGTAAGTAGTGAGAAGGTTGAGGAGGCGGTGCATGGAGGGGAAGAAGGTATCGTCGTCGCACATGACGAGGTATTTCCGTTTCTTGTGCTCTGACTCCTGGTAGAGTGCTGGGAGGAGCGACAGATACCGCTTCGCCATTTCGATCGAGCTGTCAGAGGGGAACACTTTAACGTCCATGCCCATCTCCTTCATCATTTGTCTTGTTGCTTCGATTTCAGCATTTGTTGCATCCACCAGACATAAGACCAAACCAGCTCCATTGGACTTTCCATTTCCATTCGTCAACCAGTGTGACCATTCGGTGATGGGACCCGTCTTTGGGTTACTGAGCCTTTGGAAGGTGGTGGATATGCCGAAGAGAAGATTAGAAGCATCCACAGTGCTGGGATATGGCGATCTTGCAACCGGAACGTCCAGCGGCTTTGGACAAGCAGTGCTCATAGGGGGGTTGTTGACCTTAATCGTATCGAAACCCTTCGGAAATAGGTCATTATCAATTTTGGTCATTGACGCTCGTGCGATGTTGTCGCGATGAAATCGTATGTACCGTCGTCCGTAGTCGACGTTCTCCCCAAGGCCGTAACGCCACTGTAATAACTGGAGGTGGGTTGCGTTTAGCGTGCAATCCAGAGGACGGCTTTGGTTGCTATTCTGCACATAGATTACTTCCGTTTCCGTTTCGAACGGTTCAATTCGGTTTTTAGTGGTCGTGGAACGAAAAGTGTAGAAGAAAAGAACGAGACAAACGAGTGTGAGCAAGGCAACTCGCGAGAAAGAGCTTCGTGGGTTGAGCATCGTCCCGCTTGCAGCTGTAGAACCCATAACGAGCGAGGTACTTCAACGCATTCAAGGTGGAAGAGAACAGCACTGGAGAGAAGAGTGGAAGATGTGAAGAAGGGAGGAATATAGAGGTTGGTCTAATTTGGAAACGAGAGTGATGTTGCAAACCCATTCCGGAAGGCGCGAAGGTGTAAGGCGGGTCACAAAAGCAATGCGACCTGACCCGCCCCTCCACTGGGAGAAGTCCGGAATTTCGCAATCACAGCCATATTGGCGTGAAAGGGGCCGTGTACCAAGGAGGATTGGGGTGCAGCATGTTCACAATTGACTTGCGTCTTTCTCTCGCCGCATCACAGGTCCTGTGGGGCTCTCGAGAAGCTGGTGTTGCAGAATCTGCAAACTACGTTGAAATATCCGGGGAAAGGCCATCTGAAGGTGTCCCGCACATGAAATCTCGATCCTTGAACGGCTAATCATAAGACTGGACGTGGGAGATTTCCGTTACGGAAAGCTACATCTGCAAAAAGGGTCGAGGCTCACGAGGGGACTTAGATTGCTTGTGCCCCTTTTAGTGAAGGCGAGCGAGCCTAGAGAGCTCAATGAAAAGGAGAACGACTATAGGGGTTAGCCTTGTCTTGAGGGCATTTTGCAGAATCGAGTTGTGATGTTCTGGGTCTGTTCAGGCGACGGAGTTAAAAGTTGGAAGATGGCCGTCGTTATTATCGGGTAAAGCTAAAATATCACATCAACGGTCACAAGCTTGTCTGATCTTGAATGACGCAGCGAAAGGATCTTTTGAAGATAGGAGAAAGGGGGCGGAGATCATCACGTGAACGTTGGAGCCCTCCCGTCTGCACTTGAAGATGATACGAAGATAGAATGAGGTTAAAAAGTAGGGGACAGGATCTGCGAGCATTACGAACGATTGGTCTGGCAGGCCAGACCGAACGAATCAAAACAAAATGCAGTCGAACCGGAGAGTTCTCCTTTTTGATGTGTCCCTGTGAGCCAATGAAAACCTGGACGAAATTGTCGCCTGAATTCGTGCCTCTGATTCAAGGCCTGATGAAGTCATCGTCAACATCAGGTTGGAAGAACGCGTGAGCAAAACCATCTCTGAACGCGTCAACAGACTCACATTGTTCGGAGTCGGCATGGCTAGGTAAGCGCTGTCCCCCTCTCACGGTCTTCTCGGCCAGTCGAGCTGCTAATCAACTCCCAGCAACATCCTCTTCCTGCCCTTCCGCAAAACGAACAGCCTTGCCTTATCGACTGCAATCAAGCAGTACATCTCCAGCAAATATGACCAGCATCCGGATATGTTCAAGCAGGACTTGGACGTTATTGATGCTCTAAGAAGGGATGCGGTTCACGTGCGAGAGCCGCATATCAGTGGAATCAAGAAACTCTCCGCCTATGCGGGGCAACTTTCTTGGATTGGGGGGAAATTTCCTATAGATGTGCGTAACCTTTTGTTGGCAAAACCCCATGCTGACACGATATTGCCAGATTGGTGTAGACTTCACATGGTACCCGGCACTTGGCTACAATACCGAAAGACCGATTTCTCAGAATAACCTCAAATTCGAACTGGCCAATGTCCTCTACAATCTTGCTGCCCTCTACTCCCAACTGGCAATGGCCTCGAACCGTGGCACAACTGAAGGACTACGGGCAGCATGCAACTATTTCTGTCTCTCTGCAGGGGTCATCTCCCACATCAAGAACGCAGTCATCCCAGAGCTCCGCTCTACTCCTCCCGAAGACATGGACGACTCCACTCTCGAATCTCTGTCCCAACTCCTCCTCGCACAAGCGCAAGAATGTTTTTGGCAAAAGGCTGTTATGGATGGATACAAAGATGCGTCAATAGCAAAGTTGGCTGCTAAGGTTTCCGATTTCTATGGTGCCGCTGGGGATTGGGGCGTGAAGAGTGAGGCGATAAGTTCGGAATGGATACATCATACTACAGCCAAGCACCATCATTTTGCTGCTGCAGCACAGTATCGACAGGCTTGTGATTGTTTGGAGAAGAGAAAATATGGTGAAGAGGTGGCGAGACTTCGGGACAGCATATCCTGTGTCAACGAAGCACTGAAGGAGGCCAAGTATCTTAATAAAACAGTGATGAATGATTTGAATGAGTTGAGGAACAAAGTCACTGAAGATCTCAAGAGGGCGGAGAAAGACAATGATTTGATCTACCTCAGTAAGTAGCTTGATCCTGGTATTTTCACGGGCTTATATTGCAGGTCCTGTCCCACCCAAATCGGAGCTCAAGACTCTCGAACGAGCAAATATGGCGATTGCCAAGGTGCCAAAACAAGTATCAGCACCTTCCGAATTTATTGGAGACAAGGGAGAATTTGGGCCTCCCCTGTTTGCCAAGCTTGTACCGTTCGCTGTTCATGTTGCTGCAAGCATCTATGAAGAAAGAAGAGATCGTCTTGTCAATACCAACATCATCGACGAACTCGAGATCTTGACAACCAAGATCCATGACACACTATCATCGCTCAATCTTCCCGGATCTCTCCAAGCGCTGGAGAAACCTCTCGGCTTACCACCAAGCCTGACATCTCATGCTGAGGAAATTCGTCAAGCAGATGCCCTTTCCAGACTCCAAAGATCATTCTCAGACACCAACAAACTCAAAGCCTCCGATGATGCAATCTTCAACGAAGGTAGAGAACTCCTTCAAGCAGAAGCAGCTGAGAACGACCGACTCCTCAAGAAATATGGCACTGACAGATGGACACGTCCCGACTCAAAATCTGCTGCTGCTAAATTATATGCCCAAGTCACCGAAATCGATGGCTACCTCAAGAGTGCAGGAAACAGCGACCAGCTCGTCGTCAGTAAGTTCCGTGAATGCGAAGACATGCTCCGTATTCTGTCTAGCACCGACCGCGACATTGGGAACTTCGTCCCCAGTAGCCGCCGTGTCGCCATCCCTCCAAAACTTGAAGGCGAGGTCTCACGTCTCCGCAACAGCCTCAACGAGGTGAGTCGTCTCGAGTCTCGCCGCCGACGCAAGATCGAAGCCCTTCGAGAAAAAGCAAAGAAGGACGATATCAATAACAGCATTCTCGCCGAAGCTGCACGACTTGAACGTGAATACCCTAGCCAAACATTAGTCCCCGCCCATTTTGAAGACTTTTTTGAACAGCGCCTCCAAAAGTACGATGTCGATCTCGCGGGCGTGAAGTCCGAGTCCGACGAGCAAGATCGCTTGACTTCACAACTCGAAGCCGCGAACACATCTTTCGTGGCAGCAAGGAAAGGTGACACCAGCTCCCGCGAACGCGAACAAGCATTGCAGAAACTAGAGAATGCATATTTCAAATACAAAGAAATAGTCAGCAACCTCGAGGTCGGGCGAAAATTCTACAACGATCTTGCCAAAATCGTCGGCAGATTTCGGGATGGCTGTAAAACATTCGTCTACGAAAGAAGAGAAGAGGTCTTAAGGATCGAAAACGACCTCTCGCTCCCTCCGCTGTCGAATTTGACACTTTCGCCGCAGCCACAGCAGCCGAGAACGTACAACACGCGCTCATCCTCCCATGGACCTCCACCTCCGAGTCAGAATCTGCCGCAGGCATATCAGCCGCCTATGATAAATAGCGAGAATATCCCTGCGCCCATACCGCAAAGGGCGAATGTTTCAAGTATGACGACACCGCCGATTACGCCGCAGACGTGGAATCCGGAATTGGGGATTAAGTTTGGTGGGCCGCCGCCGCCGCCGCCGGGGCAGGGGCCGGGGCAGGGGCAAGATCAAGCAGGACAGAGACCGGGTGGTGGTGGGACGTGGGATCCGAACAGGGGGTTTAAGTTCGGTTGAGGGGTGTTAGAGAGATGGAGGTTAGGAAAGGCGTGAAGGGAAGATGAATTATGATTAATGACCGAAGTACAGTATAGCATTTTCGGAGTCAGCAGGGCAGGAGAGCGATAAGCGGGAATGGATTCACAGGCAATTGCCGCAATCAAGGACTGTTTTAGGAACTGTAAGTTTTGGTTGTGTGCATCTTTGAGTCGCGTTTCATTTTGACTCGAGAAGTAGAGGTTCAAGTGAACCGTAGAGCAACCTCAAATCTCGCCCTCAACATTGTTGTACAACGCGGTTTGATGAGCGATGAAAGATGGAGCTTTCATCACATCTTTTACGACAGGTGAATCCCAAAGCAACTTTGTTAGTATCTATCGCGCAATTGAGCGGATGAAATCTCCATATCGTTGTCTCACCACACCTTTCAATATCCTTGCCTGGGGAGCAAGTCTTGCATGCCCGTATTTGCACGGGGAGCCACGAGGGCCTCCCCGATTGGGCACATTGCTGTTACACGCACTTTCTACCAACATGTAACCCCGCTCTCCGTTCAAAGACCGCGACACCTCCATATACCCCATCTCTATCGGTCTGTATAGGACCCCCTCAAACCGTACATGGCTTTCTCACGCGAGATCTGGACTTTGCTCGCTATCCTCCTAATAGGATATGCTTTCATATCAAGGCTCCGCACTTGGTTCCGCCTGCGCCATATTCCAGGCCCACCTTTCGCTGGGTTCTCGAAAGCCTGGCTCCTCAGGAAGGCAATAGGCGGTCGCTTCCATCTAGATACGGCTGAAGTGTGCGAGAAATACGGTAGCGGCCTCCTTCTCCCTTGCAAGAAAAGACTTTGCTAAAGTGGATTGTAGGTTCACTCGTGCGACTCGGCCCAAATGAGCTCTTCACGAGCGATCCCACAATTTTGAGGCGGATGTCCGCTGTTCGGTCACCCTATCGGAAATCGGAATGGTATGACGGTGCACGCCTTGAGCCGGAATACTTCTCCATGTTCTCGGAGATGAACGAGGAACGGCATTTGGAGCTTCGAGCAAAGTGCGCCGTGGGAGTAAGTCCGCCTTATCAAATTACGCGACCATGTGGCTTATAGAAATCTCTAAGTATGCCGGCAAAGATAATGAGTACCTGGAGATGTCCATCGACGACAATATCGCTAAGCTCGTGCAATTCCTAGACTCTAGATATGTGTCTACATCAATGGAATTCAAGCCCGCGGACATGGCTGCCAAGTTCCAGTTTCTTACTCTTGATATTATTTCTAAAATCGCGTTCGGGACAGCGTTTGGAAATCTAGAGGCTGATGATGATGTGAGCTCGTATGCGAAGACCATGGAGGATTTGTTTCCCTTGGCTACCCTGCTCGGGACCTGGCCTGCGCTCGCGAAGGTGTTCTTCTGGAAACCTCTCCGGCGGTTCCTCCCGAAAGAGACGGACACCGTTGGTATGGGCAAATTAATGGGGTTCGTATCTCCCTCGCTATTGACCCTCTCTCTTATTACTATTGGATAACGGCTCTCTGACTGTATGCTGTTATAATTAGGATTGGGAAGCAAGTAGTCGCGGAGAGATTCGGTCCAAATAAGAAAGTCAAGCGGGACATGCTGGGCTCCTTTCTCGCTCACGGCCTCACGCAAAGGGAAGCACGGTCCGAGTCTCTTCTCCAAATGTACGCCCCTTTCCCCCACCTTATCCTCACCCCTCACCCCTCCTCAGCCCTCTCTAACCCCTCTCCTTCATATGTAGAGTAGCAGGCTCCGACACCTCCGCAACAGCCATGCGCGCCACCCTCCTGCACATCATCACCAACCCCACCGTCCAAGCAAAACTCCTTAACGAGCTCTCCTCTTCCAACCTATCTTCCCCCATCACCGACGCCGAAGCCCGCAAACTGCCTTACCTACAAGCAGTCATCAAAGAAGGGCTCCGCATCTCCCCTCCCGCCACGGGCTTTATGTCGAAAACCGTGCCCATTGGCGGCGACACTCTTCGCGGGTTGTTCGTACCTGAAGGAACGATGATTGGCTGGAGTCCATTTGGAGTGATGCGGAATCAGATCTTGTGGGGGGAAGATGCGATGGTTTTTCGCCCCGAGCGCTGGCTTGAAGGGAACCCGGACCAGATTGCAATGAGAGAGTTTGACGTGGAGTTGTGTTTTGGGTATGGGAGGTATCAGTGCCTTGGCAAGAACATCGCGGGGATTGAGCTGAATAAGGTTTTCGTTGAGGTGAGTGAAATTTCTCACATTATATCAAGAATGACAAGAAAAGCATTCGGCTGGTGATATTTGGGGACAGGTTCTAACATGGTGATTGCATACTAGCTGCTACGTAACTTTGATTTCCAAATCGTGGATCCCACGAGCCCGTGGAAGTGCTTTAATGCTGGCTTGTTTCTGCAGAGTGATTTTTGGGTGAGGGTTACGAGGAGGGTGCCGAGTTTCTGACTTTCTAATTATTTGCTGGCAATGAGGTGAAAACTGTGTGCAATGCATATCTTTCATTGATGCGGTCGGTGGTGGCAATGCTTCTTTTCGAGTGGCGGGCGCGAATCTGATCATTTGGGAGCTTCGAGAGGAAGTGCAGCCCTCCTTTCGCTTCTTTTTCCAGCTTGCACTTTGCAATGGGGCTTCTTCCTGCTTCGGTATAGGGCTTGGTGAGATTCGACGAAGATAATGCTCTTTTTTCTTTTTATAAGTGCGTGTCTTAATCCGAAGCCTTAAGCTCGATGAGTGGAACCACGATCGCGATAATAGCCGACGAAGCAGATTAGTGTTTCGCGTTAAGCCAGGTTTAATCGGAATACCCAGTCTCGGATGGCTTCTACTTTGTCAATAGCTGTGGCTGATACGCTAGTAATGTCTCGCCGGACGAGGGGATAGTTTTAAAAAGTGCGGAGGAGTTAAAATTGCCCGGAGACAGGGAGTTTTCGTATATGAATGTAACGAAACTGGCCCAACCTGGTGATTTCGTTGTTGTCGAATTCAGCCACAATGACGGCCAAAGTCGAGTGACAATGGCCGGTCCAATTGCCCTGACACCGGAGATGTAACGTACACGACTAAAATTGGGGCAGTGGTCAAGGCCTTCGATGCATATATGACAGAAGCCACGCAGACTTTTGGGAAACTGAGAGCGCATGTGATTATATCCAACCAAACGCCGAATAATCCCTGGGAATCCGGGACTTTTAATTATGCAGCTAGCGGCCTTATCAGGGGTGCTGCGTTGGCAGCGAAGAATGTGGCGAATGGTAATATTACCTTTGTGGATCATGGGCAGTATGCTGCGAATGCTAATAAGGCGCTGGGAAAGGAGGCCGTGGGCGTGTTCTATCCGAATGACCATATACATACTTCGCCGGCGGGAGCGGATGTTGTAAGCAAGGATTTTGTGAAGTGTGTTGTTTGTGTGAATATTCTGTCGAAGAATTATGTTAAGAATGAGATGAGTACGATTCTGGGAGCTTGTATTTGGTCGTGTAATAAGATAGGAAGGCGCACATCTATATTTTTGTAGCCCGATGAATTCATAGGGTATATAGGAGCAGCAATATCTGACCCTGAGTACTGCTTTTGATGTGAGATTCTATTTTTTGGCGAAGAAGTGAGAGATCACCCGTACATTTTGAACTGCATTTCACCCTTCACTATTTGTTTGCGTACCACCCTACAAATGAGAAATGTCATATCTTCTTTTCGAGGTCCAGAGGGTGTTTTAAGACATCTCGTCCATCGAAAAGCAATCTGGGTATCCCTCTTAATGTGACTCATTCACCATTCATCATCCAACAAATAAATTAACCAAGAATGTCTTGGTTGGTTTCCCACCGCCGTGACCGAGCAAGATGTGGAAAGTCGGTATCGTTTGCTTCGATGCTGATAGCTCCACGAGCATTGTAGCCGACTCACCCTCGCCGGTGTGCTTTCTGCTTTGCCAGCATATCTCCTGCCTTGCCAACGGGTTGGAGCATAAGCCCATATTCAACCTGAAGGAGTAGACGGCAACGATTTATCTCTCCTTCGATCCGTTGCTGCACTTGTCGAACTCGTCCCTGTACTCGTAGGTGTCAAGCTGTACCCCGAGCTTGAACTGCTCCCAGTCTGCTCCTTCTTCAACACCAGTCCTAGCTGCTGCCACTGTCTTAACACATCCTGCCTCTGCTCCGCCGTCGCATTTTTCGCCTCTTCAAACCCTTCGGCAAAGTGCACTGCAAGAATGAAACTCAGCGTATCCGAACTCAGCTTCCTCCTGATAGAGGCATAAAGAGCACGCATGCCGTACGCTTTACCGCTTATCACCAGGCCTCGGGTTGGAAAGAAGAAGTTGAAGGCACCCTTCCCGAGTCCTTTGCCGAAGCCTTTCCAGCCGTCCTTTTTGGCGCCTTTGTATGGTTCATAGACAATCGCTGCTTTTGACTTGGCGACATTAACCGGCCAGTGCAGTATACCAGAGGCAATTGAACCCAGAGTCCCAAGGATGGGGTTGGCTCCAGTCGAGTTCGCAACCATGAAATGTTCTGCGGTCGGATATTCGCAGGGTCGATACAATTTCAATTGATTGACATCCAGAATGCCTTCTTCCCCTAGAACGGCCGCTGCGAAGGCGCTTAACTTGATGTCGTCGGTCTTCGATCCTTTGGTGGCGATCTGCCAGACAGCTACTCGGTTTGGAGCCATCATACAGCGCAGTCTAGGAATATGCAGCTGCTCGTGAAAGCTAGCTGCACCGGATTCACACCCATTTTCCTCGCGGATGCGCTCTCCGAGCTGCTTTGCTCGTTCAAGTGTTTCAGGTTTCAGAGCAACAAGAATGGCCTCAGCAAGCTTGTCCGCCGTGAGGTCCTTATAAGGCACGGGGGCAGGGCCAGCACCTGCACGTGCCACCATTGCTCCCCAGAAAGGCTGGTCGCCAAAGAAAGGAACAATGACAGTGGGACGGCCTAGAGCAATGCCTGCCGCTGTTGTCCCTGCTCCACCGTGATGAACAACACAGGACACGTGTTTGAAGAGCCAGTCGTGTGGACAGTTGCCGAGCATGAAGACACCCTCAGGTTTATCTAACTCATCCCCGCCCAAACCACCCCAACCTTTCGAAACCAAAGCTCGTTGCCCTGTCTTTTTGACGGCTTCGAAGATTAGTTTCGTCATGGCATTGGGATCGTCGACGACGATTGAGCCAAAGCCGATGTAGACAGGTGGGGGACCAGCGGCCAGGAAGTCGGCAAGATCGGTGGCAGGTTGGTAGTTGGACGCCAGAGAAAGGAAGTAGAAACCGGAAATGCTGATGTAGCGGCCCCAATCTTTGGGTTTGGGAATCAGTGCTGGAGACCAACAGTACGTATACGGTATTTGCAGTCGGTGAAGCACAGTGGTAGCCGCCGCTTGTGAGAGGGTTACCAAATTCAGAGTCTCTTCCCTGAACTTGTTGATGATGTCGCCCAGTCCTTGCCAGGTCATCATGTCAACTAATGTGTAGGTCAGCTCGTTAGCCATACTTCCACTAGCATTGGAAGATTTGATGTTCGCGATAGGATGAGGGAAATCCTGCGTTGGTGACCAGGGCATACTAATGACTCCCATCAATACTCCAATACTCCAATATTTCAGGTGGGACTTACGTGAACATCAAATGCAATGGAATCCCCAATTTCTCTGCACAATGAATATGCGCAAAACTCGGCGGATTTGCAATGATAGCATTTGCAATAAACGGGTTCACCCGGGGCGTTGTGTCATCATCTTCTTTAATCTCATCAGCATCAGCACAAGATTTCCAGCACCCCTGGAGAATCTCAGCCATGCCCTTACGCCTCTTCCCCACATCCCCAGCCTTCAGCGACTCCATCCCTGGTACAAGGCCTGGATTCTTGACCATAAACGCCATCAATTCGGCGGGGTCACCACCAATATTGAAAAACTCTAATCCATTCTCCTCAACGAACTTCTTGAACGTCCCATGTGTAGCTAGCCGCACACGGTGGTTGTATTTATTCTTGAGCTCTATCCCCAGGGCAACAAAAGGTTGCACATCTCCTCGCGATCCAACAACGTGTATCACGATATTTAATGGTGGAGGGGCGTCAGAGGATGAGGCAGCGGCATATGTCGTGAGTGGAGGGGTTGGGGTCTGAGCCTCCTGTTGGGCATCTAGTCGAATCCGTTTAATCTGATTCGCAAGCGCCGCATCGGTTTCGTTTATATGTATATCGACACGTCCGTCATCTGGCGTTTTGGTGAGTTTAAGTTATGAACAGACAATAATGGGCGAAACTCACCTCGCACTTGGGTCTGGGTGCTGAATCCATCTTGACTCACGTCCAAAACACCGGTGGAATCGTTATATGTTGGCGGCGCATTTCCGTCCGATGGTTGAGTGCCTTGCTCTGAGTAGGCAGGAGGGGTGTTTGAAGCCATGGAAGCTTTGGGTTCGTCCCAATCAGTCTGTGCGGTGTAGTGAAGGGATGCAGCTCCATGAACAACTATTCCGCGCCTCACAAGAGGAGATTTCGTCGCATGAGGTAGATGAAGCTGTAGCAGATACCACTTTATAGTGGGAAGTAAGAAAAGAGGCTTGAGAAAGGTGTATGTGAGGAAGAGCTCAAGCTCGAGCTCGGTGGAGATAAAGTTGGCAGCTTAATGTGAGGTTTCAGGGTTCTGAACTTACGAGGTTAGCGTGCGGAATCAGCATCCTGCATGCTGAATTGGGAAAACACGGCACCATTTCGACCAGGATCGAATCCCTGAGGCGCTGAAATCTAGCGACTATTCCCGTTTTCATTAAGCGAGCCCCAATTTCTCACGCCAGTCACAAAGGGAAAGATTTAAGATGTTAATATTTCTTGTTTTAATGAGTGTCGATAGTTGTTTCCTGACTAAAGTATCCCATTCAAAGAAATCCCCCTCAAGTCCTCCGCGTCCAAGTCTCTGCTCCTAAAACCAAGATATAGCAATATATCCCTCCTCAAAATGATCTGCAAAACCAACCATCCACAAATTGTATGGTCCAGCTCTGAACATAGAAGCTGACGGAGCGTCCAGCTTCTTCTTGGGTGGGCACCAACAGTCGCCGGTGCCGCTACAAAGACACATACCACGGCGAGCAAGATCAGACCGAATCCGGGCTCGGCCTACTTGTTATCAGGGCATGGCGCGTAGTCGCCGGTGCTTGATCAAATAGGTATACAGATTTGTCGTTCGAATATTGTGGCTTCAGGAGAGGTTGCGACTGGCGCAGCAAGCGCTGAGACGCCGAAGAGAGCGACGAGGATTGTGGGACGCATGTTGGAACTAAATTTGGAACTCCTAGAATCGGGAAGGGATGTAGGAGGGGAGGTTACTTGATGGGTGCCGGCTTTAGTTTACGTTGATACAAATGAGTTACGACTTTGGGAAGACTTTGAGTGTTATGAAGATGAAGAAGTCTGTTGGGTTGAACACTCGGTCTAATGAGTGACGGGCGTTGAATTTTATAGGAGAGATGTTGAGCTTCTACTTATGCAACTCAGTAGGACGAGGAGACAACTATGCCTCCCCCGCTCTTGCAAACCCTTGTTCACAACATTGCCGCAGTCCTCCCGAAGAAATTTAATTCTTGGCCAAGATGAGGGATTAACAGATTCGAAACTAGACCTCTAGCATACCTACCTGATTTGTAGGATTTTCGAGAGGTATTGCGCCATGCCCGGTACAACAACAAGGCTAAGACTCTATAACTAAAGTTAGTCCAGTCAACTGTCAGCTCTGATTCTTCATTTGTAAAGGGTGGTGACGAAAGAGTCAGAGCGGGAAAGCCGTTGCCGTGGGGAGTGGAGTGTTGTAATGACAACCAAGTCCTCCAATCTTGATGAAATTTCATCCTTTGTCCAATCTGAAATTATTAGGCCTCCTCTTAATTGTTAGCGCCTGGAGGAGTCCATTTAAAAAAGCTAAGAAACATTATTAGTGTAGACCTGTGTCGATATGGCACTCGGCAAGTCAATGCGGTTTCCGTTCCTAGCAATTAACTTCCTGCACTCCGAGAAGCCTTCAACTATCTTATCTCTAAAGCAATCTGCCTAAATGTTCATGGCTAAATCATGTGTTTTTTGTGCCTCTCTAATACAGTAAAAACTCGCTATAAGGATAGGGTTTTTGTCGCCGATTCTTAAGGATATACCAAGGTATCCTTATATCAAGGATCACGTGTAGAGATATATAAATAGAAATATTACTAGGATTTGAAGATATATACAGAACCCCTCCATTCTAAGGCCTCACAATGCCCCAATTACCTGTAGATAATTCAATTACAGCTTGCTGTACCTTACGCTGGTAGATTTGCGTGCTTCCATCGCCGTACGGCACGTCGATCGGCCTCTGTCATCGCTCTGCGCCTCTTTTTAGCCTGTTGGGGAGCCATAGGATCGGTGGGGGGGAGGGTAATAGGCTGTGAAGGCTCTGGAACAGGGAGATTAATGCTTAGAATGCGGGTTTACTGGTGCCTGAAGGCCTGACAGGAGCGGTAAATTAGCCCATCACGTGCATGATTATAAGGATAAAATACCCAAAAATCAAGGTTGGGATAAAAAATCGTAAGGATAATCCTTATAGTAAGGATATCCTTAGCTCAGGGCTAATTTTTATTGGGATCCTAAGGTAGCATCCTTATGTTGAGGATATCCTTATATTGAGTATCCTTTTAGCGAGTTTTTACTGTACCTACAAATGCGGGTTACTTGAGGTGACTGAGTAAGCTTGGAACAACTAACAAACTAGCAGGCTTACCCGATGCAAGTGGGCGGCGAGGTTTCCACTTAGTCGCGGATTTGACTACGAAAACTTCAAATCCCCTAATCAACAGCTAGACTGCTGCCTAAAATGAGACCAGCAGAGGGAGAAAAGGATCATGAAATGTCGTATTTTGCTTGCATTGACAAATTTCGACTTCGGAAATAACTGCAATTTTGAAGTGTTTGCAGAAAGGATTCGGGAAAAGGGATTACCCCACAGAGTCAAGAAATAAGAGGTAATATTTATTTCAAGTAATCTAGAAGATACCAACAAAATGGATGCTGGTTGTCTCTAGGTACATGTTTCTGTCCAACTCGTCTAGGAACCGTCGGATATCATTCATTCCTCTGCAAAGCAGACTGCCTCAACATTGTTGCCATCAGGATCCAAGATGAAGGCCGCTGTTTCAATTCGATCTTAGCATTGTGCAAAAAGCTGCGTATCAAGAACTGAACTTGGAAATAGAGTGCATACCATAGTAATTTGCCATAAATGTTCTCAAACCTGGGCCGCCATTGTCATTGCCCCCCGCCTTGATGCCTGCGGCGTGAAATTCATCCACTTGCTTTCGTGTCTTGGCGTAGAATGAGATGTGCACAGGGCTGGGTTTTACAGCATTCCCATTTGCAGCACTGGGAGTGTATTTCCTCAGCATAAAACAAGGAATCGGTGTCGAATTATCTGAGGGTCCTATTACTGTCACTGTAGGATACGTCTTTGTCGTATAGGAGAGCGTTGACAGCAGTTTGTCGTAAAACTTTGTAGCAGCCTCGACGTCAGGGACGCGGATTCCTACGTGGCCAAGCATGGTAGTATGTTGTTCGGTATAAGCACGTTTCTCGCCGCAAAAGTTTGAGATACAAAAGGCTGGCGCAGAAAATCTTGGGCAAAATCCTGGATGGAATCTTTGAAGCTCTTCGGCCAGAACGAGAGGTTTCTATCATGTCAATGGTAGAGTTTACTAGAATCGTTCCTTACAAATGGAACTCATGCAACGTAAGCATCAATTACCAAGCCTCGCATGAACTAAGCTGTTTATTGGTAACCAAGGCTGCCCGGTCTGAGCTTGCGTTTGTCTGCAGAGCCATTCCTCTGCCGACTCTGCCGACTCTGACCGTGATGGGTTAGTTAACATTGAAAGGCACTCCTGACTCGCAAACGGGGATTTGAAGATTGGACAATTATTAATCTTCCGTTTATCAGCTGCAGCGTTTGTGGGATATTGGGGTAGGAAATCAGGAAAGTTCAATCCAGCCCACGATGATTGGGGGGATTGACGCATTGTGGATCCTTACCATTGGCCCGATCAGGAAATATTCCCTCGCAATGCCAAGGCGCGCTCTCTAAAACAGAAATAGATTTCTAAGTCGTTCTACCTCGACAGATCTACCTGACATCTTCTCTTCTGCCTGGAGGTAATGATATTTGCTACTTAGAATGAAAAGCTCGTCCATATCACGTGGTGGAGTTGCAGGACACAATCTTCCGGACCAAACTTCATCTATGTCAATATTGTAATATATACTTCTTGGGATCCTGAACGGTAGTATTCAAGTTGGAAGAAGATAAGCAAAGATATCAAGAAAAGGAGTAGAACGAACTACATTATTTCTGCCCTTTTTCGTCTGCTACAAGTGTGAGAAATGAATAGATTAGATTAGATTAATAGCTATTAATCTAATCTATTCATGAAACATTCTCATTAATCATATTCTATTCACGAATTAATTAAGCTAATCATGAATATTCATGAATACCTTGATTGGTACACACGTGACCACAACACGTGATAGACTAAACCAATTAGGCAAGGATCTTGCTCTAGCGCTGACTTAGCGAGCTTTTCTCCCGACTATTTAGGAGCGCTAGAGCGAGATCCTTGCCTAATTGGATTAGTTTATCACGTGCTATGGTCACGTGTATACTAATCAACGTATTCATGAATATTCATAATTAATAATTATTCTAATCTAATCAAAAATTTAAGTATTACGTTAATCATATTCTAATTAACTTATTCATGAATATTCATGATTAATTTGATTAATGTGATTAATTTTTTCGCACACTGGTCTGCGTCGAGGGGCTTCGGACGTAACGAGGATTGGCAACCGATCATTCGGATTAGCATGCTGCGCTGAAGTCGCACGTCTTAGCCAGCCGAGACTCACTTGGCATCTGGCTTACAATCTTTCCTGGCGGCTCGCTTGTGGTGAACTTCTTACTTGGATCTTCCCTTGAAAACACGCTTTTTTTGAATAAAGGTAACATGAAATTGGTAGGCATTTCTACTTGTTCAGAGTTCGCAACCTTTTGCTTCTGGCTTCCATTCTGACAACGTGTTAGCTATGTATCTTTCGGTCATTTACATAGTCTACGTGGCTTCGAGAGCAGCTTTCCTAATCTCCTCGCTCATGCCGGATTCTTCCTTTCTAAGCTCTTCAAATCTGTCCAGCCAGGAGCCCCACTAGTCGGTATTATATGATAATTAGTATTTTTTTTATTTAAAAAAAATGAAATAATGAAAGTTAGAAATTTTAAGGTCTTAAGAGAGCCTGAAAATTTAGCAATTAAGCACCCGGAACTTATTTACTTCGTATTCAATAATTGCTTTGCTTATTCTCTCTTACCTCAAAACTAGAGCTCTTACATAGACTTCTTATACTTATATGAAGAAATCTAATTTTTTTAAAAATTTGATTAAGTAAGTACAAGCAACAAATTAGGCATTATTAAAACTCTAAAATCTATTAATACCCCTATTTGATCCCCGGGGGAGGGAAAGGGGAGTACAATTCTAACGCTGAATTGGTTCTTGAGTAATGAACTCGGGAAATGCCGAGCGCTAGGCCAAAAAAAAAAAGATTCTGCCATCGACATCCCCAATCGGCACCCGAGGGGTGTCGTTTTAGTTTTCCCCATAATTCGGTTCTGGATATCTCTCTCGGGTCACGGCCGTAGCGCACACTCCCTATGTCGTCGCGGTTTTTCCGCCGTCGGCCCGCATGTTTCAGGGACAATTGTTAAGTGGTGGCCTGATTTCTTCGTGTAAATATCGCTTTGGCACACGGGCTGAAATCTAATAATCCTAGTGGTCTACAGGCGGCCGGAGCTGCATGCCCGATGTGAAAAATTATTCTTGCACAATGCCAAGATTGGCTCGAATACGAGCATTATGCCATTGCTCCGTTAAACAGTGCCCAGGTGAGCTTACTCAAAAACTTGCACCCCGAGGTCCTGTTATAAGATCGACGTCCTCAGCTCGAGCTTGACCAAATGCTTTACTTGCATTGTCGGAATCAAATTGCTTGAATTTGAAAGCATTTAATTTTTTTTCCAGCCAACTCTCAAGAGGAAACATTTACAATGTCGCAATTCAACATGCACAGTATCAAACGTGCGGCCCGGAAGGAAGCATGGTACGCCGACAGTTGGAACCCATTCCGGAAAAATATGGGTCCGCGAAGAGCAACTACATGGACAACATCAACAGAGCCGATATCTTTTGAGGCAGCACTCGAAGCCAGTATAGGCAGGCCACAATCCGGCGGCACCAAGGCAGATCAGATTGGAACCACTATTTCTGATAGCGAGCTCAAGTCCTCAAAGCTTCTCTCCAGAGTCACAGAACCGGTGACAACTTCATACCAGCTCGAATCTGAAGAGACTGCTGTAGAAAGACAGTCTACTCGACCTATTTCTACTCGACCTATTTCTAAGCCTCACAGAACGACGTTCTACAGCAAGTTCCGTTCAAAGTCTATGGAGGCATGGCTGAGTATGACGACCCGGACTAGTGTTGTGGAGCATACGTTCTCCGAATTGGACTCCCAAGAACTCTTCTGGGATCCATTTGGATCCTTGTCAGAAAAGTTGACGAGTAATGGGTATCCAGATACTAAGGCTTCCCCTCCTGGGGCAACTATACAAAGCTCACTTACTACAGAGGCTTCTCAGAAAAGAGCGTAAGTTCAAGCCTTACCCTCAGACTCAACAGACTGCTTAACACAGATAGGCTTGAGCCTGGGGTTGCTATATTATCTAAAGGGACCCCGGGGATAGAGCGGCAGGCCCTTGATATTCATCGTTTCCAAATCAAGCCGACAGGAATTTTGCCTCTGGGACCAGTGCAGCAACTGTCCTATCTACGCAACAAATCCGCTGCCAATAGAATTGACAGTCCAGCTTCGAGCCTCTTCATTGTCGAAGAGCCCTCACCATCCCTTATCGAAACACTCAGTGAAGCTTTTGGATGCGGTATTGAAGTTTTCAATGGCCATTTGAAGCGAGCTAGCGAGGACGTTGAAATACTTCTTCCAAGCACAAGACGGAGTCAATCCCATGTGGTGATACCGTACAGAACAACTTACCAGCCAAGCTTCCGGAAAGAACTCCGTAACTGTAGAAACTTGCGAAGTTCTTTTTCTCACGGCGGTCTCGTTACAACTGAGGAACATGTCACTTACTGGTTGTCTCCTATCATTGATGGATCGTGGACTGGTCAGTATATGTAATCATTTCTTAGTTGCTATTCCACCAATTCCCTCTGACTACTAGTTTCCTTTAGCTGTGATAGTTTGCGACGGGAATCCCATACTGTCGGGCAATGCCTCATCAAGGGACGAATCTATGCGTTCTAGTTTCGAATCTGCGATAAACTCGGTCTCAGCTCCGGAACTTCTCGACGACCCTTATATGATTGTTCGAATTCTGCTTCGGCTAGTCAGCACTCGCTGGACAAGCGTAATTCGCGACCAGGAAGGCTACATGCTCCCCGGTCTTAAGCCCCAATATACGCTATCCGGCGGGACCGACGAAAGACTTCTCGAAAAGGAGTCATTTGGCGAGTATCTGAAGCAGACACTCGGGATGCTTAGAATGGGGCTGCAGATTTTCCGGTCACTGAGTACTAAAAGCAAAGCCTTTTCTCTGGCTCAAGACGAGCTTTTGGCCGACTATGAGTACCTGGCAAACAAGGTTTCACTGCAAATTAAACAGAACACAATGAGTATACCGGTGATCACAGCAATGATTGGAATAGAGGAGAGTAGAAAAGCAATTCAGCAAGCCCAGGACGTGAAGTAAGTCTGCTACCTAATTCTAGTTGTTTTAAAGTTGTCTGACAACGGTTACTTAGAGCGTTAACCACTCTAGCAACTGTCTATATTCCACTCTCATTTGTTGCCGGTATATTTGGCATGAACGTTACACAATTGAACCCTAATCCCCTTGTCAACATCCCACTCTGGCTTTATTTCGCGACGGCACTTCCTATCACTGCAGTATCAATGCTCCTTGTCTGGCACTGGGGCTGGCTGAAAGATGGTACTGTATTCATCGGGCGTAAATTGTATCTTCTTGTTAGAATACTGTCACGGAAGGATAAGACAAGCTCAACGGCTGATGCTTTGATACATGCTGGGACTGTTGGTATGGCGGCTGGAGCTTCGGATGCATTCATACCTCAGGAAGTTACCGGCCGAGAAGAAGTGTAGTTGTTTAGGGACGGAGCAAACAGTTTGGATTTAGTTCATTAGGTATTACCCTTGATCTGTTTTCGCGAAATGGTGTTACTACTGACATAAATTGTGACAATGTCTATACCACTGAACGAGGGTACTTTAATTTCACAGCTACTTTCTACCATTTTTTGTAATCCGTATCCAATATAAATACATTAATATCATCAATTCAGGTGAGGTGTCAGCTGGCGAAGCCGGCAGTTTTAATCTGATGAATAAGTTCTGAGGAAATCTGATAAGATCGTTGCTTTCTCCTACCAATGGGAGAGTACGCCTGAGTGCAGGCTATTTATAAAGTGTGATTTTGCAGTGATAAGCTAGGAGCTTAGGATAATGATGTTCTCAAAGTCATAAAATGTCCGAAACTCTGTCTGTAGAAACACAAATAGGGAACATAATCTTAATTCATCTGATGTCAAATTTCATACCTTTCCAGTTCCGTCTCCATCCATTCCCAGAGCTTCTCAGTCACGTCATAATTATACGCATAAGTGCTTCCCTTGCCCGTACCCCAATAGGCTCATAATACTCCCTACTCGTAACACCCTTCGTAGTACCAGCCCAAAATTGGGATTTAACTCCCTCAACTGGCACCTCTGTCAGGGCAAGTACAACTTTGCTCAATAAAGCAATCAACCAATGCCCGCCAATGGGCGTGAACATGCATATCGTTTTGAAAGTCAATTAAGACTTCGTTGTGCAGCCCCTCCGCGCAGCGTCCCTTTGCGGGGATTTTGCGAACGTTGTTAGTGTACTATATTGCGCAAATTCTAGGAGATTGCTTAGATGATTAAATTTCTGGAATTTTGTGACCGAAGCCCTTCGCAGCCTGAAGGCGTTGGGCCCAAACGCGCCAGGGTGTATTCGGCCATCACCTACGGAAAGCCGTAACTATCACTCGTCCAAGTGAGAAATGTGATTTCACGTTTGCTGTTTACTGTTTACCCCACCAAAATTCGTATTCTCTCTCTCTGTAGACCTTATAAGCTTTTTATTTATAGTATTTTTTCTTCTTTTTATTAGTATACTACTTAGTTCTTATCCTAGCCTCTAGTTTTCTAATTCTTTTCTTAATAAAAATAAGATTACTAGTAATTATAATTATAATAATGCGTTTGCAATTATTACTTCTTAGCTTTACTCTTATAAAATCATTACATTTTTAGAGAAATATTTGCGTGCTTTGGCATTTACAACTGCTTGGGCAGTTGCTCAACGAACATCACAATCTGAATGGACTCGGTTGTCTTTGGCGTTTGGGCCACTGGAAGAAGAAGGCTTCATATATCCCAGATGACATGGTGGTTATCCAGGAACCTTTATCTTGGGTCGGGAATCGAGGACAAATTTGTGGTGTACTCACTCTCAATTTGCCAACAGCTTGAACACATCCCTGGAAAGGGCAATCACAAGTCAAGAAGGGGCCCAGATTTCCCGGTTGAAGAGGGTGTATTTTCTACTTCTAGTCTTCGTTCTCTGCTCCTTCCTTCGTGTAAAGGAGGATACAACACCACAGCCGCTCTCGCGAGCGACTCGACTCGATTCGATGCGCCATCCCTTTCCTTTCCATTCCATTCTGAAAGATGCCCGGTTGATGGATCATCAAATGCATGTTGAACATCGCAAAATAAAGAGGTAAAACCCATCGCAAGCTTTTGTCTTTATGCCATACCAGAAAACGCCGATGTTGAGATCGTCTCCCCTCCGAGGCTTAAAAACACCGCATCAATTCATCAAAGATAAAATGTCAAATTCGTGAACCGTCATTTTGACGCCGTGGTGACGCCGAACAAAGGAAAGGACGGGCGTAAAATTGAGGACTCCTACTTGGAGGCATATTTTTGGCGGTAGAACTTGGCGGCGTTGACCATGTTGGTCAGGGCAGCCTTGGTCTCGGCCCATTGACGGGTCTTGAGACCGCAGTCGGGATCGATCCAGAGCTGCTCAGGCTTGAGGTATGCCAACATCTCTTCGATTCTGTCCTTGATCTCTTGCTCGCTTGGGACACGAGGAGAGTGGATGTCGTAGACACCAGGGCCGATGTGGCGAGGATAAGCCTCATCGACGAAGACCTTGAGGAGCTTGGCGTCTGACTTGCTGTTCTCAATGGAGAGAACATCAGCATCGAGAGCGGCGATGGCGTGGAAGAAGTCCTGGAACTCGGAGTAGCAGAAGTGGGAGTGGATCTGGGTAGAGTCCTTGACGCCGGACACGGAGAGACGGAAAGACTTGACGGCCCAATCGAGGTATGCCTCACGCTCCTTTCCAGCACGGAGAGGAAGACCTTCACGGAGAGCAGGCTCATCAACTTGAATGACAAAGACACCAGCAGCCTCGAGGTCAACAACTTCATCACGAAGAGCAAGAGCAAGCTGCTCGGCCTGAACGGACTGGTGGACATCATCACGGGGGAACGACCATCTGAGGCAGGTGATTGGACCAGTCAACATGCCTTTCATCGGCTTCTTGGAGATGGAGACGGCGTATTTCGACTCTTTGACGGTCATTGGTGCAGGTCGGGAGATGTCACCAACAACGATCGGTGGACGGACGCATCGGGAACCGTAGCTTTGAACCCAAGCATGTGTGGTGAAAGCATAACCGTCCAGACGCTCACCAAAGTATTGAACCATGTCATTTCGCTCAGGCTCGCCATGAACGTAGACATCAAGGTCAAGCTCCTCTTGGATCTTGACAACATCTTGGATCTCCTTTTCGATGAACTTCTCGTATTGTTCAGCGGTGATCTCACCCTTGGTGAACCTGTTACGTTGAACACGGATCTCCTTGGTCTGGGGGAAAGAGCCAATGGTAGTGGTGGGGAAGAGTGGAAGACCCAACTCCTTTTGCTGTTGAGCGATACGGATGGGGAACTCGGACTTTCGGTTGTACATATCAGGGGTGATCTTTGATTGACGATCCTTGACCTTGGAGTCGTTGGTTCGCTTGGAGCTGGCGCGCGATTGGATTGACTTGGCGTTAGCCTCAAGAGCTTCGCGGACTGCTGCTGGGCCTTCAGTGACAGCCTTTGCGATCACGGCAACTTCAACAGCCTTCTCGGAAGCGAAAGAGAACCAGTCGGCAATCTCGGGATCGAGCTTCTTCTCGCTAGCGAGCGTGTGGGGGGTGTGGAGGAGAGAGCTGGACGTGGCAACAATGACACGCTCCTTTCCAAGCTTTTGGATGGCAGTCTCAACGGTCTCAATAGCACGCTTCAGGTTGGCCTTCCAAATATTACGTCCATCAACGACACCGGCAGAGAGAATAGTCTTCTCGCCCAATGCACCAATGACGGTCTCAAGTTGCTCTGGGTTTCGCACTAAGTCAACGTGAACAGCATAGACATCTGTTGGCAGAGCATCGATGTTGTGGACGATATCACCGAAGTACGTGGCGAAGACAATCTTTGGGATCTTGTCACCGAGAGCAGCAAGCTTCTCATACGTTGGCTTGAACGCAGCCTTGGTCTTGGCGGGGAGATCGTAGACGAGAGTGGGCTCATCGATTTGGACAGTCTCGGCACCAGCAGCCTTGAGCTTGACAAGGTATTCCTCGTAGACAGGGAGGAGCTTCTCGAGGAGGTCGATTGGGTTGACGGTCTGGCCACGGTCGGCTTTGCCAAGGTGAAGGAAGGACACTGGGCCGACAAGGACAGGTCGGGTGGCAATGCCAGCCTCCTTGGCCTCAAGGAATTCGACAACAGCCTTTGGGTTGGAGCTAAGCTTGAAAACCTGGTTGTCTTGTAGAGTGGGTTTGACGTAGTGGTAGTTCGAATCGAACCATTTTACCATCTCCAAACTGGGAACATCGACGCCATCCTTCTGGTGCCCACGGCCCATAGCAAAGTATTCATCAATGGGATCGAGGCCGTGTGTGGTATATCTTGGGGGTGCCGCCTGTGCAGAAGGAAGATTAGCATTGCTGCGCTCTTGGCATCTTGGAGAAAACTTACTCCAAAGTCCTGGATTTGGTGCAGAACTTGATCGTAGAGAGCGAAGTCATTGCTGGGAATAACATCGACGCCGGCCTTCTTTTGGATGTTCCAGTGCTCGAGACGAAGTCTCTTGGCTTCGCTCAGGAGATCAGCTTGGGAGAGCTTGCCGCCCCAGTATGCTTCTGTCGCCTTCTTCAGGTCACGGTTGACACCCATACGGGGGAAACCGAGGATCGATCTGCAAAAGACATGTTTATCAGCATTCTGAAGATCTGCCATATGTCTGCCATGCTTGGGACTCACGATTGAACCATGATTGCGGCTTTGCAAATTCGTGGTGCTTTGCGAAAAATTGCGGTAAGCTCGGATCAGCAATCAATTGGGCGATTGAAAGCCTAGAGTGGTCCGGTGTCGGAGTCACTGGAATTGAGTGGGAAGGGGGAGATGGAAAGGAAGAGGAAACTGAAGCACAGTCTCACCGAAGGAATCCAAAGAAGATATGGGGGAGAGAGGTGAAGAAGTGTTGAGGTTTGGAGAGTGAAGCGGTGTGGAGGAAATTTGTTCAGATTGCGTCTTTGGTGGAAGAGGGGTACGAGGGGCGAGCTATCTCTAGTGGGGTTAGCGTGGCTATCACGTGAAGCGTAGCGACCTAAGAGTTTGCTCGAGACATCAAATCTTGGGTCAATATTGAGGCCGTTTTGTTTGAAGTCTCACGAGAATTGTAAACAAAGCTCTACAATCAAATGTAAAAGGATGGGTTTTGGAGGAGAGTTCCTCCCAGTTCCTCCCAGTTCCCAGTTCTACAGTGCATAAGGTATTCCTGGGTACGATTATTGTGGTGGCAGTTTGGTCAGGCACCAAGGCTCTTAGCTTAGTATCTTATCCCATCAGATTTTTTTTTCACGAAGTACGTTCGCTATAATTATAGGCTACCTTCGCTAAATTATAGCGCATACCTCACTAAATTTCAGCGCACCCTCACTACAGCGCACCCTCTCTACAGCGCACCCTCTCTACACCCTCCTAATCTAACGTATACCTTACTGAAGTCATAGAGTATACGCTAAAATTTAGTGAGGTATACCACAGTATACTATAATTTAGTGAGCTATGCGCTATAATTTAGCCAAGGTAGCCCATCGAACGTACTACTCAGGCGAAAGAAAAAAAACCGATAGGGTAAGATTACTAAGCGTGGCTTGTAAGTAACCTTTAGGGGCTCCGAGGTGTGCCTCACCAAACTGCCGCCATGATAATCGAACCCATAAGGTTATTTCCAGGCTGTTAAGCAAGCCCACCCCTGTCAACCCAAACACCAGGACGACCACTTGGATGAGCTGTGGTTGTATGTATTAAGAGCAACGCAGACTAAGGTCGAAATGGAGTTCTGCTGTCACGTGTAATTGTTTGGCTCAAGTGCAGGTGGCTGAAGAATGTTCCTCCGTGCCGGTCCTGCAGTAGATAATTTCAAGCCGTTCGAACGTTAAGGAACCCCCCCCGCCTCAGCCCTAGCCAACGCAGACATCTTGGCGACTAGTCAGGATTCGGCTGAACTTGCTCTCAAACAACCTTATTTCTTCCTCTCGGGAGACTCGAGGCGTTCAAGATCAGGAGATCGGTTGAATGACTGCCCTTGACTGCCCTTTCTTGCCTTGCTGGAGCCAATCATTGTCACTGAGAGCCATCTGAGCATGTGGACATCTTTCGCACACAAGGTTGCAACTCTTCAGCCCTCCGCCGACCACTCCGCCGACTCGGTGGTCCTCGTTTGGCTCTCCTCAGAACTTCGGTCTCTATCAACTCTGGCTTTGACCTTTTGAGCGTGGAGAAATTGAGAAGAACCAAACAACGTCGCTTCAATCAAGGCAAAGCAAGTATCAGCCCATCGCCACCCTTGCAAAGACAACCTTACACAGATCCAGCATCTGCATTCACACGCCACAATGTCCGCCATCACCTCCCGGGTGGTCATCGACCATTACTCAGCCCTCGCCCGAGAAAACGACACCAGGAACGCAGAGCACATCAAAAAAGTCGCCGAGTCCTTTGGTTATTCCGCAGAAGACCTGGCTGGCATCCCAGAAGAAGCAAACTTGGGGGTCAGCTGCGGTAATCCGCTTGCTGTTGCAGGTTTGAAAGCTGTAAGTTGCTTGGTGCCCTTCTCGTTTCTAAGCTCAATAGTCGGCGTCGTCTGATCACGTGCTGACTCTATATCTGAAGGGCGAGACAGTCATCGATCTTGGCTCCGGAGCAGGCTTCGATGTCTTCCAAGCCGCTCGCAAAGTCGGGCCAACTGGCCTCTCAATCGGGGTAGATATGAGCCAAGACATGCTCTCTCGCGCCGAGAAGAACGCCTCCAAGGCATCCATCACGAACGTCAAGTTCGTGCTCTCACCCATCACGAAGATCCCTTTGGAGTCTGAGAGCGCAAATTGCATCATCAGCAACTGCGTCATCAACTTGCTTCAACAAGATGAGAAGCCTGTCTGTTTTGGGGAAGTCTATCGTCTGCTGAAACCAGGTGGGCGGCTGGCGGTTAGTGATATACTAGCCAAGAAGGAGTTTACGGAGGAGTTGAAGAGGGACATGGGACTTTATGTGGGGTGTATTAGTGGTGCAAGTTTGGTGAGTGAGTATGAGGGGTGGTTGAAGGAGGCCGGGTTTGAAGGTCTGTATAAGACCCTCGTTCTCATAACTCACGTGCTGACATGAACAGATGTCTTAATCGTCGACAAGAAGAGTGACCTCAATATCTATAAGGAGAGGAACAAGGGCGGGGAAGAATCTTCGTGTTGTGGTACGGCTGACGAAAAAGAACCGGCGGCGTCTTCTTGTTGTGTTCCATCTGGGTCGTGCCGCTCCACCTCTGCCGAGAAAACGAAGTCAGAGAAAGAGGAGTTGGCGAAGAGAGTTGCCAATATCGATTTCAATGAGTGGGTCAGTAAGTATTTACTCCGTTCTACTGATAGGTACCGCACAGTAACAGGATTTTTAGGCTCCTTCAGCATCTATGCCGTCAAACCCGTGGCCAGCACTTAAACATGTCCTTCTTTTCGTTTGTTATCGTCTCGGAAACTGCCAATCCAAAATTCGTTAATGAACTATGTAATGACTAACAAAATTTTAAGTATTGAGGATGAGAAATCACAAAAATATTTCTTCTAAGTAGTACCATCGTAAACGATATAACAAAAAGCCAAGATCCTCCATCCATAACCCAAAAATATGCATTTTGAAAGTCAGAAGTCCACGGGCATCATCCCCCACACATCTATACTGACCTTTGGTTCCTTTGTAACTTCCCCAAACCGAGCCCCGTTGCCGCATACACATACACACACACACACACACACACACACACTATAACAAACTCCTCCAAAATCCCCGTCCCAAAATTGACCCACGGGTCGCTACCAGCAATCTTGGACTTCCCATCTTTCCCGAAAATTGCAATCAAACTCCACAGCAACCTCACACCCAAAACGGACCTGCTGCAATTGAGACCCAAACAACATCCCTCAATGTAACCGCCAGGAGTACAGCAGGCAACACATGCGCAGCCAGGAAGATGACGGCTCCCGCTTTCATGAAGGTGGGACCCTTGCTTGCGGACGAGGGTTCGATGGAGGCGGAACGGACGACGATGAGGATCTGAGCCAACTATATGACTCTCGAGCGTCGCGAAGCAGCATCGACTATCTCCACTACGACTCTTCCCAGCAGTCCTCCAACGCTGTGCGTCCCCACCATACCCCCATATACCCCGGTCCCAGCCTCCGGATCCGATACCACCATCTTCGTAACAAGATCCGTAACCCTCTTAAGCAATATCAGACTAGCTAGAAGCAAAGGAGAAAGCCGGATGGAGGAGCGGGCTGTGCCCCATTCTAGATCCGTGATGCTGAATGGGTGGTTTGCACTTTCGGTTTTGAAGACGGCGCCGATGATACGGATGACGCAGAAGATGGCGAGGTAAATCCAGCCGGATTGGCGGGCGAAGCCCGGCTAGATAAGGATTGCTCTGGTTAGAAAGAAGATAGGGACGTAGACACAAATTTCTGCTATGGCGATGGCTTCTGTTGTCTTGATCGTTGTGGTGCTTGGTTGAGTTTGAGGAGGAGAGGTGAATTCTTCTGAGGAGTAGCCCGAATGAGATTGATTGTATATTTTATAGGAACGTCTCTGACACAAAACTTGAAGACTGAAACCGAAGGAAACATTCCTTCCTCATTATGATTAAATAAGTCTCCTCTTATCACCCCCCGTAGTTTGGGGTGATGAGCTATAGACTACGTTGCTTGCTGCGCCGTTAGACTCTCAAGGCTGGTACATGTTGTGTAGCAGTGTATCTCAGACCATATAGTTGGAGTTAGCTGGCCACTTATGCGAGCAGACGCCCAATTGTTGGCTTTGTATCTTGTTTTGTGGCCTCAGAATATGGTGGCTTGCAGATGTTGTTGTGCCTCGTTTGTTTGACGAGTGCTAGTGTAACGAGATACTAATCCGGTTAGCATCACCTCAAAAGCTGGACGAGACGTTTTCGCATGCAGCGGCGGGGGCTGTACTTCTATATCTGATGCTGCTATATCTCCGTAACGTTCCGTTAAATTATAAGAGTTAATAAACTGCCGGGCATTAACAGTGTGTCAAATGAGTAGAGTAGAGTAGAGTAGTGGGTCCTACTCATACTCTACTCAACCAATTATAGCGCTACTCATACTCTACTCATACTCTCTACTCAAGCTACTCATGAGTAGTATGAGTAGTGTGAGTAGGTACCCACGTGACAGTTGCACGTGACAGGCTAGCCTAATTAGGTAAGCCTCCCATCTAGCGCCGCTCTAGCGCCAAGTTTCTACCCAATTAGGCAATGGCATTTGCTTAGTAAGCGAGCCTAAGGTCAGGGGGGAATGTGACGGCGGGATCGAGGCAATGGCCAGGGCTCAAAGATCCAGGAAAATCCCATGTATTGAGAATACTAATAGTCGGACTTAACGTCGCGACTAAAGGGGCCCAACCCTTTAGTCGGGGAAAGCGAGTTGTCCCTGGAAAGCGAGATGTCCCGCACCGGCCTTTTTTGCCTCCTAAAAAATAATTTTAGGAACTAGCTATAGAAAATCTAATTAATACGTTTTATTCGCAATCTTATAGTTACCTATCGGATACTTAAGGGCTAAAGTTTTAAGTAAAATAATAAAAAATTATAATTAAGCAAAAGTTGTAAGTTTAATACTCGCGAAACGGTCGCGAACAAATAATTCTTAACGATTTTTGTATTCCTTGCGATTTTACTACTAAAACCTTAATAACTCTCTACCCACATCTTTTTTTAAGATTTAGAGAATCGTATCTAGTTTATAAGGCTTATATTTTTAATTCTATTACTTAGAATTATTTAAAAAGATTAAGGTTTCAGGTTATTAAGGATTTTATTTGGTGCGGGACATCTCGCTTTCCCGGGACAACTCGCTTTCCCCGACTAAAGGGTTGGGCCCCTTTAGTCGCGACGTTAAGTCCGACTATTAAGCTAAAGAGAAGAAGGAGAGAGAGAGAGAAGGAAAGGGGATAAAAGGAGAGAAATACTAGCTAAAATCACTGAAACGCCGGCTAGCTAGGTGAAACCAGTCATGTGACAGCCACCCCTATATGGCCCCTAGCCAGCGCTGTTACAGGAAATCAAGATTCTAAGAAGCATAACTAGTTTATTATTATAGAAAATTAATATTTAGCTAGTCTTATACAAGTCCTAGCTTACCTTTACTGGGGCTACTTAATAAATATCTTTATTATTTAATTATTATTAAATAAATCTTAGTTTATTATTATTACGTAATGGCTACTCATTACTACTCATACTACTTATAAGTATATACTCTACTCTACTCAAATTTTTAGGACATTACGCTACTCATATTCCACTCACGCTACTTATGAATATTTATGAGTAGTATAAGTAGTATAAGTAGTTCTTTAATATACTGGGTATTAATTATTTGAGGAGCTAGCTATTAGCTAATACTAGAAGTTCTAAGACTTACTTCTATAACTTACGGCAGGTATACTTTTTCTCTATTTATACTAAAGTTATAATATATTAGCTTAGTAATAATTAAGATAAGATATAATAATAATAATAATAGTAATAATAATAATAATAATAATAATAATAATAATAATAATAATAATAATAATAATAATAATAATAATAATAATAATAATAATAATAATAATAATAATAATAATAATAATAATAATAATAATAATAATAATAATAATAATAATAATAATAATAATAATAATAATAATAATAATAATAATAATAATAATAATAATAATAAATAAATTAAAAAACTTATTATAAATTATTATAAATTTAAAATTTATAAAATCTTTTATAGGCTTTAATTTAATTTCTTTTATAATTATAATAGTTAAAATATTAACTTATAATTTTAGTATTATATATATATTTGAAAAAAAGTTTAATATTTCTTATATAAGAGCTAATTATATATAAAATTATCTTATTTAATATCTTTATATAAAACTTTATTAAATAAGTAAAAATATTTTATTATAAGAGCCTTTATATATAAATTAAAGTATATTTTAATATAAACTTATATTTTTAAGTTCCTTTATAATAATTAAGCTAGAGTATTAAAATAAAATATAAAGGTCTTTATTTCTTGTTTTTCAAATTCTAAAGCTATAAAGAAAAGAAAAGAGTGAGATATAATAGTAAATAAGTAAATAAGGCTAAAAATATAAAAATACTAAGCTTAGTTTAAACTTTAGTTAAAATTAATTTATAGCAGTTATAAAATAATAGCTATTATAACTTTTAAGAAAGAATTACAAACAAAAAAGAAAACGAGTTATTATTTTAATATCTTTCAATATAATTAAAATTAACTTAACTTATTTTATAATTCCTTAAAATATTTAATAACTTTTAGTAATTAGTTATTTCTTTTTATATATATTAATAATAAGTAATAAACGTTCAATTATAAAGCTTTAGTAAGCTGCCTATATCCGACTCCGCTTTTAAAACTCTCGGACCATAGCAACGAGATTAATAATAGTATCTAATTCGAATATAAGGCTTCTATTAAATAACAAAGAGAGCAAAGGACGATATCAAGCTCGTTTAGCGATGCCGCAGGTTTATGTGGTATGAAAAGATACTACAAATTGATCGCCGCCATGGGCAATTACTAGACTATCTACAGATCCGCCATAGTGAGTTCCACCTGCGAGAGTCCCTGTTCTTGTCCACCCAGTCGCTGTATCAACGATCTCCCAAACGAGCGGTTCAATATAGAGGTTGCTAATAGTAAAGGCAATAAAGTTTGTGGCGCTAACAAAGAGGTTCCAGGCTGATAGTCCTATGATTTCAGTGTATACTCTAGCTATATTGTCTGCAGCCAACGTATTGATCGCTCTCTGGCCATCGTATCTTTTGGCGATCAGATTGAAATCGCTAGACCTATCAAGGTTAGATCGAAAATAGTAATGACGGAAATGCTCACGGAAGGGCAATATCTGTGCCGGCCGACTCCAGCTCCTTGTTAACACTATCCAAATCGACGTCCAGGGCGCGATGCCCTACGGTCGATGGCGGCTTGCCTACTGGCGGCCAGGTGCCAGTCAGACACCTTGCATCGCTTGGATCAAAGATGAGGCAGTAACGACACCAGCCAAATTCCGGAGTGGCATTTTGGAGGCAAACTTTAAAACCATTACACTGCGAAGCCAGAAAACCACGGACATCGTCAATGTACAATCCGTCAATCGCTCTTACGCAACATAAGCGGGGCTGGGCAGACAAAGATTCTATGCCCTTCGCAGTAGGTGCTGCGCCTATAAGTAAAGAAAAAAGAAGAGTAGTAAAAGTAATAAGTACTATAATCATTATAATAATATAGAGAGTATATAATTAAATGAATATAATTAAACTTATAGCTAGAGATATTATAAGCATTATAAATACTTTATAAATTGTCTAGTAATATAAGCCTAGTATATTTATTATATTAAGCTAATTTAAATATAATAATTTATTAATTAAAGAAAGTTAAATTTTGTATTTTATTTAGCCTTATTATAATATTAGAAGCTCAAGCTTATAGTTTTAATACTTTATTACACCTTATAAAGCATTTAAATAAAACCTTTTAATATATAAATATAATATATTATATAAATTAAACTTGCTATTATATTACTAACTAGGCCAAAAGATAATAATATTTATAATTAAATCGCAAATATATTTAATATTATATATATATTTATACTTTATATATCCCGTAATTCACGTAATATATATTATAATAAAGTATTACTTATTATTTAATTAATAATAACTTTAATTGCATTCTTACTTTATTATTTTTTAAATATAATAATAAAGCTAAATAAGATATTAGTAAGTAATATAAAACTAATATACTTATTATATTAAACTAATTTAAATAAAGTAAATTTCAAATTAAATAAAAGTTTAACTTTATATATTAATTAGTAATATATAGCTTATATATTTAATATATCGGGCCGATTTAAATAAAATATTTTTTGAAATAAATAAAAGTTTAACTTTATATATTAATTAATAATATATAGCTTATATATTTATTATATTAAGCTAATTCAAATAAAAGTAATTTATAAAACAATTAGTAATATAAGGCTTATATACTATTATATTAAATACGGTTATATTATAATATATTCCGATTTTCTTTAGAAGAGAGATATAATATAGATAGCTAGAGCTAAATATAGTATATATAGTTACGTGAGACAAATATATATAACTAGCCTATAGTTATTATATAATATATACTTATTATATAGTATATATAGCAGGCTATATATAAGCTACCTTTAATCTCTAGAAAGATTCTTATATATTAGATTAAATTAATATTAATTATAATAAACTTTAAATAATAAGGAAAATTAATAATTATATAAAAGTAAATATAACTAGTTTTTTAAATATTAAATATAATATTTATATAATTAAAATATTATTAATAGATTTAAGAAACTATATATATAAGATTTAATTCTTTATAATATAATAGTAATTAAAGGCTTTTATATAAATATTATTTCTAAAGCTTATTTAGTAAAAAAGAAAGCTTAGTACTATAAATATAAACTTATAATTAGATTAGAAATAAAAAAAATATTATATTAATATAATTAGAATATAAATTTAATTCGGTTTTCTTTAAATATAAGCTAATTTCTATTTATTTTATTATTTTATTTGAAATTCTTACTAGTACTAGTAATATACTTAAATTTCTAAGATTTAAATAATTAATTAAAGCTTAATATAAGAGATTTAGAAAGTATTTTAAATTAAGAAATAATCTAAAGAGAAAATAAAATATAAGAATAAAATATCTAGTTTATAAAGCTTTTTAAAAGCTTATTAATTATATATATATAATATAAAAATTAATAAACTAATATAAACTATATATAAGTATTAGTTTATTAATAATATATAATATATTTTATTATTTATTATTATTAGTATAGCTATAATTATTAATAGTTATATAATATAGTTATATAATCTAAAGGTAATTAGAAATAATAGAATATAAATAACGGTTATATAACTTTATATTATATAGGTAATTCAATAAGTAGACTAGACTCTATTAGGCTTAGCAGATTTAGAAATTATATATTAATACTATAATACTTTAATTCTTATTTCTAAATAATAATAACTTTACTAATTTAATATAACTAGTATTTTTATATTTATATAATAGTATTATATATTACTAGTAAACTAATACTAATTAGTTTATATATATAAATTAGAGAAGATTTTAGATTAGTCCTAAAAGTATTTAATAGCCTAAAATAAATCTAGTTTATTTTATATTAAAAAAAGAAACTATTTATTAATTTCATAAAAGTATCTAGTAACTTATAAAGAAGATATCTAGTTCTTACTAATTAATAAATAATTAACTATTTAATTATTTATCTATTTAATTTCTATTATTTTTTAAAACTAATTTCTTTTAGCCCTAAAACTACTTTCTTGGAAACTATTTTAGAAACTATTTTTTCTATTTATATAATACCTATATCTATAGAACTCTCTTTCCGAAATATATATTTTATATATTCTTAAAGCTCTTTAACTATAACCTTTGATTTCTTTATTAAATCGAGCTCTTTAAGCTCTAGACTCTCCCGGAATTATAATATTTCACTTTTTAAATTTCTCGTTATAAATAAAATATCTAAGAATGAAATATTTACTTTAATATTCTTAATATCTCTAAATATCTAGGCATCTGATATCTCTATTAAATATTTAATATCTAGATATTTAAACCGGATATCTAGTATCTAAACCAGATATCTAAACCAGATATCTAGTATTTCTATTAGATATTTGAATATTCAAATACCTTTACTACTAAACTCTTTCTATAAACCTACTATAAACTATCTTATCTTTAAACCTTTTTTGCTATAAGCTATATATATATATATACTAAAAAGAACCTGAACTCGGTTTAATATAGATATTAATAAAAGAAAGAAACTAATTAAGAAATGGGAAAATAGTATTAATCTAGTAACTATAATAAAAAGTAATCTTTAGAAATATCTAATTACTAAAATATATTAGTATACTTTATATAGAAAGAGTAATAATAATCTATAGGATCTATTCTAGAATAATTTCAAGAACTTTAATACTATAGTATATAATTAAATTAATTATATATTCTTATAAAATCTTTAAACCTAACTTTAATATAGTAATATCTATATTAAATAGAACTATAAAAGCCTTACTATTATATAATTCTTTATTAACCTTATTTAAGAGAAAATAAAAAGTATATAAAATAAAGCTAATATTATTAATAATAGTTTAATTAGATTAGATTCTTTTTAGGAACCTATTATATTAGTTTATTTTATTTTAAATAGAACTAAATATAAGAGAACTAGATATTTTTAGTCAAGAAATCAAGCTATTTATTTATTTCCTTTAAATTAAGGCTATTTACTACTTCTATTTTTATTATTACTAGTATTATTACTAAACTCGAACTTCTATTAGTTAGTATCTACTACTATAGCTAGAAAGCTTATTAGGGAAGTAGTAAAGATATACTTTAAAATATAAAAGTATAATAGAACTAATAGTAGTTTTAATTATAAACTTATTATTTTTCTCGATATATATTAATATATAAAGCTTTTAGAAAAGATACTAGTAAGAGCTTTTTTTACTATATTAAAGGAACTAGTATAAAACTACTTCTATAATAACTAGCTCTCGAGCTATATATATAAAGAGGCCTATATAAATATCTATAGCTTTTTTAAAGGCCCCGGTTTCTATTATTAAAATTTAGATAAATAAAATATTATTACCTTAGTAATTATAATAGTAAAAAATTCTAAAAAACAATATTCGAGCTTATTTAAATACTAATTAATAACCTATATAAATTGTAATATAGCTTTGCTTTTATTTTATAAAATACAGAAATTCTCATATAATAAAATTATTATCTTCTATTAAGGCTTACTAGTATACTAATATATAGTCTTGGATTTTTTTAATAAACTTAACTAGTTTATTAATAAGCTCTAATTATTTATTACTAGTTATAAAAAAGAATAATAAATTAATACCGAAACTTATTTTACTAATTAATAATACTATTTTCAAAACTTTCTAAGCTATTATTTATTCGGAAATTATTAATATAAATCTAGCTATAACTTTAGAACCCGTAATAACTATTTCAAGTCCTATAATTATAATAATTATATTCTAAAATTGTATTTTATATATAAGAGACCCAAATACCGCTTATAGAAATATATATTAGAAAAATAAGAGACTAAGAAAGCTCGATTTAAAAATAAAAATATTTACTAATTTAGATTTCGAAACTTCTATAATTTTAATAAATGCTTTAGTAATATCTATATATAATATATTACCGAAATTAAAAAAGAAAAGAATAATAAAAAGAATAAAGATAAACTAGAAAATAATGCTTTTAAAGCTTTACTAGTAGAAATAAATAAAGAAGAAAAATATTATTTAGATTTCTATTTTATTTTTATTAAAAGCTTTCTAGTTACTTTTACTATTTCTGCTTCTACTATTTCTATAACTAATACTCTTATAAATAACCTTATTTCTTTTTCTCTTATATACTAGATAATAGGTAAAAATTATACTTTAGAGTTTATTAAATAAATAAAAGATATTTAGACATTTATAATTAATAGTATATTAAGATATAATACTTATTACTTTTATTGAATTATAATTAATATTAAAGTCTCTAAATTCTTAAGTATTAGTTCTAACTAATTCCAAGCTTTATAGTAGACTAATAATAGTATTAAACTTAATAAAACTACTAAAGATTAAGTTAATATCTAGTTTAGTATTAGATCTATATTCTTTATTAGATTTATAATAGTAAAAATATTAATTAAACAAGTATAATTCTATATTATACCTATAAAAACTTTATTTCTATTTAGTTTAGCTAATATAAATAAGCTAAAAATATACTTTAATAATCTTACTAATTATCTTATTACTTTTACTAGATACTTTATACTTATAGTATAATATTTTAGATACTTTTTCTTGCTTTAGAATATTATACTATAAAGCTTTATTTCTGAATTCTTTACTTATAACTCCTATATTCTTATAGAAATCAAATTATAATATCTATACTACTATTTTAATTATTTATTTATTAATAAGCTTCGAAATATACTAGAATAAGCAGGCTATAATATTAATATAAAAGTATTTAAATACCTTATAAAGTATTATAAGTAATACCAGAAATTCGGATAATTACTAGAATAATT